CTTGTATCATTTTCTATTAAAAAAGAAATATAAGAATTATTATTATTTAGTGAAGTGGAAAAAGAAGATGGGGAACAATGAAGAGCATTAAGAGTTCTTGGAAAGTCAAGAGAAATACTAATAACGTCGTGTTTGTGACTGGGGAGTCACACTGATTTCTGCTATTACTAAAACTAGGAGTAACATTTTGGTCTTTCTTTTTTGGAGGAACCATCACGTTATTAATTTATTGATAGATATCTGAGGTTATTGACTAATACGAATTCTTCATTTCTAGATAATATCGATACAGTCGGCATTAGTTTTGAGAAAGAGATTTGGATAGATTTAATGATTATTCCTAGTTGCAGCTGTGAGTATTGACTTATAGATAATATGATCAAAAAGATATAAACAGGACTTTGATTATATACTTAAAATCTACAAATCAAAAGTTATGTAGGATGCTAAAAGGAGGATTATATATACAGGTATTGGGAGCCATAAGGACTAAGCCCAAAAGAGTGAAAGAGTCCTAGAGATAAGCATCGTACAATGCCTAGGTCTAGAGCTATAGAGCTAGAGCTCTAAGCTATGAAACTGAGGTCCAAAAGAGCCGTCATATCATACTACGTATGTAGTATAAGCCAGTGGGCGGAAGAGAGCCATCTGTTCCGTCACAAAATCGTATACAAAATAAAATTCGAATTTTAAATCTTTATAACTTTTTATATAAAATCACTAAAATTCTGAAAATCTGTACCTGATCTAATAACTATATAAAGAATCTATAATTAAAATTTCATTCAATTATATCGAATGAATAAAAAGTTATAAAAATCAAAAATCACTGTTTTTGGTGTGAAAGGGTGGCCCGAAAGTAGAGTAGTTGACTTATATACACATAGGTGATTAAAAGTTAAAATTCTTGTTTTAAAAATAAATATTTATCTAATCTATCTACTTACTACCTACTTACTCACTTTTACTACCGCTCCTACTAATCAATTACCTATGTTTACTCTCTACTATCCCTCTATCACTCTTCCTCCCCTCTTCTCTCCCTCCCAAAAAAAATCCCCGCTATTAATTAACAAGACCAACCTTCTCACTCATCCTCACCTCACCCCACCAATCCCAATCCCAATCCCAATCCCAATCCCAAAAAACCCCCCCCCAAAACAAAAAAATTGCCCGTTCTAGGAATCGAACCTAGGATCTCATCATGTGCGTACAGATAATTAATTATAATAGCAAGTACTAGTGATGCGCTTTACCGCTAAGCCAAACGGGCTGTTTTTTTGTATTGTTAGTCGTGGTACTATTCTGTACTATACTATTATGATCAAGATTGAGGATCTGAAAATATGGGGAGGGAGCAGGGGTGTGAGGGCAGGGTGTGGGGCTGGGATATGGATATGGATATGGATATGGGTGTTGGTATGAGGCATGGGAATCCTGACTGACTGATTGACAGGACTGGGATGGATTGAATGCATGGATTGGATAGATAATATAAACACGAATGAAATTATAAAATCGTATATCATATAAAAGGGTATCTCAAGACCTGCCTCCTGCTGCAAGATAACAACTAAAACTACAACTAAAGGTATCCTGGTATCCATATCCATAACCCTATCCACATTCCTTTCATTCATTCCCTCCGCCCTTTCGCATCAAAACCATACATCTATCTCGCAAACCCAAACTCAAAACCAACATGAAAAATTTCTTTCTCGCTCGCTGTAAACCCCCACCCACCATTATCTTATTTTCCTCATCTCCCTCGTCTCTCATCCCTCCCTCACTTCTCACTCCTCATCCCTCACTCCTCCTCCCTCCCTCACCCCTCAAACCCCCGGACTCCCACTCCTCCCCCTCGCCCTCCCCGTCCACCTAGTCCTCTTCTCCCTACTCCAAAAAAGCACCATACCCACCGCACTACCTGCCCACAACAACGCATTGATCAAATCCACCCACACTGCATTTTTCATTCTTTGTATCCCTGCATCTCCTTCTGCTTTCTCGTGAATATACATATTTCCAAAGAGGCCAAAGAGGGCAATCCAGAGGATGAATAGGACTGTGTCCCAGAGGAAGAGGACGGGTATTAGGTTGAAGAGGGGGATCAGGTGAAGGAGGGAGGTGAGGGCGGAGAGGGTGGCGGTTACTACGGCGTAGATCTGGGGTGGGGTGTTAGTGGATGGGAAGTGAAGTGAAGTTTGAGGGTGGGAGATGCAGGGAGAGACATGGATATGGAGAGGGAGAGGGTAAGGAATGGAGGGAGAAGGAGAGGAAGATGCAAAAAAATAAAAAATCCATACCCATTTCCCATCCGAATATTTATGTTCCCTATTCGCCCTATTCAAATCCGTCCCATACAACCCAATAACCGTAAGTGCCAACACAAACTGTAGAAATCTCCATATGGCATGAGTAGTTCTTCCAACACCATATGCGAGCGGATTCATGCGTTCCAGAATAGACATTTTGGATTGTCCTTGTAGTTTTTCGAAGTGGAAGATGGTTTGAGGAAAGGGAGGGATAGATGGATGGATAGGTTGAGTAGGTAGGTAGGTAGGTAGGTAGGTAGGTATTTGTATTGTATCAGTCGCGATTTCAACGGGATGAAATCGAAATGATTCGAAATATCGTCTTGATAATCAAGTATGTGTATGCGTATGTGTATGCGTAGTATTGCGAATTCGAAGCTATTCAGAATATCTACTTCTCGTTGATACCGTAGGTTTTCGTTTTTGTATATTGTATCTTGTTTCGTTTCGTTTCGTTTCGTTTCCTTTCCTTTCCTTCCAATGATATCTGATATGTGTCTTGCATGCACACCTTTCAAAATCTCCGCATGTACGTCGTCCTTTCTTTTCTCTTCTTTTCTTTTCTTGTCTTGTCTTGTCTTGTCTTGTCTTGTCTTGTCCTTCAAATCGTAATCCCCTCAAAAGTGAATACCTAGGTAACAACTACCTTCGTTCCTTACCTATCCTCAGTCAAGTACTCAAGTACGCAAGTACATTGAAAACCCTCACCGTGTACTACTATTATGTGCTGTGTTGTGTATCCGTATCCTTCCTTCCTTGAATATATGTAACATAAATATAAATACTTCATCCAAAACTCCTTCCAAAAAAACAAGTCGGGTAGGGGCATTCATTTCCCTTATATTCACTACAAATACTCGATTAATCATATCCCAAACCTTTTTGCACCAAATGAAAGATCTACCATACTCGTACTTACTTACTTATTTGCATACATTCATCCATTCATTCATTCATTCATACCATATCATACCCTACCCGCCTACCTATCAAATTCCCAGTTCCAACATCAATATCAAACATCAAACCCATCAAACACGCCACACCACAACCAACAGGCCCAAAGAATTCCGAAAAGCCACCTGCAATCCAATAGCTTCCATGTTGGAAGACCGGACCCAGGTCACACGAAGGGTTATATACTCATTACAAAAACTGTATTTGAGATATTTGCATTTGATTGAAGAAAGGTCAATGGTTACAAAAAGAGTTGACGAAAGATTTGTTGGTTGGCCCTGGCTGGTCCTGGTTTGTTTAGTTTAGTTTTAGGCTTGTTTGTGTAAGCTTGGCCTTGCCTTGCCTTGCCTTGAAAAAGTGGAATGGATGGATGGATGGATGGGTTTGGGGGATTTGTATTTAGGTTTGATATTTACAGTTTTTCAGGGTTGAAGTTCATGTACAGGGTAGGGTGTGTTATGATTGGATAATAGGAATTTGGGCTGGCGGGTACACTATGCAATTTCCCTTTTGTGTGTGTATGTGCCCTATGGAAAGTATGCTTTTAGATTTCGAGAGAAATACAAAGTATCACCAAACCGACCCCTTCAACATCAGCAAAACCGAAAAGTGCTATCAAATCCATATTCAAATCCCAACCCCAATCTCCATAACTCCGTACTCATTCTTCATGATCCATCAGCTCATCTATATCCATAACTCCGCTTTCAAAACATCACAAAGTATCCATACCCTGTCTATCTGTATCCATATCCATATTATCCATATCCACATCCATCCCCCCAAAAGAATTCTCCACCATCAATACCAAAACTAAAATCCTTCCAAAATTATCATGAAGAAAACATGAGCACCCACCGGTAGTGACTCGTGAGTGCAACAACAAAGCATTAATAATATATTGCCCAATCCAATTCTCTCTAAATCCCCCCTCTCCTCTCCTTTCCACCAAAAACCAAAAAAATCATATCGACGTCGGCAGGATTCGAACCTGCGCCCCCGAAAGGAATTGATTTCTAGTCAATCACGTTAACCACTCCGTCACGACGCCATTTTTAGATTTGTTGTAGACTCTAAGAATGTGAGGTGTATTGACCGGTGCGGGCTTCGGGAATTCGGATATTTGTGTTCTTCTCTCTAGTATATGGTATATTTGATGTTTAGAATATGATGATTACTGTCCTGAGATATTGATATTTTCGGGTTTTATCATGTACTGTTTTTTTTTAGTTTTCCTATATATTATCCCTTTGGAGATGGATCAGTCATATAATAATCAATGCTGCTCCCGAACTTTTGTTGTCACCGTCTCATATTCATAGTGACAGGATTTTTAGTAGAGATGAATTTAACTTCAACGGTAGGCGACAAAGAACGCGGAAGTTTGGTTATGGAAATGGTGTCGTTGTAGTTACTTCCCTACCACACCTGGTGGCAACAATGTTGTAATTTTGGAAATATACTTATTTATGACTGTGCCATCAACAACAGCAGTCGGATTCTAAGATCAAATCATCAAGCCAAATAGACGAATGTTCGAGTATCTTGCTTGGTTGAAAGACTTTCAAAACTAGCCAAAAATGGTGCTTTGACTCCATGACAATGTTAAAGAGTTGTCAAGGACCCAAATCATCCGAGCTATAATAAACATGCTTAATCCTAGATCTATTGTTATTGCCCAACATGTGAAGTAATCAGCTACCTGTATACGGAAGAGCTTTTGATTGTGTGAGTGTGTGCGAAACTATTGATTGAAGATGACTTCAATGAGAGTCAGGTCTATCTCGGCACTCGCCGTTTGATGATGATCTAATGTCTCCTGATTGATGATCACCAAAGTAAAAAGAGTCAACAAGAGAACTTACTTTCGTGATTCATGAGCATGTGAATAGTGACGAAAAGCGTCATAATAGATGGTTCAATGCTCCACCATCGAATGCCGTGTCAATGTGAACCTCTTGGAAATGACGTGAGGCCATATACTTTGCATACAGCTGTACCACGAGTCCACGAGTCGGACCACGACACCGTGTGATAACCGCTAACCTTTGAATTCTTTGGGCCCCCATCTTCAACGTTAAAGCTTGGCGAGGCTGCGTATTAACGTAAGAACGTAAGAAATCACAAAGATCTGCTTCAGTCGTTCCATAAGAGAAAAGCATGTCCGCGAAAGATGATATTGAGGGTTAGGTTTGCCGTGAAACAAAGCGCCCAACCAAACCTAAAATGCGGCAGATCAACAGATTATCCATATTCGTGGAGATAAGGGATCAATTATCATCAATTATTCACTTGGATATGATTGGCTGAAATTCCAAGGGTCCAACTTGATGGGATGTGACCCCATGTGGAAAGAAGGGCCATCTAATAAACATAGCGAGGTGGTTGCAATGTTGATGTTGATAAATCTATATATGGAAATAATCGACGTCAATATGGAAGTAACTGTGGATCTTCCGGGTGTAGAAGCACTAGTAGCAAACCCTATGAACCCTCTTGATCTTGTTACAGACAGTAGATACTTTTGTATGAAACATTACCGTCATGATATGTACTGAATAGAACCCCCTTAATTTTGAAGAAAAAGGCGGTATATGTATACCGAACAAGGATGGATGAGAAGAAGAGGAAGATTCATAGAAGCATTGAAATTCCACTGGCCTGGGTCACTCCTCCGCGACCTTATGAATGGAGCGACCTCATTTGTTGGTTGGTACAGTACAGTATCTAGATAGAAACAAGAACGACAACAGCCGTGTTGTGTTTCAGAAAATGAAGGAACTGATTATCTCGTAAGAGGATAAGTACAGGCTGTACACCTGCAGCCACAAACCCGAAAGTTATCATATTGGGGTGAGAAAGTGAAGATCAACTGTACGAACGAGAGAGAAAGCGGGAAAGAATGCCGGAAGGCTACTAGGTACTAGGTAAGTGTTTTAGCGCAATCTATCAATGACAAATCAGGAAGGATATTGAACAAGATAAGAAGAGAAGGATATATGATCTTGGAATAGGTAATAGTTGTTGCTCAAAGTGAAAGGTTTCGGAAATATAAATATATGAATATATGAGGTTGAATTTGAAGTAGTTGATAGGAAATACTTTCCTTGCCATGACCCTTCGCGCCACTTCCAATTATCAATTATCATAACTAACTTGTCATGGCCGCCACTTCCTAGTATCGTATTTAGTATCTATCTATATCTAACCATCAATCATATTATCAAAAGCATCAATTTAACGGGAATAAGGAATAAGATAAGACTTCAGAGTCCATATATTTCAATGTGCACTGACATCACCACAAAATTAAAGGAGGGTCGGTCACACACTACTGGCAGTGCTGACCCCCATAACTAATTGATCCATAAACAACAAGCAATAAACCCTAAAAAGTTTATAGTTGCAGTTGGTTGTTGATTTCTTGACCCTTGACACTTTCTGCAGATCTTACAGATATTCAGCAATTTGACTCACATTTAAAGAATTTGAAAAGAAACTTCATTTGATAACAAAACATAACAAAGTAATAAACATACCTACTGTAGGTAAATTAAACAATGGAAAAGTATTCAGCAGACATAAACTATATTATACAACAAGGGATACATTCTAGTTTTCTCTTTCCTTTTATCATTTCAATTCATATCTATCTCATCTCATCTCGATCTTGTAAAAGGTCAAAGCAATAACAACAACAACACCATCCATCCATCCATTATAATTAACCATTCGATAAAAGCAAAAGGGAACTTCAAATTCGGCACATATATCCGTAATATCTTGGTTGCCATTACCTTTTATTGATTAGGTTTCATAAGCTTATAAGCATTGGCATTGGCGACGGAAAGACTGAAAAGGGTTCATCATCTATCCATCTTCAACCCCACGTTTACACCATCTTTTACTTCCTACAACAAGGCCAAGCCAAAGAAAGTCAAACCATTTCCATACATATAACATCACGCAAGTTGCGCAACTACGACTAAGGACTTCAATCCAAGAACGACTTACACTCATTCAAACGCCAATACTATATACCAAGCAAGAAAGTGGACAACATTTATCTCACCAAACCAATTTCGTCCTTAAGCAATATACCAGCCACCCATCACTTGACTTGAAGTTTCACCAATTCCACCAATAACGCTTTCATTTAACTGGGTTTACTACCCCAGTGTGGTTACCTGGTTACCTTGCGCAAGACCCATCAATCTAAGATCTTACAATTCAAAGAATCACGAATCACGAATTAGCTATATAACAAACGACCGACGAACCCGTATGTACGACAAGAGCTTCCTACGCCAAGAGGATATAATAAACACCACTCAAACCTATACCCGCCGGCCACTTTGCTTATCCTTTCTCAAAATGGCCAGTCATCGTTCCTACAAGGCCTCTTCGTACTTTACTACAGATGGTAGTTTTGGTGGTCGCCGTGGTGGTACTACAAAACATACTCATACTCATACAAAACCATCATATCCTCCTCCTTCTACTACCTCAGATGAAGATATTATTGCAACTTTAAAAGATCTTGCCTTACAGTCAAGAACTAAAGAGTTCACTAGTACTAGTAATAGTAGTAGTACAAATTCATCTCCACGTTGTGGTACTCCCGGAACACATGGTATGTTTTACGCTTCTACCCTTTAATGCAAGCCTTTCCCGCTTCCTATCAATTTACCCCGCCGCCACTTGCGAATTAGCATAAAAAGGTCCCCTAAACTGACTCGTGATTTGGGAAACTATAAGTTGATGCAATATCTACGAGCACATTCAACACTCCAAGTCGAAAAAGAAGCGATCCAATTCCAATTACCATTGAACAATCTACAAGAACACGAGCTTATACACCTTTGACAGGTCGTGGAGAATTGCTAGGGTAAGCACAAATTTGTTTACTAGTGTCTTGATATGTAGCAAGGACCATGCCAGGAAATCCTTTTCGCATTGTTGTTCTGACGAGAAGATTTATATAGAGGATACTTTCCAGGATTCGCAGACCAAGACTCGGAAGCTCTTAAATCAACAGTTCTACTCTCAACTTCACGTTCAAGATATTCACCAACGGATTCACCAATGGATTCACCATCTTCCGATACTACTATCCGTGGACCTCCTTCGATAATCAGCTCTCCATTCACTTTGCCAGAAACTTTAGTGATTCCGAAAGGAAAATACTATCCTTCAAACTACACACCATCACCAACATCTCCCATCCCAAGTATCCCTTCATCGGTATTAAATGGCGGCAATCTTCAGCTCCCTCCCAAAAATCAACGTCAAAAATCTACAAATCCACATCATCAAAGACGAAGCTCAGACGTTAAACGAAAATTACAAAAATACCAAAGAGATATGATTGAACAAGCACGTATAGTACATGCTGCAGTAACTTCTTCTCCCAGCGTATCTACATCAGGAGCCAAACCTATCAGTCCTAGATTACTTCCTCTGGGTAGTCCCGGTCCCATTACACCCTTTGAACTGGAAGAAACTTCAGGATATTTGATTGCAGGTCAAAGAAGATCTGGTGGACTGACTGGAGGTGGATTAAGAGAGAATGAAGCGATTGCAAAAATCATCAGAGTTGAAGAAAGACGAAGACGAGAGGGGCAAAGCTCACCAGCTGCTCGAGTTTGAAAGGATGAACAATTTTGGGCGATGATCACACGATTTACGACGAAACCGCCGATCAACTTCGATATTCATGATTATGATCAAACGACCTCAAGTATCGGAATTTTCGGCAATTGCGTCAAATACCAAGCACAATCCATCCTACTCCTCACAGGCCACCGAAAATCATCACGTTTTGCATAATTTCCCCTTACAACTTTACACGTTAGCACTCACAATATCCCCTTCTTCATCGACATGCATGATGAATTATTTCACGGCCGCTTTTCCTTTGTCAATTCGGATATCCAATGGTGGTTTTTTTTTAAATCGGATATCCCAAAGATCATTCAAATCAGATTGACTACGTACGCAACTCATTCTTTTTTTTATGACCTAAATACCAAGTGCTGGTATATTAGCTTTTTTTTTTGCATTGTTTTGCGTTGGCATTAAAGTTTATTTGTGTTTTTATTGGGTTTAGGATGGATGAGTGGTAGGGTTTGGGTCAGGATGGGTAGGGATTGGTTTGGAGAGGGGGAGAAGGGGGTGGAAATGGATAGGATTGGGATTGGTGTTGCTAGTGCTAGTTAAATTTGGGCTTTCTATGCGGGTTATCGGGATGGTTGGTTTATGGATAGGAGGGTGGGGGTTATATTACTCTGGGGAAATCGTAACTGGAGTGGAGTGGAGTGGACTGGGATGGGGTGGATTGAATAGAATGCATGAGGAAACTGATGAGGAATGTATTGCTTTGAGAGCTTTGAGATGGATAGGGGTGATGGTGATGGCACATTAGAGGCTGCAGTGATGTGAGTTTCGGTGAAGTGAGACGAGCAGAAAATAAATAAAATAAAGTAAAATAAAAGAGAATTCATTGTATCATATACCTTGTATTCATAACTTCATAACTTTATCGGTTGATAGTACTCACTCTGATATATTCACGCATTGGTGTTCACTGTTCATACCAATATTACATTCACATTTCCAGTTCTCATCCTCATCCTCATCCTCATCCTCATTCCCATCCTCATTCCCATCCTCAATCTCATACATTTTTTATAATTTGAAACTTTTCCTTTTAGCTATTTCAAGTACTCACTCATACGAGTATTGTGACAAAAAAGCGTTACTCGAGTACTGTACGGCTACATATCGCCTACTTGCACGAGACGAGACGAGACGAGACTCGCTTAATTCGCGCGATTCTACTATGCTATGAGTATAATTCTACTATGCTATGAGTATACTAGGTATATCTCATAGTGTTTGAGTTCTCTCAGGCACTCTATTTAATCAATCAATATATCTTCTTGTGGGACTTCCTATTTTGTGAGAATTGATAACGGTAAAAGGTTCTTGTATCAAAAACGCGGAAATATGGTTTTGTCAATTTATCAGTACACCACGGTTACTACAAGCAACACAACTCCTGAACCCTCACTCTCTCTTTTCCTTTTCAAATACTCAATATTACCAATGTATTTCAATCGACTTTTGCACCTTGTGACTTTACAACCATTTTGCCATGCGTGTCAGACCACCATTTATCCTCCTGAGATGTGTCGAGAACGTATGACCAAAGGACGCTCACTGTCTGTATGGACGACCACTATTGTATATTATAGTCCTTAGCAATGAGGATTCTGCTCTGGAGGGTTGGATAGGACCATTCCCCTTCCCACCTCCCGGCATCCAACTTCCCAAAAAATATATCTTCTGCCGGAAGCCGGGCTGCTCGGTCTGTGCAAACTCACCAGAGGCCTTCACTATGCATAACGATTGCCTAAAGTTATTCTATCAAAGATGCAAGGCCCTACCCCGTCTTTGGATCAAGGCAGCATGGAACAATCCATGGCCGCGAGCGTCACCCACTCGATTACCTGTCATCAACAGCCCTGTCTGCCTCAAAACGACTTTCGATGCAGCTACCAGATTAGGGATGCACATTTGCATAAGTTGCCTCTGGAAATTATCTCGATAGTTCGAAGTTTCTCTCACACTGCCTTATTTTGGAGGTATGTTGTCATCACAAGTGTGGCAGATCACATTCGCTTGCATCTACCTGTTCTAGAGGAGACGACGAAGATATCACTGGTTAAGATACGCAAGTGGAAGAGAGGTACCCGAATCCAGTATGCCGGCGACGAGGCTGATTTTACTGTTATGAGACTCGGCATTGACTCAAACGGGATTCAAAAATTTGAACGCTTTACCACTAATGATTACCCGCGCGACAGTGATGGAGGGTGCTAATTATTCATTGTTGAGGAATGCAAGGATTTGAGTGCCGTGTTTGCAGAAATCAAGGTACGTTCGTAATCTTCTTTCTGACTCTTTCTAACATGATAGGATGGCTCTCTACGACTAGTGTTGCCGAAGGGCCACCCTGGGTTTAGAATATGGGACACTCCTTGTCCTCCCGCACTTCACTCCTGCAATTTCTATTCTCCCCAACCGATCGTTTCGGCGCGGCTACGTACTGTCAGGCTATCAAACATTACTGGACTCACGTTTTTCTGCAAAGAAGAGCGCATATATGGGATTCATGGCCATACATCTGTTACGCCCTCGACACGACAGGAATATGAGAATCTCCCTGAGAGACTTCAAAAATGTGTTGTCTGGGTGTATATTGCTATGGAGGGAGTTAAGGGTCTTGGTTTATTAGGTCCTTCTGCATTGGCGGTAAGTATAATCTTACTTCGCTCACAAAGAAGGTTAGTTTTAATGGCAGATAGATTGCATCCAACGGAATAGCACTTCGCATCGTACAATCGACATCAATTTCAGGATCTACGGAAATCTCATGTGGACTTCCCTCGATTCTTGTGTTTGATTACCCATACCCTGGCCAACCAATTTCTACACTTGGCATGCAGAACCGCAACAAGAATGGTACACAGCTCGGAAAACACACCGTGATCTTTCCAGCCGTTCCTAATCCCTTCGTCAATCAAGTATATCTATCTATATCATTCAGCTGCTTCTCTCTCTCGATGATGTTCAAAGCGCGCGCGTCTTTTACGACCAGGACACTACTGATAGCTAGGTACTGTAAATGCATTCTTCTCACTTACAATCACGGAGGTCAACAAGCTCTAGGGCAATGTGGCATTAAGATATACGAGAGGAGACGATATTGATCCAAGCCCCAACATTTTTCTATCACCGACCAACAAACAGCCTCTACTCAGGACAGGAGGCTTGACATTAATTTAGCATCAATATCCACAGATATTACACATTGGATTGGATGGGTTTGTGTAGAAATGACAGGCACAATCAACTTCTGGTACGATTCTAGGTCGGTAGTCCTTTTGGAGGCAATCGCTAGATAAGATCAATTCAATCTTTCAGTCATGTCATCAATAGAATGCATACAGAATAATAGTCCATCCCATACATAATCTTTCTCTTTTTCTCGTATCAAACAACATCTTTCAACTTTTTCAAGACAGGCTCAATGTATATATAGTATTAAACAAACACCGGTCATTCTCCATTCTCCCTTCATACATCCAACCCAGCATTCCTGAAACTCATCTTCTAGTACGAGTACTATGGATATCTTTACCAACCCACCGTGACGCATCAAAGGTGGTTCTCAAGTCTCAACGCTATTTCCGTCCTCCCGTCCTCCCACAAAAGCAAAGCAAAAACCGATACTTACCATGCTTGCCATGCTTACCATACAAATCAAATCAAATCAACAGAGCCAACTAGTCCATGCCTTTCCTCTCCGCTCCTTAACCCTAAGTTAGACATGCCGCAACCGAGCCAGACAACGTTCCTGCTAATTCGCAGACGCAGCACGATTCCAATTTTCAAGGTACAGGACCGGTATACCGTATAGTTAGTTGCTCATCTCATCGGAGTGAGTCATGGCGACCTGACACTCGAAAACCCTAACGAAGCTACATAGCATATCGAATATCGGATATCGGATATCGATTATCCCAGCCATATATATACTCGAGTATATAGTATATACTATATGGTAAGGTAAGGTAAGGTAAGGTAAGGTAAGGTAAAGAGACATGTGCAGGACTTGGTGAACAATTGCTTGCTAGCTAGGAACTTAGAAGTTAGGAAGGCTTATTTATTAATTGGCGGGGCTCGGGACTTCTTGAAGGTAAGATTACATTGTAGTCTCTGATGTATTATCAATTTCCTGATGGCTTTATTTATTTAGCCTTCATCTCCCTCCCCTCCTGGTGACTATCTAAATAGAGGTCACGGTATCGTTTATTGCTTCTATATCTTTACTAGGTAATTATGGGAAATTATGGGGTGAGTACTGTATGTTCATTGTGATGTTTGTAATCTTAGATTCACAATGCGATTTGATCTTATTCAAACACATGGCTGACTGTATCCTTCTCCTTCTCCTCATTATACTATTCTATCACTTATATACCCATACAATTATACATATAATTAACGAAAACCTCGATATACATACATACATACATACATACATACATACATACATACATACACATACAAACAATTCAACAAGAACTCAAGAACTCAAGACACATCACATACTCGATCGAGTATTCCAAAACCTCTTCATTCACTTATATCTATCTATCTACTCGTACTCCTTCTACCCTCCCCCCTACCCAACCCAACCCATAAACTCCCCTTCCCATTCCCCACCCACTAACGAACCAACCAATGAACCTCCCTTTCTTTCTTTTCTATAATACAAAATCAAAAGCCACTCCCACCTATGCCATACTATACCATACTATACTATACTATTAATTTTCCGCCCATCAAATTTCAAATTTCAACACCATATTGAAAATCCCATCTATATACTCTCCACCCCACCCATCCCCACGAAAAGAAAATCCAAATCAACACCACCTCTCCGCCACAATTGCGACGTCTAAACTCCCTTTCCATGCACGCTAGATAAAAAAACAAAGCAAATCTGTAAAAAAGACAATCAAAGAATTGAATATTCCTCCACTTCACTCTCCTCTTCTCTTCTCTTTTCCTTTCTGTTCCTTTTCTTTTCTTGCCATGCCATAACATCCATTCATCTTCATCTATGTATAATTAAGTATGATCAAGATACCCTGGACTACGAGACTCCAATCAAATCAAATCACGAAAGTCTCCCCAGCAACGATTTTGCTTTCCTTCTCGATTCTCCACCCTCCCTTTCCCTTTCCCTTTCCCCATCCGCAACCTCATTTCTGTCATGTACTTCCTGTCCATGCACGTATCCATGACCCTCGATTAAACTCGGACTACTCCCCGCCGCATCCCTATGCAGTGGACTCTTCTTCAACTTCTGCAAAGTATTCACCATAAATGCACCTGCCGAAGATTGCGGCCTCACAATTGGGTTTCCATCGCCCCCGCCACTCCTACTAAATGGTCTCAACGAATGGGTATCCACATCATTTTCTCTACTAGCTGGAGTCATCGTAAAGGAAGCTTGATAAGGGGGTCGAGAAGCTTGGGAGACACCAGAGTAAACGCTACTAGAGCCACTCGCTGGAGCTTCTACACCATTCCGACTTGAGGCGAAAGATTTTCTTCGCTCACGACTTTTGGATCGGTCGGTTTGGCGGCTTACCGACCGATCGGAATGTCGGGTGTCTGTTGGACTGACAGCGAAAGTACTACTCGCATCGCTGTTTTCGTAGGAATCTTCATTACTGGATGGTGGTTGACTGAGGACTACATTACTCGTGGCCAATTCTCTTAAGCGACTTTGCTGCGCTATGTTGGGACGATGCTTGCTGAATTTATTGCCGATGATGGCACCAGTGTGTGATATCAAGGCGCGAATAACATCCTTCTTGAGAGCGAGGGCAAGGTCGAGGTTTGACCAGGTCTTGTTTCGATATTCGATCATTGGCAAGCGGAAGACGAAGTCATGTACATCCTCGAGGTTTCGTTCGCCTTTACCCTTGTAACTAAGGCAAAGAACCACACTGGGTATTTTGACATAAGCGAGGGTCATGTACTCAGACGCACGACTCATCATTTTGGTCAGGTCATCCGATGGCTTCTCTTTTGGTGTTTTGCTTGAACCACGAATACCGAATCGCTTGCCTTTAGCATCGCCATTCACTGACATGGAATCGTTCATGGTTGCGGTAGTTCCTGTTCGTATCACAGTTGGCTTCAATGAACGACCGGACTGTAAGCTTTCAAGTGATGGCTTCCGTGACATTGTGGTTTTAGTGGACGATCCTCTTGACGCCGCAGAATTCTTACTGGATTGGAAGAGTCTGAAATGATGACCATCACCACTGTGACCCGAGAGCATACTACTCGCTCTACTTTTAGTAGATACAGCCGTTGTTGGCCTAGGTTCCGAAGTCATTGTTGGATGTAATCGAAGTTCCAATGAGCCTGCTCGGGTACTTGAGGGAGAGTCGGCATTGTCTACATCGGTAACATGTAGGTTGATGGAATTGCTGATCGTGGTATCGTTATTATCTTCATCGTCATCCACAGGAATCATGTTCTTCACCATGAATGGAGATTTGCTCTTGTTGGCATTCGACTTGTCGTCATTGTGTCCGGGAAACATGTACTCGAAAAGCCGTTTACCAACCTCGCGCTCAAGTTGAATCTTCATTGGGATAAGGTTGACTTCGAAATGGTCCATCACTGGTATACCAGCAATGGCTTCCAACATGTACCAGTAAACTCTTAACATTTGTTGGTTTCCTCCTTCATTAAATCCTCCTCGCTCGGCGTCCGAGTATGGAGCAAACATTTCTGGATAGATGGCATCAGGCATAAGATTGAGCCCTACGATATTTCCAATCTGCATAAGATTGATGTGTGATCCATCGGAGTTATCGGTTCGATCATATTCGGCACGTTGAATTTGGAATTCCATTAAAGGTTCGTTGTTATCACGAACTAAGTGCCAGACGATTTGATCCGAAGAGATGTTCCATCGTAAGAGACCACTAGTTTGCGTGCCATCGTATTTACGCTGAGAACTAGTGATGGCCTTCATCATGAAAAACAATTCATCTTCACAAGCTGCAAGATCCCTGTCCAACATGATTCTATCCTCCCAACCTTTCTTATCAAGCGACTTGGAATGGATCTGGAATTGCGTCTTGATCTCATCGAGCTGTCTGATCCGCTCTTGGAGTCGAATGACCATCTCTGGAGCCCCACGCAAATCACTGAAATCAGACGCGAGCATAATCTTCTCAAGGCGTTCATTCCGAGTCTTTTCCAGCGGCTCGCTGTACATGAGCAGATCCAACACGATGATGTACATCGCATAATACTGCGAAGAGCTACACAGAGCTTGGATCTTTGGAAATTCTACCCATAGATTGTCTATGCGACTCTCCATGCCATTTGGACTGGACGGATGGTCATTTTCGTTGCTGATCTCATCGTTGTATTTAAGACGCAGTGTGTTGTACTTTTCGTAGCGTAAACTGGCAGATGTCTTCTGCACAACACGCTTGAATCCAAATGGATCAACATGGAAATCGAACATGACTTCCATCGGTACCCAAGGAGGCCAAGCAGGCCCAGGGGAAGTACCGTAGCGGCTGTTGGAATACAACGATAAAAGCTGGGATGAAAACCATTTTTGGTGTGTGACGAAAAATTGTGTACCGTCCATTTCAACTGAGAATCGACGTTGTACAAGACCACTAACATCGTCAAATATACGATGCTTATCCATGACCTCGACAACTTTCAGCTCCATTCCTTTCGCTGTTACCATCACAACAGACTTTGGATTCTTCTCGCTCTGGAGTTGAATCTGCGGAGCGATGAGTCTGACATGATAGCTATTCTGTGGCGCGAATTCGGAGGCAATGTTAGAGTCTAGTTGATCGGTTGACACTCGGTGCATAGATTCATGACCTTGAGGATCATCGGCATTGACGAATTTTTTCCCATCAGCCAAAATTTCTTTGATACGATCCTCAACTTGTTGCGATGCTGCCACCTCTGCAGCGTCTGGCGTTGGAGCTTTGGATGTGGATTTCATAGAAGGCTCTCCTGTTTGCGCTGCAGTCGGCCTTGGGTTCTTCTTGGCTTTATTTTGTTCTTCAACAATGTCCAGTATGAACTTCACAGCGCGCCGCGATAGATAGTACACGAAACCTCTTCTCTGACTGACTTGGTGAATATAGCGAAGGATTATATTTCGTAATAGATTGTTCCACTTCAACTGCATGTTATGAATGACGAAGCGATTGTCAAAATCACTGACGAAATCGCCTGAGGGAGGATTATCACCAATCGCTTCTGTCTCGATACCGTGGCCATTTGGTGACGGACCTTCCCGATCACGATCAGCATCTTCATCACCATCAGGAATAGTTCGTGGATCATTGGTGTTTACACGCTGTACCATACGATCTTTCATGGATTCCAAGAAAACCTTTTTGTTGCGCAAGAATGGGCCATGGATGATCAATTGGTCAAATTGAGTTTTGAGCGTCGAATTTTGCTGGTCTTGCATAAATTTCCACTCGGCCGACTCAAGGGCTTGAGCGTGGTCCTCGATCTGTTTCTCAAGTTGAATCAAGCGGTCATTAATGAGCTGGCATTGAACTCGTCGTGGATCATCATCCTTGCTCATGATACAAAAGTGTGTTGGTTCGTTGCCAAAAGGACTGGTTCGTTCTGGATCACCAGCAATATTATCACCATGATCAGTTTGTCGGAAATATGTGAAACGTGGGGCATATGCGAGTGGCATGATTTTCGTCTCTGGGTTTGCTTCGGCTGGGAGTATCCAGTCCAACTCGACGAAATCATCCATATCAATCCAGCTGAAATCATTGTCAGGAATATCAAAATGTGAAAGATCTGTTTGACCCCGTTCCAGTTGAGATACCAGAGTAGGGGCAGAAGCCTTTTGAAGGTCTTCTGGTGTTGTTCCCGCAATACTGGCAGAGACAGCACGAATGTCTGCCGACAACAGATCTAGTTGCGCTTGATGTAGTTTCATCGCGCTTGTCTTGGTTTGGGTGTTTCGGCCTTTGTCTTGTGTATTAAACTCTTCGCGTCGTTGATGCATGTCGAGCATAAAGCTATCTAATCTCATCTTGAGGCCAGTAGCAGATACGACATCTTCAGAATAGTCCTCTGCGTCTTTATGTTTGTAAATGTGACTGAGGAACAGAGGTGCAAGTAATAGATTGTACTTAATTGTGGCGAGATGCCGACCAAACTTTTTGCTTGACTTCTCAATTCCTGGCCATAATCCACCTTGTCGAATTGGTAATGACATGGTGCCACCAAACATCGACCACCAAGAAAAGAAATGAGTAAAAACACGAGGAGTAAGATGTACAGTGTTGTAGCTTCTTGAAGGCTCCTTATTCGACACAGACCACTCACGATCGACTGGGGCTTTGACAGCTATCGACATATGAATATGGTGACTACGGAAACCTCGGAACGCATCATATTCCTGGCCCGGGGAAGCTTTACAGTATTGAACTTCTTTTGTCACCACATTATAATGCGGTTCAAAGTCAAAAGAACGTGTCCCATCGTCGAGATCTCTCTCAAACATGAGACCAACCAACCACTGGACATTACCAGATAGTTTCATAACAACTTTCTTGAAAGTTGCACCACGTCTAAAGCTATCAGAGCTGATAACGCTATCACTATCACTCGCCTCTGGGGCAGTGGCGCGAGCTTGGTGACTGAAGTCGGGTATAGCGAGAATGTATTCGCCACTGTCCACTGTGATGAATTTTCGTGGATCGTCATCTCGGCAAACACTCAATCGTACATCATTTCTCCAACACATGAGGAACCCGGCACCATCTCCAGTAACGATGTAAGGATCTCGAGTTCCCTTCAATGTGAAATGAACATCTCCATCCCCTTTCCATGCAACATCAATCTTAGAATGGAAACTAAGGCGAAGCTTGTCCCAGAATCCAGTTCGTTCGGAAGGATCGACTTGTGGTTTTGTAAATGTCTCAATAACCATCATCATATCCTGGATGGCGGGTTGATAAGAAGCACCCCAAGTAATACGAGTAGGTAGACCGGTATTAATAGTGACATTTATCTCCGAATAAGATTTGACTGGTGAAACTGTCCTGCGCACATCTATGGCAAACCCTCCTGTATTAGGTGTTCCTGGCTCACGGTTGAGTGGGGGGATGATGTCAACTTTTACATGGCGAACAGATTCAGGACCTCGAAATTCTTCGGCGATAACAAAATCTGTCTTGAGAGACCAGGCGGGCATTCTTGGTGACTGGCCAGACTTGATTGCTGGTACGTGCAAGAGAGGTAGCGGATAGTCTCGTAACGTTACTCGTGCTTCCCCCATATCGATTTGAACATTCATTGGAACTAAAAGTGAGTATTGCATATCTCGAGGCATACCCTTTCCCATTTTATGGAGAAAATCGGGAAGCTGGTTCATAGGAAAAGAAGGCTTGTCGATCGTTATGTGAAGGTCACTAATCAATGTGCTCATCAAGGCAGGCCGCTGTGGAACCTCGAGTATATTTTCAGTCTCATCCATATCGTCCGGTAGTTCGTCGGGTCCCCAAAAGACGCCACGAAGATTTTTCATGCCATCCTTTGCAATGCCATAAACTCGGTCGATACGCCTCTTCCAGCTTTGAGCGTTGTGACGTCGGAGCTTGTCGTGAGCTTCAGATACTGATATATTTGCAGTTCCACTTAATCCGCATGTTCCTTCAGGATCATACCGATATTTTCGACCTCGCTGAGTTCTAGGCTCTTCCTGTAAGTCATCGCCCGCGCTTTTTTGTCGTGTTGAAGAATCTTCCTTATTATTGCTACGACCACGAGGGTGTGCTGATCTATTTCGATAACGATGGGTATCTCTGCGCATCTCTTCCTCTTCAATCTTCTTTGCTTTCACGTCAAATGCCGCTTCTCGAGCTAAACGTTGCTGCTGCTCAATCAAACCAACTCTGTATATCGCACCCAACTTCCACTCAAATGCACCATCTTCTACCTCGAAAAGTAATGCTTTACTACGTATTGACAGCCTTGGGATATGTTTGGGGCCCTCTGGTCGTTTATCAAGAATGTACTCATTAGTACCTGTCTGGAATCGATGATGGAGTTGTTCTACAGCTTTGAGTGTGTTGACAACATTATCAAAAACTTTGTGTAAAACGAGCTGATGCGGCACCGCCAGTCTTATAGCATTAGTTGTAATATCGATTGTCTTTTCCTCGTGCATCTCACCGGAGCTACGCATGTGACGTTTCTCACGAAGGTCAACTCTAGCCGATTTGATACTGACAATTCTAGCCCAAACTTTCTTCATTTGCGGGGCCTCAGCATACAATCGAACCAGCTTAGCATGGAAGAAGGGTGCCGACCATCTGTGGCGACCAGCGTCGACGCCATATATTTGAAGCATTAGTTGAGGGTCCGATGGCATGTGAGCCTTGATTTGAATCAAAGTGGATCTGAAGTCTACTGTGACCAATTCTTTGGCTCCGAAGGGGTATTCCTGATCATCTTGTCCAGGCCAAGCGAATCCTCCAGGAGAAGTCACCGGCGATAGAAGAGTAGAAGGATCAGATTTCCATGATGCCGCTGTTGCACGTGCCGTCTCTTCGGCTTCCGCCGCATCAGCATGGGTGCGAACAAACGCCTTCCTGAGTACAGTTGAGGCCACGCAGCACGCATAGTGTCGATACAACGAATATTGTGCCAAAACACTCTTCACGTGGGAATTGAGGTGAAATACTGGCCCTTGATTGTCGCTCGAAGTCGAAAGAGCTACTTCGAATTTAGGGATCGAAACAAAAGGCTCCACTTCCCACTTTTCTGTAGACTCGACAACAAATGATTCAAAGCCTCGAACATGGATAGCTAATCGTCTACCGTCAGTTGGATGTTGATCGCGCTTCTTTCGGGGCGAGGAAGGCATTGTAAGGAATGTTTCAGGGTCGGGGGTAAGCGAACGACTTCCTGCGCGACGACGCACTCGTCGTTCATTGGGCTCGACCTTTTGAGCTCTATATTCGGCTGTCCAAGACTCTAGTTGAATTGCAACACCCCGTGTGTCATCTGCTATTGATTCGTCGATTCCAGCTACTTCAGCACTGAAATCAGCACCCTGAAGTTGAAAGTGCAGCAACCAAGGAGGTAATGCCCGGATAAAGTTTGGATCGCGAGAACTTCTAGGATGAGACTTTACATCTGGCTCAACGTTCAGCCTGAGTTGACGAACAATTTGTCGGACACCATCACTGATCTCTGGTCGAATCATGTGTACTGAACACGTCTGGACATTGCCCGTAGCCACAACGTAAACTTCTGGATTGGCACTGACTGAGACTTTCAGATCAAGAGTTTCGATTTGAAGCAAGTCAAACCGAGATCCGGAGCATGTTTGGTAATAGAGATCATGGGACTGTAGTCGTAATGTAGAACCAAGACTATAATGCAATTCTCCTACCGCAGAATGGGAAGATTCTATATCCAGAGATATGGAAGATATGGAAGATATGATAAGATCGAAATCATCCTCATCTGCTGTATCTTCAACGGGAGGTAGAGCAATTCGAAGGACGGGCTCGTGCATTGATATTTTGACATTAGCTTTAGGCAATAACCGAGATATTAGTACATGTCTCTCCGGTGTGCTATCTTTCTTCGATTTTGACTTTGATTTTGCCATGGCTAAGACAAGGGGAAGATGTCTTGGATCAAGATCAATGGAAGGTGATGTAACGACGGCATTAGCGAACAAAATATTCGCGTTTCGATCATCTGCACTGTTATCCGTTGCAAATTGTACGGTTTTGGATAGAGATGTGGTTCGAATTGTGGTAGTTGCCATTGGGACATAGACTAGCCTGTCGGATGTCCCATTTCCATCATCGACTCCGATAGAGATGGAGAGAGCAGCAATAAGAGCTTGGTGAGCTATATCTTTGGAGGAAAAATACATTCGGTGAGCGGGGGATTTTTGATCCAAACGATGAAGATCCATTCCAACCTCCTTCATAGAAGCATTGAGATACATTGGTGAGCCTGAGGGCTGTACTGAGGTGATTTTCTTACTGAATCCAACGTAGCTGACTGCAAATTGTACTTCCTTAATGCCCCGTAGGATAGAGCTCGCAAACTCTTTAGAATCCGATACTGTTTGTACAAGGTTTTCCTCCTCACTTCCAGGCCTTTCGAGTTCCCCGATAATACTTGCCACAGATATCTCCTCGAGTGCAGCTTTTCCTTTTTTCGGTTTGCGCTGCTTGCGACAACCCTTATATTTGTTTATACATGTATTTATGTCGTCATATGGTATATGAACTCGCCCCAGTTTGAGAGCGATTGCTGCCTCTCGCAGACCATCAAGTTCCTTGTATAATAATCCGTGTATGTTCAAGGTAAGGTGGTCCAGTACCTCTAAAGACTCCCCCCCTTCCGGTGTGAACAGAACGCTGCGAATGGTCAGCATCCATTCTGCTGGACGCTGATTACTGTTTGCCCTCTTCACATGTGTGAACATTCTCCCGCGGTCGATTGTTTTCCTCCTAGTATCCACTGCCAATGTAAAACTTCCCAGTTGTATGTTGCCCACGTCAACCACGGTCACCGATGAATTCGAAGCCACGACATCCACCATTCGGATCCAATTTATATTGCGGTGTAAGCGTTTAATTCGGTTCTTGATGCTCGTAAGCTGCTCCCACATTTTGCTGCGCTGCGGCTCGAAGGAGGTAGCACGTCTAGAAAGTGGTTTGATCTCGGACTCGACTTCGCGACTTGAGCCATTCTGCCCTTCTTCCTCCACAGCTCCATTTCCTTCTGGGCTGCGTGCCAATTTGTCTCCATCCAAAACCTTCAAATCCAGAGTAATTGCCAGCTCCGTAAGGACAATACTGAGCCATGTTGGTTGTGCGAAAGTAGGACGATGGATATTTAGTCCCAGGCCTCGAATCTCAATCTTGATGCCATCTTTCGGAGTAAATGCGAGTCGCCTTAGAGAGAAGTAACCGATGCGCTGAATCGATATTCCCGTTATGATTCGTATTATGGCAAAAACTATGAAGGATGAGAGGTATAGGAGTACTACCACCCCAAATATGAAGGTGGGATTTAATAATGCCATGGCAGCTCAATTATCAGTCACAAACCGCCATTCGCATAGTTTCGTTGTGGGCAATAAACAGAAAATCCTCGAACTCGCTCTAACAAAGAGACTCTGGTGTTAGCAAAAAGATAGATTCCATTCGCGCGTTTTCATTACTGAGAAACAAATGAAGCTCTGAGTGGGGAATGAGGGCAAATTGAGCTCAAATGTGTCTAATTAGAATCTCCCGAGTATGCCTTTTAAGAAAAATCGATATGATTGCGTAGCCAAAGGAATCTTTAAGAATCCAAGGTCACTGGTTTATTATGTTCTTTATTAAGAGCTTGTGTTCTTTGGTAGGTTTTCAAACTAAGATATTAGGGAGGTTAACTTGGGAACCGTTGACTATTACCGTGTTTGGGTGAATTGTGCAATAATAATATGTATACGATGCAAGTCGTATTGGGCCCATTAATGTAAAGGGATGAAAGATAAACGACCGGTAATGGAATAACTAGTATCAACTAATTTTCGAATTTGTTTCTAATTTATATGTTCTAATATCTGTTCCAATTGTGTTTCAAATGTTACTTGAAATGACGGATAGAAATAGAATTGACCAGGTACATAAAGCTTTATACAAAAACAACGCTACAAAGTACTTACTAGCCAACATACAAGATAACCTGCTTTGCAATTGTACTGTAGATTGGAGAGTCTCAACTCAAAATCTGTTGACAAATACAATTTTAATCGACAGATAAGGTAGGAGGTATCTAGTTACAACTAACTGATTCTCTTCTTTTATTTACTTACTATTCCACCAAGTGCAAAGGTGTTGATATCGCAGCATACAGGCTACACTTGCCATTTCCTTAACATCAATTTCCCCTTTCCGCAAACAACACTGCCACTCAACATATCATCAATTACATCAAATCACCAAGAAATTAAACCACAACGTGTCCCGAAATCTGTTCATTCAATCCCCTGATCCATCTCTGACTCACTCATTCCCAATTTTCCCAAGATGATAACATAAAGCTTGTTTTCCTTCTTCTCTCCATTCCCAAAGTTCAAAGTTGAGAACCAAATCAATCCCTGAAGATCACTTCTTGAACTCAAGTCTCAAGTCTCAATCATGAATCGTCGTATCGTCATATTTTCCGGTGGAAGTGCCGCCAACAGTCTTGTGGACGTGTTTGGAAAAGTTGCTGAGGACAAGGCTTGTTCTTTGAGTTAGTAGGTTCTTCAAGATATGATGATGAGGATATATATGGAGAATGAGGACTAATATGCTTCTCAGTATCATTCCAATTAGTGACAATGGAGGCTCTTCTTCTGAACTGATTCGTGTCTTTGGTGGTCCTGGTATTGGTGATGTGAGAAGTATGTTGTTATCTCATATCTCCTCAGTTGATGTCCGTCTCGATGCAACTTCGGGACAAGTTGCTCCCTTGTCAACTTCTCCAAAACTTCAAGGAGATCTCGAAACCTGGGAATAGCTTCAGTCACATGTCATTTTATAAGTCCTGGCTCAGCTTGGGTGACGTCAAGTGGTCGACCTCATGCAGAAGATTCGAATTGAAGTACACGAGGGATGTCAAACAGTAAATTGACTGACATACTCTAGGTAGACTAGTTCGACTCATTCCCGAAGATGCCACCGGAGCCAACGCCGAGAAATCCGCTCTAAAAATCTTCTTCAATCATCGCCTTGACCCATCACCTCAAGAAGCGAAACATGAATGGCTTGCCATAGTTGAAGGACATTCTCCTCTATGGAGTGGAATTACCTCTCCCAAGCGGGAATTAATTCGTTCCTTCTTGAACACCATAAATCTTGAGATCGTCAAGCGAGCTCGTCCCACCTCTGTCTTCAATTTCCAGTCGGCTTCTGTAGGTAATCTGTTCTTAACAGGTGCTCGGATCTATACTGGAAGTTTTGAGGCGGCGATCTACCTCTTGGGGAGTATTACAGGCGTAAAAGGCAATGTCGAAGTGATTCCCGCAATAAACAGTAATTTTTCGTATCATATATCTGCAGGATTACAAGATGGTAAAAGTGCCACGAAGTCCCATCGTAGCCGACTACTAACACTTTAACCCCCAGGTACGATCATTGTCGGACAAAACAATATATCCCACCCCATCGCCCCAACCTTCGTCCCTACCCAACCCGTCAGCCCAGCCACCTGGAACAAGCGATTATCCGCCGACCTCCTCGAACACGACCGAATCGAAGACGCCAATCTCCCGGGCTCCCTCCCCACCCTCCGCAAACAAAACATCGATTTCCAAAAATCACACACGGAAGAACTATCCAGTCCCATCGACCGAATCTGGTACATCAATCCCTACGGCCAGGAAATACGCCCCACTCCCAATACCAAAATCTTAGAAGCATTGAACGATGCAAGTTGTGTTATATATAGTATCGGATCACTGTACACTTCTATTCTTCCCTGTCTGATTCTGAGGGATGTGGGTCAAGCGATCGCGGATCCGAGGATTAAATTCAAGGTTCTCATCTTGAATGGTTGTTTGGATCGCGAAACTCCGGCGTATACGGCAAAGGATTTCATTCGGGCGATTGTGCGCGGGTGTTGTGGGAATGAAAATGGAAATGAACACGAAGTGCCAGAAAAAGAATGGAAAAAATACATCACCCACGTGGTATATCTCGACGGACCAGGAACCCCTTCAGTAGACCGCATCGAAATGAAGAGATGGGGTATAGAAGCCGTAAGAGTATATGGAAGGAGAGCAGAACCCGAAAGAGTAACCCTGAAGAATCCGATCATAGATGCAGTTAGGAGCGTGGATGAGGTGGTGAATGGTAATGTGATTCGCGAGGACATTATGGGGGTCATGGGTGGAGATGGGAGTGCGGGGATGAGATATGATGGCGCGGGGCTGGGTCAGGCTTTGGAGGCTATACTGGGGGGTAAGGGCGATAAGGCGAGGAGATATACTTATCTTGGTTGATTATGCATGATAGATGGGTGATAGAGGTAGAGTCTGTAAGTGTATTTTTATATTATGATACTCGGGGAAATAAATATTTGATTTCTCGTCGAACGAGCATCGGGCTACTGTGCACCGTTATCTAGACTCAATGTACACAACTAGACTACCGCCTTAAATCGGCGATGCTGCCTCAACTTTTTACACGGGTACCACATGTCCCCTCAAGCCCCACCACTCTCACCCCCCTCCTCCTCCTCGGTATCATACTCCGTCCCCGACAACTGCCCCCTCTCCAAATCCCTCTCAGGATCCGGAATTGTCATCCCCCAATTATACGTCTGGGGATCCAACCCCGCCTCCAACATTTTCCAATAATTTTCCTCCCCCATCCACATATGGCCCATCCTATCATAATACTCCATCAACTGCACGTTCCTTGTAATACTGCCACACACATCCGATTTGCGCTCCGGAATATTAACACTAGCACGCGTTTCCAACATCGGATATCCATGCGGATATCGCAGCGGCACCTGCGGACGACTGCGGAGATATCCCGGTATTATGTCCGGGAGATCGTCGCCTTTGTACTCATATTCTCCTTCGCGAGGGATGGGCTGCCCGTTCAGGGTGGGAGGCGGTTCCCATTCCGGTGATGCAAGGTGAGGTGTGCTTGGCGCGGCAGCATCTCCGAGCCATTGCGGAGCAGCGGTTCGGTAATGGGGCGAGGGTGCGACGGGGGCCTTGGCGAAAATGGGGTGGATGGCAGGCCAGGTCCTCGATGGTTTGGCCGGGTCGTAAGGTCCTTGCATGGGGGCTCTGCATGCTTCGTAGCCGTCGCGGACGCGGAGCCATAGATCTCTGGCGCGGGGTCGTCGGCTTGGCTTTTCGCGCATGCATTCTTTGACGAGGTCTTTGAGGGTCCCGCTATAGTTATCCTTTATCTTGCTGTCGGCGTCGTCGTCGTCGAGTGATGCTGCGTATGATAAGGGCTTGCTTTCGGTATATTCCCCGAGATCTTCTATCCAGTCTTCGTCTTGGGGATGGAGATGCATGGACGACGATTGATCGCGGTGCATGAGGAGGCGGATGATATTCGCGAATTGGAATATGTTGCTGCATGAGCCGTTGTGGAATGGTTGTACCATCTCGGTATCACCGATCACTGCTTCCTATAGTGAAAATGTAAGCATGCTGCATGAATACAAAACGAGGGAATTTTCGACTCACGGGTGCTCGGTAACCTTCTCGACCATTGAGTTGATTTGCAAATCTGTAACGCCCCAATTTATCCTGATGCTCATATGTTAGAACGCGGAGCGTGTCTCCAAAATCGCAAAGCTGTAAATTTATTAGTCCCTCGCACTTTAGCCACAACCATGGTAATACGCACCTTAAGCATCGGCACACGATCGTCCCCCGACTCTCGATACCCGATCAAAACTATATTTCGCGTCAAAATCCACGTCTCAATTTTCGAACAGGAAGCTTACTATTTCTCGGCTCAATATCATAATGACACATCTCATGATGTTCCCAGCCCAATTGCCGACCATCAAAAGGACCTGCATTCGACGGGATTTCGTTACCACAATCTAGCATCATGATCATTCTGGTAAACTGTTTGAAAATAATCCATAAATCCACCTCGGGAATAACATCAATATCCTGCCTATCAAAAATCTCCAAATTATGCCACAACCTATCGTCCCACTCAATACCCGGACAATACTCCAAGAACGTTACTTCATTTGGGACTTGATCCCTTAATCCCACCACTTGCGCACGTCCATATTGCCTTATAATATTTTTCGGACGGGGAGCCAGTGAATAAGATGACATCTGCTGCTCCGTCCGACGGCCATTTCCCGACAACAGGTAGACGTTGTTATGTTCAAGTTTGTGCGGACACCCGTCCGGAATGCCATTGGGACGATCGCCTTGCTCGAGTCGAAGCGGATTTTTATACTTGATCTTGAGAACCACATCTCTGGTGTGAAGAGGATCCTCGTCTTGGCATCGGTAATGCGCGATGACGGCATGATCAGTCACGGCGAGTCGACTTTCATATCTCCAATTGTCTCCTAGTCGAAATCTCCACATGGGTTCGCTTTCCATAAACTCTCTAAACCTAATGCTTCTCACTATCGGATCGTCGGTGGCCGTCATGATGAAAAAGTTCTTAAGCTCTAAACGGTATCGATATGGGGATTCGGTGCAATGGATCAGAACCGTATGGAGGTGCTAGATGTATGATTGCTTGAGACAAAGGGTCCTTGAAATTGTTCTGATGAGATAACCCGCAACCGGTTGAGACAGCAACAAAGCAACTCACTCGATATACAAAATAATTACCGGATATAGCTAACTGCAACAAAGGAACAAAGTTTTCTTACTGTAAAAATCAAAGGCTTTACCTTATTGTGAAAACACTCGAGCAAACTACGCTCATTGACATGTGGCCTGTAAAGTCCAAATTATCTCGTACTGAAATCTTCGGCTCGTTTAATAGAAGGGGCATTGCTATTCTATTCTTCCCCATTTTAATTCAAGAAAGGATTCATCTATAAATAAATGAATGTCTTTTTGATTTGGAATTTGGAGATTTCTGGAGGTTTAAGAAAATGAAGGTAAGAAAGGGATAAAAAGTGGGAATGGGTGATTAAACGCATCTCTTGATGCATTGTAATAGTCGGCTCTCTCCATGGATCGGCCGCCTGGGAATCTTTATGACTTTAACGAACCCAAAACCCATAATATGAAATCTTCTATATTGATGATATTGAAGTTTAACTTCCCGTTCATCCAACATTTCACTTAATTTCCTTCTCGCTTCCCTCTTCTCCCACAACTTCAACTAATCCACCGCTACCTCTTCAACGTCTTCTGCTTCTCCGCATCCCTCACCAATATCTCGCCCTCAACCCTCAATCCCTTCCTCTTCCTCACCCCATCCATATATTTCTTCGCCACATTTTCCTTGTCAGCAAGCTCCCCAAGATCCTCAAGATCATCCTCCGTAAAGGGTGTCCAGAAAGGATCTTCATCCAATACTTCATAACCCTGGAAGATGAGTTGAGGACTAGCTGCTCCGGATGAGCGTTTGCGGATTTCATCCGAGAAACCAAAGGATAAGGCGACGGGGAGGAGCGATACGATGGTAAAGAAGGGTGTGCCTTCATTGAGGGATTCGGAGAGAATTTGTCCGTGACGACGGGTGAGCACGTCGTAAACGCGACCGAGGACTTCGGCTGTTGGTTTTGTGTTAGCTTTTTGTATATCTACTTTCTGAATTTCAATGGATGTATTATTATAAAAAAATAACTTACTACTAGCCTGAATTTCACACGAGTACATGGCAAGCATAAGTCTTGGGGACCAATCTAAGAAACCTTGTTTGATAGCTTGTTGAACTGTTTTGATGACTTCACCAGTTATTCGACCAAAGTTATCCCGAGTGGACGAATCATCGTCAGTAGAAGGAGCTACGGTCACATCTTCGAGGAACACAGCGATTCCTTGGATTGGTTCGTTGCAAAGGGGTCCTTGAGCAGTGGCGAGTTGGAACGCATAGCTGATTTTGTCGGAAAAGGAGCGGGCTTGGAGGGTTTGGGTTTGAGCTGCTGATGGCTGGGAGTCGGTAGCAGTGTCTTCACGGAGGCTTAGTAGCATTAGCATATTTAACATATATAGAAATGGACTGAAACTTACAACGCTCCAAGGATTCCTTCGGCTGTGGAATCAATCAGAAGATTGGGTCCAGTTCTTCGTGGACCAAAAGCAGTAATTTGGTTTACAGCTGAAGCCCAGATGTCCTTTTGACCTTTTACCCCTTCAAATACTTTTTGGAGTTCTTCCTTGAACTCAGCCAATGATAGGACTTTCTCACCGCCCAATACTTCATCAACCTCTTCCTGTTCAGTTGACTCTTGGATGGAATTGTCACCGCCCTTCTTGCTCTTTTCCCGAGCTTGACGATCAGAATAAAGTCTCTTGATGGCACCGGCGTTCTTGCCCAAAAACTCGGTAACTTCCACTGGAAGAGGTCTTACACATAATCTAATCGTGATCTGTTTTGACGTAGTTGACAATACAACAGTACCTCTTCCGAGCTCCTTATTTGCTGGAGGTTTCATATCTTCAGCCCTAACAATAGTTTCTCGATATGGTACAATCGGCTCTCCTGCCTGAATATCACATCCAGCAAACCTTTCACGGAGATCTGTTAAACAACGTTCCAAATGCAATTCACCTGCTGTGAGTAGAACATGTTCACCACTTGCGAATTGTTCGTACTCAGCACAAGGATCACTTTGAACGAGTAAGTTAAGACCTCGAATCATTTTATCAAGGTCCCCAGGCCAAGCTGGTTCCAAGGCGACACGGACAATAGGTTGAGAGCCCATATTGACTCCTGCGAGATTCACACTACCTTCCAATTGACTGCAGAGGGTTCCAGATTTGAGGATATGGCCTTCCAGACCTCCGATACCGAACACAACACCAGCTGGAACAGAAGTGAGTGGTTCGAGTCCACGGCCCATCAATAAGTATAACGCAGTGACTGTAACCTTTTGTGGTTCAGGACTGTTGTGTGGATGCGCAGGAGAGAACTTTGGCGGTAGTACATAAATAGAATCCCCTACGGATAAAGTTCCGGAATATATTCGTGCAAAACCTATCAGATGTTCTGGATCATTTTTCTTCTCTTCCTCGGCAGGCTCCTCAAGTTTTACTGCTCCAAGTGCATCGGATATTATCCCATCAACAGATTCAGAGGCTTCTTCTATAGCCTGTTGTCTTGCGATCTCGGCTCGCTTTCGTCGACCCATTTCCAGGGCTTCTTCAGGACTCAGAGTACCTCCTCGTCGCTTGTTCTGAGGAAGTTCGCTCTCTGGTATTGAAACCATCTTACTCACATAAGCCACAACTGGCTCTTCCTTTGAAGTTTTGAATTTAATCATTGCCTCCCTAACTTTCGGATCTACGTGCGATGCTCCGGGAGATGCGTCGATAAGTGCCGGTAGTCTTCCCTCTTGAGCAGCAGGCGGAGCAGGTAAAGATTCGATGACGGAAACTAGTAGAGCTGTTGATAATGGAAGCCATGCTGCAAACAATGTTGTCAGGATAGCTCGCGGATCGCGGGAACGTGTAATATGTGCAGGTAAAGTAATGTTTAATGACTTTATGATTTTTTCTGTCATGGCAGGATCACTACACAAACTTGTGTTAGAATTGGAATGCAATTGCTTGGAATTGGATGTAAAAATAAGTCAGAGGAGAAATAGAAATCCACGTACCCTCTCCCTTGATCACCACCGGTTGTTGCCGCATACACAGCCCAGATCTGTTCCAAGACTAATTGGACGAACAATGGTTTCAGATTTCGCCCCTTGAGATGTTTTGGTCCAAGGACTTTTTTGGTCTTCGGATCCAGGTAGAAATCTCCCCATAATACTTTCTCCATTGCGGTTCTTTTGATTCCTAATTTCTTCTCATATAAGCTGGCGAACTGTCTGACGGTGAATGCCCATCCGTCAACGGCACTGCTAAATATCACATTGTTTTTCTCTGGCGCAAAGTAAATATCCTCATCATCCTTTTCTTGGAATTCATTAATAGCCTCGGTATCGATCGAGGTGCTTCCATCATTTTCCGATCGTTCCTGTTCTTTTGCAGCGGCTGCAGCAATTCTCTCGTCGACTCTCTCCCTCCAGTTCAAGTCTTCCTCCATTCTCTCACCCTGGAAGAAACTTCCGAGAACAGCATTGACTTGCTCCAGAAGTTTGCTCAAATGTGTATATGCTTCCGCTGGGGTCATCTTCAGTTCTGTAATAAGTCGGTCCATCTTGTTGATTACCAATAGAGGTTTCATATGTTCGACCCATGTCTGCCTCAAAACAGTAACAGTCTGACTACAAACTCCCTCGACCGCATCTACTAGAACGACAGCGCCATCGCACAACCGCGAGGCAGTTGATACTTCACTACTGAAATCTATATGCCCTGGCGAATCTATCAAATTGATCAAGTATTCTTTTTGTTCAGATGTAGCATCTGGCGCATTTCGTCTTAGCATGGAGAAATACAATGATATGGCGGATGATTCCATAGTAATTCCGCGCGTCTGTTCATCTGGACGAGAGTCGAGGTATCGTATTTTGCCAGCGAGTTTTGGGGAGATGATGCCATTTGTGGCAATCAATGCGTCTGAAAGGGAAGTTTTCCCATGATCCTAACAACATTAGCAATGAGAAGAAAAGTGAAAGAAGAGGGTATATACTCACAACATGAGCTAATATGCATATCTGGAGAGGATATATTATTAGCAATGTCCAACTTAGATTTTACCCCGCCGAAGACTTTACATTTCTAATATCTTGGGCATTTTGCTGCAGAGAAACCAGCTTTTCTGGATTGACGACCGGCATCCTGTGTATGAATTTAAGATATATGGTTTTCAAAATGAAATATTTGATGCAGAGTTATACAGTATGGGTAAATAGTATTTTATCTTCAACCGAGTCTGCTTGTCCGGGGCGACTTTGTTTAGTGGATGGTCTAACGGGAGAGGGGTGGATGATGACCCGGTATTTAAATATTGTAAATTATAAATTCAATAACCAAAATAATGACTCATAATGATTCAATAATTTCAGAGTAGAAAGAAAATGAGTGATAAAACTCTAAAGTATCTATAATTATAACATTTGAATTTCAACTGATATACCAGTATGGAAAATGTATAACAACTATTTTCTGATGCGGCCGCTTACCCCGAGCCTCATAACGTCACAGAATCCCGCCGAGATTCATCACGTGCATGGCACCCGCAGCGCGCCAAGCAATCCACACCCCCCCCCCTTTTATTGCTTCGGTAGCAATTTCATGATCTCTTTCATGAGTCCATTATGATAGTAGCATACAATCTAAATGTAGGAATAGCTCCCTTGGTTGTAGTTTGTCTCTACTCCTTTACACCTACCGCGCTCAGTGCACAATCAATAATAGCTCCAAGTGCATTCGTAGCTTCCAACGATGAATAACACTGTGCTTAGATACAAGTAAAGTAGGTGCTGCTCTCTCTAAAATTTCTAACTTTTCGGATGGGATATGAAAAGCGCCTGGTATAATTAATCAAAATATAAACATTTTCTAAATTTTTTAAGAATTTTAAGAATTTTATATTATACTATAAACTCGATATTAAATTAACTAGTAAATATATAATTAACATTATTATGTATTGATATAAAAACTATATAAAGATCATTCAAGTTTCACTAAAATCTCGTGAAAATCATCGTTTTTGGTTATTCTTGACTTGTTGTATCAGATTAGCTATCACGTGCTTGCAAATAGCACTTAGCTTAGGGCAGACTAAGGCATTAAGTGTTCTTCTCGGATGTTTATAAACTTCCAACAAGAAGCAACTCTTGAAAAACATCATACATCTTTACCTTCAAAGAGATGCCACAGGTTGATTTTCAATGTTGATGATAAACATTTCGAGAGGCAGAAAGTCTTCATGAATAATAAACCTTGACAAGGATTTGAATTTATTCAAAGTACCGCTCTCGAGATGCATTTCTGAGACATAAAATATATATAACAAGCAGAGACAGGGACTGAAATTGTCAATGCATCATGCTTCTTTAGAAAACAAAACCCCCCACTTCCTTTCATCCTTTCCCTCATCTCATTCCCTCCCTCCCCCTCTCTGCTCCTTTAAAAACCAAACCCTCCCACCCACTCCCTTATCCCTCATCTCTCCCTTGATCCCTTCCTCATCCCTCCCCTAGTTAATATTAGTGTAGTGGACACTTCACTCTTTGAAAAACAAACAGCAAATCAAAATATAAAGGGGCAGAAACGAGAATGGAAACTGGTGAGATTAAGCTTTGCAAATGTTGGAAATCTCCGATTACTCTCTCTTATTGTTCAGGTACGCAGTACTTGAGGCTATTTTTAGAGAGCAGCACAAGATCCAATCATTTGTTCATTTAATCAACTTCAACTCATTTGGTTCGAAACCAATACTGGTAGCGGTATAGGTAGGCTATCAGATGAATTATAAAGCTTCAATCAATGTTGTATTATTGATGATCTTCACCCAATCAATCCTATGAATTAAGAAATGTTCCCATATGATACAGGTAATCCTTGATAGATTCAGTTTCATCTTTATAACATAATTAATTTAAAAAGGTCCAGATGTTATAAACTTCTTTGTGTGATTACCACCATTTTATTTGAACACCACATTTGTGCCTCGAATAACTCGAATAATGTTATTTGTTCTAACCTCATACCTTGGAGAGTGGTGACGATCATTTATCTTTTTATCAACACCAGACCAGACCACATCACAACCTCCACCTTCGAAAGAAATCGTGGTGGCTGAACAGCCGATACTTCAATCCTCAAAAATCCAGACCAGCACATTTTTCTGAGAATTGCACTAGGAACTCTAGCTGTACTAAAATACAGCTCTTCTTTCTACTCAGTACAACATTTACAATACAATAGACCACAGCTTCGGATAACTCAACATCGAGCCTCGAGCATAAGCTCCCTTCCATAACAACTACATTCCTTCAAACTACAACACCATCATCATCAAACCGCACAGCTAAACCGCACACAGTCTACATGCCCGGATTAATCATGGCGGAAGCCCATCAACCGTCATCACCACAGAGTCAACCACGAGCAATCCCTGGACAGGACACAACTTTACAGATACAGCCCCCAGCTACCGTAGCCCTACCTCCTTCTTCCTCTGCGAACCGCATTCGAAACTCGCATCTCGCATTGGATACTTTTTCGCCCGTTAATCAAAATGGAAGTTTTGAGTTTGATCGTGTATTAAAGAGTGGCTATGTGCAGAAACGGACGAGGAAAACAAAGGTATGATTTCAGTAAACGTTATTTAAATGTACATCTACTCACACATTCTTCGCAGGCATGGAAACCCATATTCCTCGTCCTCCGACCAAATTACCTCTCAATCTACAAAGATCAAAACGAAGATAAACTCCGCCATAAAATCCACCTCTCCGATCTAACCGCCGTCGCCTTCCTCAAAGACCCCAAGCAAAAACGGCGCAACGTCTTTGGTCTCTTCACCCCTTCTCGAAACTATCATTTAGAAGCTACCACCAAAGGTGACGCTGAACAATGGGTCGACCTCATCCGCAAAGAAGCCCGGATCGACGAAGAAGAGGAGGAAGAAATGTTACTCGCCAGTCCTTCCGGTAATACAACAAGCACATATCCCGGGTTCGACCAAGCCATGGCCCATAAGCAACTCCAACGAAGAACCGAAGCTCAAATCCTACATGATGAAAGAGTAGGGAGCAGTTCCCCGGAACCCACAGAACCTACGATACCACGCGTGAATAATAAACAGAATATGACGACAATAGGAGGAGGTAGGCGCCCATCAAATACCATCGAATACTCCGGCAACGAATTAGTATCCGATGCCGACTTTTCCGACACAGACCTTGCCCGCCTCCCTGGAACCTCCACCCTCTCTCTAAGCCTACACAATCCGACCGCCTACCCAGCCCCAGACCTCGAAGTAAAGGCCCCTTCTTCCACTCCCCTCGCCCTTGCCCGCAACGCATCCCAACTATCCCTTGCCCCAAACCCAGCTCTTCCAGACCAAGACCCCGAACGCGTAGTCTACCAAGGCTACCTCCTGTATCTGCGCTCCAAAAATGGGATCCGCTCTTGGAAAAATCTCTGGGTCGTCCTCCGTCCCCGCTCCCTATCCTTCTACAAAAACGACTCGGAATACTCCCCCGTCATGATTCTCCCCATGGAAAATGTCATCAATGTCGTGGAGATTGATCCACTGAGTAGAACCAAACGATATTGTTTTCAGGTGATTGGGGAGGAGAAGAGTTTTAAATTTTGTGCGGGGAGTGAGGGGGTTTTGATCAATGTGCTGGGCGCGTGTAAGAGTCTTTTGGCAAGGAGGAAGGGGACTGCGGGTGTGTAGCGGGGATAGAAGTAGATGTGGAGGTAATGTTTTGATGGGGAATGTCCTATCCTGTCTCTTTACGCAGAGATTGGATGAAGGGAATGAGAAGAAAGAAATAATGCCTAGTTACCAGCGCTAGGAATAGTATATATGCTGGTAGGGGCGGGCAGGCGGAGATGTGTGAAGTGTAGTAGATGCGGCGTTGAGAAGGACGAAGAAGAAAAGTCCATAACATAATAACGACACGAAACGAAACGAACCTTATGATGAATGTAAATGCTAATCAATACCTACCGGGCTGTTATCTCTCTTATTTGTTCCGGGGGTTTTGTTTCTTTTGTTTTTCTTTTGTTTTAGTTTTAGTTTGTGTTGGTTTTATTCTGGGTATAGAGTGGAGTGGAATGGAGTGGAAAGGGGTGCAAAGAATTAGGCGAGAGGAGAAATTGGAGAATGGGGGTGAGTGGGGGGAAAGAGTAAGAGGAAGAGGAAGCGGAAGCGGAAGAATGGAGAATGTAGAATGGAGAATTCAGAACACAGAATAAATCATAAAGAACATTCCAAATTGCGAATCATAATAATATTAATAATAGATTATGCATAGTACTCGTATATTCTAAACATAAATATAGTATATCTACACATATTATCTACAACCAACCAACCAATTAATCAACCAACAAATAGAATAGAATAGAATAGAATAGAATAGAATAGATGAAAAAAAGACACTCTTTCTCTCTTCTTTTCTTTTATATATTTTTATATAAAAATATATATCACTACTAATACTCGAGTACTGGAGTAGTAAAGTAGCTCAGCTCGCTCATTCGCTATTCATTCTCTACCTCTCTACCTAGGTACTCTTTATCTATTCTCTACTCTCTACTCTCTACTCTCTACATATCTCTATGAGTAATTCATCCATCCATCAATATGTATATCCATCCATCCATTCATCCAAGCAAAGCCAAGCGGAAAGAAAAGAAAAGAAAAAATCTACATACAGCCCGTTGAAATCTAAGGGGTAAGGGTAAATAATTTATAAACTAAGTGTATAATAAACTTGCAATGTCACATTGTATAAGTCCAGAGCGTAAATGTTTTTCACCCGCTCATCGAGTGGGGAGAAGTGAAAGAAGCTCGAGAACTGAGCTATTCTCTTAACCCTTCCCCCTCCCCCAGAACCTTCTATCATTATACGCTGTACAAGAGTATTGTGTTGTTTTCGCATCACATCACATCGTATGTTCGTCTCGTAATGTAATCTAATGCAAGGCAAAGCAAAGATTTAGTCCCGATTATCATACTCCATACAGGTGTCATTCATGTCATTCGTCTCCGTTGTATTCTATCGCATACAGCTAAACCTAATTTCCTAACAGAAATCCAACCAATTGTTTGACGACGCAGTTGCAAAAAAGTTTAGTCGAGCCTATATCGTAGCCAATTGTCCTTCGTTTTGTTCGTATCATTCGCATCATTCGTATCGTGAAAGTCCACATTTGAATCCCCGTCCCATTTCCCATTCTGTACCATTATTTATCCACCATGTTCATTCTGATTCCACTCTTACAGATCTTGGCTTAAAATTGTGTAATCAAAACATCTGGGACATGTAAGCCAACACCCTCTTCCATAACCGCAACCCCATCTTCTACCTCCAAAGGTCCCGCGCCGAAAAAACGACCATCGGATTCGGATTTTTCCATTAGCGTTGGTGTTGTCGGTGCAGCTAGTAATGAGATTTCCGAGGGAGTTTGTGGAGGAAGAGGAATCAGTACTGCATGATTTTGGAGAATGTTGGAGCTCAGGAATCTGAATGGATTGTTACTGATGCTTGGATGGTAGGGAGGAGCCGATTTCTTAATATATGGGAACGGGTAGGAGGAGGTAGATTCGGAGGACGTTGGAGTGCTGTCAGTAGAAGAACTCGGGAAAGATCCGGGGGTTGAGGAAGGAGTGTCGGAGAAGAAATCGGATCGGGGGTAAGGGGTTGGAAGTGGTCGTGACGGGTTGCAGGAGTATGTTGGAGAAGGTAGAGAATTGGATTTCAGGTTGTTGGGAGTGGATGTGGCAATTGATCGATGACTTAGAATACCAAGACCAAGATCGGTTGCTTGTCTTCGATATCGCAAATTTCGAGATCGTGGTCGGTTTGGAGGGGGTGACTAGATAAGATTAGTTCATGCTCAAGTGTAATAAATTTGAGGGTGAGAAGGGGGAAAAAGAGAGCTTGGTACATACAACTGGATTTGGTCTCAATCCCAAGTTCTTAACAAGCTCAACTTTGCCCACGGGCCTAAACTTCTGCAAATTAAACCCAAATCCAGTGGTAGCGGTACAAGGTACGTCGTCATTTACAATGGCATTGAGACTGAGGTAACTGCGATCGACGAGGGTGGGTCGGCATGTATGGCAACATTTGAACTGGCACTCTGTACCTCTTGATGGCAACCATGGACGTGGGTTGGTGACTCTCAAGTTTGGAGCTGTTTGAGAGGCAATGGGTGATGGGCGAGAGAAAGGATTGAACAAAAAACGAGGGATGTTGCTGGAAGAGATTGACGTTGTGAGTTCGGGCTCCTCATAATCGGCAAGTATGTCAAGAAGCTATTTGGGATGTCAGCAAGAGTATTGAAGATATCGAAGGTTGATTGCTAAACTTACATGACTGCGTTGTTTGAGGATTATTTGGATTTTTGCGGGTGTATAAGTTTTGAGATCTTCATTGCTGATTTCATCTAGGAAACTCAATCTCGACTTGCGTGCCTCGGGTCCACGTGGCCTGGGTGAAGTAGGTCTTGGGAAAATATCACAAAGATCGTCGAGTTTCTCTTGACTCTTTGGGAAAGTTAATAAATCATGCTATGCAACGAAATGTCAGATATTGTAGCTGTGGTGAAAACTTACTGCATGTCCATGATCCATATCATCCTCTAACATAAGTTCGCGATCTTGAGTACATCTCCAAATCCATCCAAATGAACCTTCCCGAAAACAAATGCTACACCGAAACTCTGTTGTAAACAACCGTGTAGTAGTCAAATGTGTACATTGTACATTTCTTGTAACATGCGCGGCGCGTCTAGTAACTTCTGTCAAAGCAGGTAAGGAATTTCGATTGGTATTGGTATTGATAGTAGCGGTATGCATTGCAGTCGTCATTGAAGAGATAATGCTGGCTGTTGATGCGGATGTACGTCTCACCGGAAGTTTTGAGGATCTTGCTGTAGTATTTGTCGTGGTCTTCGCTGTCGCCATGATTCGTTGGGAGGGATCAAGAAGATCCAAACAAACACTTGAAATGTTTGATGAAAGTATAAGCAACAATTCACTATCAAGCTTTCGAGATGCTTGGGGCTTGTGAATTCTATAAGATGTATTTTCTTTGAGGCGCGTATAAAACCAACAAAATTATGGTTGATTGATTGGATTGAATGAATGAATGTAGGTTGCGAAAAAGATTTCTTGTTATTTATTTTTTTCGTCAATTTGGGACCAATCTTGACTTCGCTTCACAAACCAAATTATAAAAATTAAATAACCAATAGTACCTAGGCAACAGGTAGACAGATGTAAAAATAAAAAAAGAGTGAAGTATGACTTCAGAGATGGGATGCATCCATCTGATTATGTGAAGAAACGTTGGCATTAAATGGATCTGATATTTGAATTTGAAACAGGAAACTGCAGCATAGTACCGTACAGAACAGAAATGCCATTTCTGGTCATCTCTATTATACCTGCCCACCAGGTATAGATAGGTACCTACTAGGTAGGTATGTAACTGGTAGTCGCTCCTACCCTTCTAGTGAAGGTTTTCAAAAATAATAGAAATGGTCTGATCAGACAGAGAGAACATCAATTGAAAGTTGGTCTAGATCTTGATCTGTCAAAGTGATAGAATATACTCGAGTAGAGAGATAGGAGCTTTATTTCCAGTATTTTCACCCAACTTCCGTTCTCTCTCCCCTCTCCTCTCTTCTCTCTTCTTTCTTCTCTCGTCCCAACTACAACTGACACTCATATTTACCGGTACTCTGAAGAACTTCAACATTTATTTTCCACTCGCAAATTAACATCAATACTCCCCCCCCCCCATGTATAAAGTTCGAGATGATTTTTGAAAAGAGCAGTTTGAAGAATGTCTCGAAGCAGCTTTCAATATCCTGTACATCTTTGAGGGATATTTCTGACGGTCCCTTTAAATGCACAAGTTTCTGGGAAATATTGGAATGGTGTGTTTGAGGTAGCCTTCAGTAATGATCTCGAATCATGACGATCAAAAACGAACGAATGGCCGAGTTTATTCCATGTATATCTTGTGAAAATAGCATCAAATTTATGCTTAGAAGACTCATCGAATGTTCGAAAGATCTGTACAAGTGTCAGTACAGGCAGAGTAGCATTCTGTAAGGATTAAAAACTCGATCGAGCACACGGTACTGTACCTGACAACACGTAATCATACATGTTGACAGGATGCATATGAATCAATGTATGATTTCTATTCATGAAGCGATATGAGTTTATGGGTGGAAGTTCCTTCATCAGTTCCAACTTGCAGAGATTTTTAATCGTGATGTCTCAAAACTTGGACATTTTTTTTCATCAAGTCCCACACGTGTCTCTCATTTTGGTCACCACTTCTATCATTGATGAAATTCTAGACTTCATGAGCCGAGTAGCTTTTTATATGGAGATGTACCAATAATATACTGTTTGAATTTCCAGCTGGCCAATGCACGAACCTGGGGTAGATCTATGTGAGTGAGTACCGTATCAATTTGTAGCGGAGGTGGTAGGTACTCGTTGTTTGTCCAGTTTGAGAGAGTGGAAAGAGGTGGAGGAGGTGGAGAAGAGGGGTCGGAGGTTTAGATGGCTGAAGAAAGAGCAAAAGAGAAGAGGAAATGGGATGAATGGGGTGATTTAATGAAGTGGGTTTACTACTCAGTATATTCAGAATCAGATAATGAATATGAACATGGAGAAAGAGTAATAATACATAACCTTTATATGGAGCAAAAGACGATAACTAGTAAACAAAGCAAGGCTCAGTAGTGCTTACTATATAATATATATATAATAATCTTTGTACAATTGGTAATATGGTAATATGGTAATATGGTGCATACCTTTATTAAAACCTTACTATTGTGCTAGCTGCTTACCTCGGACTACAAGTAACCCCGTTCGTATCTTAATATTAATTTCCAAAAAGGACAATGCGGGCGGCAAGAGGGTTTTTTTTTAATCTCATCAAATATTATTACAGTACTGAGTCTGAATAAGTAGGTAGGTAGGTATGTATTATGTATTCAATATATTCATATTCATATTCATATCCATCGTCTCCTCGCACGATCTTCGTTGTCGCTCCTGTACCTTTTTAATCATTTGGTTGATTCGTTGTAAGATCTTACCTATTTGTAGTTATACCGGCTTGAATTCTGTTTGAAGTAGCGAGTCCCGAACACTCAAAGCTTTGCTTTTTCTTATCGACGACTTGCATCCATCCCCATCTGCATCCCAAGCCTTATCCCAAGCCCATCTTGGACCTTGCATACTCTATTCGGTGAGAATTATGGTACTCAAGACCAGTAGGCCAGACCAAATCCTTGTCAAAGCCGCTAAAATACATAGATCAATCTCCGCATCCCATCCTATCCCACCTAATTCTATCATATCCTATCCTATCCCCATCAATGCTCAAAGATCAATCACACCCTGCTGTTGATATCCGACCCGAGCCCTTTTCTCTAATAAACCTGAAGTTACTTTTTCCTGCCACCAAAAAAATCCCTATCCCTCCCTCCTCTTTCCCTCCCCCTTCCCCCCAGCCCTCCAATAACTAAAACCTTTCGGGTCTTAATTTTGTTATTGTTGTATAGAACACAACTCGTACATCGTGTCAACTATTTTATTATTTTATTTTTGACTTCAACTACCTACCCATACATAATCAATCATATCCACGATAGAGGTCAGTTCCCCCGCATTATTTCAATTGGGAACTTTTGAAATCTATTTATTATCTTGCGCATCATCAAGTTCGTTCTAGCTATAGAGGGGAGGGGGGGGAAGGGGCCTTGTTCGCGCCTCGATCAAGACCTGTTACCTTAGCTCACCTCGGCTCCGCATCGTGTAAACAACGAGCCGTGAGAGATCCTCACGCGGAAACTGTTTCTTCTCTTCATTTCTTCAGCTTCCCGATATTTTCGTTTTTATCAAACGAGTCGCATTCACAAGCTTTATATACTGATAACATTATTCAATCATATAGTTTCCGAGGGTTTGAATGACCGCTCACCCATCACAATGTCGGTCAAATTCGAGAAAGATACCATAAAAACCACCGGTCTTCTTGCAGGAATACAAGGCGCTTCAGCGATCGATGTTAACGTTAAAGATGTTCATCACCATCACCATTTACCAGGTCACCACCTAAGACACAATGTCGGTGTCGCATTGACTGGAGGGAAAGCCAGTGATGGAACACCAGGATACCTATCGGTAAGCCATGATTCTCGAAAACCATCTATTGCGCAATCAGATCGATCACTAACCATGTTTATGCTTAATAGATGTATCTCAAAGAGCTACAAACTAATCCTCTTCGTACGAAAATGCTCACGTCTGGCACATTATCGGCTTTGCAAGAACTTTTGGCCTCATGGATCGCGAAGGATCGTAATAAGGATGGTCATTATTTCACGTCTAGAGTTCCAAAAATGGCTGCATACGGTGCTTTCATCAGTGCTCCTTTAGGCCATGTATTGATTAGCATATTGCAAAGGATATTTGCGGGCCGTACTAGTTTGAAAGCCAAGGTTCTTCAGATTCTTCTGAGCAATTTAGTTGTAGGTTCAGCTTGACTACTCTTTATCAGGTAAACAAAAGCTAACAATTGATCAATAAAGGTGGCTCCCATTCAAAACACCGTGTATCTGACCTCAATGGCACTTATTGCAGGCGCAAAGAACATTCATCAAGTACATGCGACTTGGAGAGCTGGTTTTATGCCAGTTATGAGGGTCAGCTGGATCACTTCCCCTCTAGCTCTAGCTTTCGCACAAAAATTCCTTCCTGAGCATACCTGGGTCCCATTCTTTAACATCATTGCTTTCACCATCGGAACATATGTGAATGCGACGACCAAGAAGAAGCGTCTTGCAGCCCTTCGCAAGAGACACTACGATGAGACTAGAGGAGGAAGACCCGACGACTACCCTGGACCAAATAACGGACCAGGAAGCCAAATGGGGGGACCAGGACCAAAACGCGACTACTAATTTACGAAGGGGACGGAGGGGAAGGGGGTCATTAAGATGAAATAACACAGCATGGATCACATCCGGCTGTGCTTATGGTCACAAATTTTTCCTTATCATAATGTATTTTCGGTTCACGGATCTCAATTTGGCACGAGGTCAAAATTACTGGTTATGGGTGGCGACCGCTTGCAGATATCCTGTGGTCCATGCAGAGACCTTGCTTGCTCTTTTCTCGGGGGGGACAATACCACGTTAAAAGCCTCACCTATCTCACCTGCTGTATAGTTTTTACGATTTCATTGGTTATAAGTAGAAATGAATGGGCGTTTGCTTGTCAAGTTTTTCCATCTCAATGTGAATGCTGGGTAATACTTGGGTGGATTGGGAAAAGCAATCTGCCGAAGGCAATCTGTTGTTTAACACGTCGTCTTTGTGGGATGCGATTGCTACATGACATGAAGACGGAAAGGTAAGTCATATTCTTGTCATTTGTCATTGACACCCAGACACAACATATGATTACAATAACGGGTGTTCTAGGACATTCTTGAGGGGCAAAGCCACGGAGGAGGGAGGATAAGGATAAAGTCGAAGCGATTCTCTGTATCTCTTATTTTCTTAGGTGGATACGTTGCTTTTTACGTTATTTTGGTTTGCACCTTCGAGTGAATACAGTGGAGCTTGCTTGACCTATTGGCAAACGCACGCTTCTTCATCCTTCGCCACCTACTCCCAGGATACTAGCTCTTACAGCTCTCTTTTCCCATCACTCATCAATACCCCCTGCTCTTTATTATTCTTCGCTCGCTCGCTTCTCCCACCAAGCTCGCAAGTCAGCCGACCCAGTTTCAATACCACTCTGGGCAATGTCCGCATTGATACCTTTATCCCCATACGTCCCCCCTCGAGCACGCGTCCTCTCGCCCTCCGATCGATATCCCGGCGGTGCGCGGGGTAATGCCCATCACGGACCACTCCTACGAAATTCCTTTGATAATGGATATAATGCCCTCGGAGGCGGCGCCATGATATCCATCCCTGTATTCGGCGCCCGGGCCGGACATGGAGCACTTGCTCGTGGAGGTGGAGCTGGAAGGAATTACAATGATATGAACATGAATATGAACATGAACATGGTACTCCCCCATCAAATACGAAGAGGAAGCCTCGACATCTCCTATCACAACATCCCTCACGCACATCCTCATCCACTCATGGATCCGCGTCTCCGACACGCACCTCAAGTACAAGTTGTGGATCCAAACGCCATGTTTAGGGATCCGTGGATAGGAGCGAATATGGGTGGTTGTACGCAGGAACCATATACGTGTCCCTGTCACGAATGCGAAGTTTTGCGTTTACCGCAACGCGCGCTGGTTGCGCCGATGAATGTTGGGTGTCATCATGATAGTAGGGGACATGGAGGTCATGGACATGGAATGGATTTGCATAATCATTGTTGTTCGGGAGGAGGAGGAGGACACAAGGAGTCTTCATCCTCTTCCTCGGGATCTGGCGGGAAAGAGAAATCGAGTTCGTCTGGAGGAGGGGGAGGGGGTGGAAGTGAAGGCTCCAACTCAAAAGAATACGGTTTTCCTACCAAAGATATTGTCATCAGAGGGAAAACCTACGCCTGTCGTAAATCCTTCCTCGCGGATCAAGGAAAATTCGAAGATTCCCTCGTCAAAATGATGGAAAAGAAAAAGGAAGATGAAATCCCCACCACCGTTCTCGATTCCCTCTTCTCCTGCATCAACGAAGAAAAAGTATTATCCTCCGCCTCAGCCCACGATCTCGTCACCCTAAACGTACTCAGTAGTTCCTTGGGCATCAAGAGCGTCATGGAGAAATCGCTCACCCAGCTTAAGAAACAATGCTCGGATAATATCGTAAGTGGCAGTACGCTCACGGGTATCGTGGTCACGGTTATGATGAGTAGTAAGGTGGATGAGGGACTGCGCGATTGGTTGAAGAAATACATTAAGGGCTGGGGTTTGTGGGAGGAGTTGCAGGGTTTTGCGACGTATATTCGGTGTGTGGAGGATCATCCGGAGATTCATACGGGGTTGCTGGAGTTGTTGGGGTTGAGGAGGAAGGCGGATGGGGAGGGGTATAGGATTATTTAGGGGGTGTGGGAGTGGATGGGATAGGGTGGGATGGGTTGGGTTGGATTAGGATGGTTTGAATTGGAAATCTGGTGGGGGAGAAAGGAAAGGGGAGAGTGGAAAGGAAAGAGAGGAAAGAAGAAACATACGTCTTATAAGAGACAGATCGATAGAAAAACTTACAGACTGGAAAAAATAGGTGATGATTTCACTTCCGAATCATCAGGAAGCCATGATGAAAAAAAAGGAAAGGAAAGGAAGAAAGAAAGAAAGAAAGAAAGAAAGAAAGAAAGAAAGAAAGAAAGAAAGAAAGGAAAAAGGGGTAGGTAAGAATACAATATTCTGTAAGCAGTCAGTATAGTCATAGTTAGTATAGTCAGTCCATCGGTGGTTTTTTAGATATTGTATGCTAGTATGTTATGTTATTCTATGTTATGCTATTATTCGGTTGTAACTTTGATTCATGATTTATTCCCTTTGCTCTATTCACACATCCACTTCAAACCATATGAATTCAAACTAATCTCTTCCTCCCTCCCCTGGATTGAGCCTCAATGTTTTTCATCACAGGATGTTCATGCTTCTATATGTGTTTTTCAAGCCCCTTTATACAAATCATATCTATTTTCTCTTAGAGCACCTAATCTATATATATATATACTTACTTAATCTTATATATATACAAACCCATACTCGAGTATACATATTTGTATTATCGAATAGTCTACCAGCCGGCCAGTTATAGGTATCTAATATACTATGCCATGCCATGCATGCTATGGAATACTATTAGTATATCAAATACAGCCCAGCCCAGTCCAGCCTCAGCATAGTATAGTATAGTATAGTATAGTATAGTAAGTACCACATAACCAACTATATATAATAAGATACAACTATATAATAAACAAAACACAATGAAATACGATAGGATAGGATAATATGAGATACAATACAATCCCAATACTCAGAGTACATAACACAAACTTTCCATCTACTGCCAGCACACATATCCGGGTACACACATACATATATGCATCACTAGAATCGTATATACTACATTACAGATTCATGTTTACAGCAAAGATATCCTCTTTACTTTGGTTCATCTACTAATAAGTACCATTTATAAACTATATACTATACCATACCATATCATACCGCTATTCTTGTACAGTATATACATACAGTGCACCCTCCCGAACTAGATTTTGATTCATGAAGAAAATCGAAAACCGAAAACCAAAAACGAATCGTCATGCGGTGCTCCATTCACATCACTTGGTTTGTCTGCTATGCTGTGAGTTTCCTTTCCTTTTCTTTACGTGGGGGTGGATGTGAAAGGGACCTAAGGGTTGGGTTTTTGGTACGGATTTTTATTGGGTGGGATGAGGAGGAGGTGAGGTGAGGTGAGGTCATTAGGGTGTGGCGGTGAGATGTCTATATCTATATTTATATCTATACATATTTATATATACACAAATACGGTATATGCATTCAAGGGAGAGATTTGGAGGAAAGGAGGGAGGGGGTTACTAGTAAGCAAGCAAGGTTTTTTTGTGTAATGTGTGATGTGTGATGTGTGATGGTTGGTGGGGTGGTGTGGTGTTTGTGTTTGTATTTGATGATGATGGTGATGATGGTGTATGTAGGTTTGCCTTGCCTGGTACACAATGGAATGAGAATATGATGTGATGTGAGGTGATGTGATATGTAGGATTTAGGAGGGGTACTCCGTCTCCGATTTAGGAGGCGATGGGGGTGATGTTTGCATGGCTATGTGTATGGCTATGCATGTGGGATCCCGTAGATATGCTACCAAGATATGAGGGAGCGGAGAGTACTCCGCTCTGAACCCGTTTTTGGGGGCTCATTAGATTGGTTGGGGTTTCTTGTGGAGATTTGATATATGTGGTGTTTGTATATATACTACCGTATATGAGATTTGAACGCTTGTTTCCTCTCGTTTCTATTCGTATTTTCTCTCTCAGCTTTGCCGCTGCCGTTGACATTGCCATTGCCATAATCTTTGACAATTTTTCCGATTCCATCATTATCCTATTTGACCCACCCTCAACTCACTCCATAACTTTACTACTACGCAGTATTCCTCCATAAATATCTCAAACTAGTCCCTCCGGCCACAGTCCCCAACAATCCCACCCAAAATTCCGTCACCAGACCTTTCTCCAAGCTCCAATGCACTGTTAATGGCGCATACGCCAAATTAACAATCAAACTTTTCCTCCACCTCTCCATCCACTCCCTATGTTCCTTCTCCTTCTCGCCCTCCTTCTCCGCCGTCTTTTTATCCCTTCTACCATATTCTATTCCCAACTTTACAATATCAAGCCCTACATGTAGCATCCAACATCTCACACTCCATATTCCTGCTTTCGCTTGCTTGGCTTTGTCCCATGAAAGTATATTTTTCGAGCTGAGATATGCGCCATTTTCCAGAACCTGATAGCATAAATTCGCCATCACTTGGATTTGTACAATCTTCCTAATCAATGCATCTTCAGGCGGACTATTCCACGTAGCTTTTCCCCATTTGTAAATTGCCAATAACCCCCAAAGACGCCCAAATGTTCTAAAATCCGATATCAATGCACTTAGTGCCTTGAACCTTCCAGCCAGTACTAATAATTGAGAACTGGGTATGGGGAGCGTCGAGGATGATAGAAAGATGGTGGTATTTGGGGGAAGCGAAATGGCTTTTTCAATGAGGAGACGAGCGGTTTGGCGGATTTGATGGAGGGAGAGGCGGGAGAGGAGATTGGAGGTTAGGAGGGAACTATAGCCGATGGTGCAGAGGAGAACATCGATGCCGGAGGGGGTACTGAGCAGTTTTGAGAGATGCGTGAGGACGCTGTCGGTTTTGGATAGATATAAGGGGAGCCAGCTTTGTAAGGCCTGCGGTGTGGGAAGTTGTGGGGGAGAAGGTGTGGGGATGGAGATGGGGAGAGGGATAGCGGATGTGGGGGAGGTTTCTGCAGGTGGAAGCCCGCTGATTTCGGACATAGTGAGTGGGTGATGTAGATGTGTAGATTTGATATATTAAAAAAGATGTGTAGTTTTCAAAGGACTTGGGAAAATATATAGAAAAGATCAAATGAAATGAAATTTATCTTAAGCTATTGTTTAGTTGGATGGATATGAATGAGCATGGATGAGGTACAAGCTCGGGAGTAGATGTTACGCGATAATACCGAGGTTCGGAGTTGGAGCTTGCTGAGCTTTTAGCTTAGTTAACGGGTAAAGTCCGGGTATCATTTTTGGTTTCGTAACACTTCAACAGAAGATGAACAAACTGTTGAATCACATTGTATACGACGGTGTGAGTTGTGGTTGGAGAATCACGATTTGTGTTGATTACAGCAATTACTATTGAATAAGCTAACATGCAAACATCACTGGCAAATAGTCATGCTTGCTCGAGTCAAATTTGAACAATCATTGATCTTCTCAACTCTCATCTGGATAATACAGTTGGCTGTACTGGAAACATCTGGGGAGGATTGGCCAACAAATGAGCAAGTAAGTATCGATCCATTTTACTATGCCGACATGGTTTTGGTGAATTCACTATATAGATAACATTCCACGATGAGGTCTACCTCAACCAATCACACTCACGTTTCGAGGAAGCACCTTGCAAAATCACATTACAATCAAGTCAGACTCCAAATCCAAATAGATTCAACGCTCTGCATTGCTTTTTGAAACATTTAATCGCAATAGGAAACTCCAAAACTCAAAGATCTAGACTCAAGACCGCAAGGCCTTTGCAATCATCATCGCACATACGATAGTATGCAAAGCCACCCAATCGGAAGGTCTATCTATATGAAAAACCATGATAACCACTACAAAGGCAGACTCGTCTGAGCCGCAAAAGAATCGCCAGCAACGCCTTTCTCAATGCCCACTCCATCTTTCCTTCAATTGCTTCCATCCACCATTCATCATATCAGAATATCCCGCAAAAAGGAAAATCCAACGACCTGGCTACCAGTTCATATTTCCTGCAAATCATATATTCGAACAACCTTCATCATTCATCCCTATATATCCTCCGTTGCGGTAGCTGCGTTCAATTTCGCCAATTCCGCCTGCAACTCCTCTAATGGCTTGCCCAACCCCCATTCTCTCATCGCCAGATTGGGTCTCAAGACCATTCGGAAAAATCGTTGATGCTGCAAACACTTATGATCCCATTTCTCAGCCTTGACATCATAGCCAACTCCTGCTGCAAACCATTGGAGTAAACTGACTTCCGGCCAGTCAGATGTTAGGTCCGTGGGGCAAACAAAGTAGCGATGAGATTCAGTCTTGCCGTAATCTTGACGCGAGGTGATGTGAATCACGTATGTTGGATGAGGGTTGGTCATGAGCGGATTGTTGATGAGATTCGATGGGGAAAGAACACGCTGAGGAATGAAAGGATCTGGGGCTGTTTGCGTCCAGTATGGTTCTTGGACGGTTCTGAAATCATCGAAAGAAATATCAGCAAATGTTTCGGGCGAAGTTGAATTCTGGAATGGTCCCAGTTTTTCAGTGAGACTTCGAGGTTGAAATGGCTCCAATGGTTCAGTGGGTGTCGAAGATTTGAATGACCCAAATACTCCAGTACGAGCTGGAGATTGTGTTGGTTCAAACGTCCAAGGAGACTGAGAAGATTTACCGATCCCAGGTACGTCAAGAGGAGTGAAGGATTGTGCCAGGGGTTGCATTGCTTGAGCGGTCGCACGCAATCTCCACTCCGGGATTTTCGAGTCGGTGATGCTGGATCCAAGATTGGGGACCCCCGGTGAAGGGAGGGCAGTAACTCCATTCCTAAGGAATTCCATGAATGATTGCCCAACCCCGGAAGAAATGGAGGTCATCTTGGAGGTGGGCTTCGAAGATGGCTTTGAAGATGGGGGTGTTATCAGAGGTGACCCAAAGACAGCATTGTCATTCCTGAAATGGGAAATGGCAGAGCAAATTGGTCTAGGCGGCGTGTTGGTAGGCGAGAACGGAGGGGAAGAGGGGAGTTTAAATGCGCTCATAAACATTGATGAAGGGGTGGGGGATTTGGTGGATGTCAATGAAGGAGGTGGGGCTTGATGCGTCGTCTTGTGATCAGGATTGTAACTTCGAATCATGTCCATGAGATTCACGGAGACATCATCCGATTCCTCCTGGATGGAGATGGCTGCTGCATAAATTTCAGCAGCCTGGCGTTGAATTTCGGCAGCCTCCCGAGCTTGGACCAACTCAAGATCTTTGACTGCTGATAATCGGGTTGCAAAATTGAGGAATGACTGATAAATAGCTTGGTGAAATTGCCTGTTGGGATCGTGGTATGGTTTGTCAGAGTATCGAGTGTCGACTTGGGTGCAACCATCGCAGCAAAAGATGTTGTCGGGAAGTGACGTTGTATCTGGCTGGTGAGTCATTGTTTTGATGTCACAACAAATATGGTGATAGATATAAGATATCGGATATATGATACTCGTAAGTAAGAAAAGTAAAGATAGAGGTAAGAAAGGTAAGTTAGTATGTTGTCTCTTGTTGTGAAGGAGTATTATTATCGAAAGCAAGTTGCTTGAGTGTTGGTCGTTTTTCGGAAATTTCGTTGTGTCGTGGAGTCGGAGGTTGCACGGAGAATCAATCCATCTGAGAAGCTCTCTTATAAAGACCGAGGTACAAGAAACGTAGCTCGTGAATCATTGTTTTCAGAGGAGAAAGACGCAGATGAGGGGGCTGCGCCACGGCATTCACTGGCGTCTAATGGGGATGCAGTAAACATTTTGTCGGGAGGTGACCTGGATGAGTGGGCACTGTGGGGAGATTCAATCAACTGGTGGGTGATTCACAGACAGTCATGAAGTTAGAGGTGGGGTAGAGAAGAGAGCTTGATGCAGGATAGGGAGATGATGAAGGAGGATATGGGACGTTGGGAGATGATGAGGGCGAGTTGCCCCTATATATGAACGGGCCAGATCACTACCGACGATGTTATGGTTGAACGACTTTATATGATTCTAATGTACTTCGTTGGTGTTTGCAGCAAACGGAGTATGACTCTTTTACAAAGATCACGAGCCCCTATTGTTGCATTGCCATCCGATTTCGGACATCTATATTCACTGATCAACCTTTAAATTGTCCTCATTTTTGAATGTCCTACATAGAGAGCAGTTCTAAATATCCACTTTAGGACAGCTCATTCACGTTCATCCTTTTGTGTTTTGTGCTAGTCTGTTTACTAGTAGTGTGAATGACTTTTTTATCCTTCATATGAGAATGTATTATGCATTGTGAAAATTCCTTTTAATGGAACTTCTATCTTCTACTTACAAGAGTTTACGAGTAGAATATCAATCTCTTCAAGGAATCAGATCAGGGGTAAGTACTCGGTTCTCCGCGTATTTGAAACTTAAATCCCTGACTACTACTCTACTGTATAATCAAATCCCATACTATTCAAATCCATAATTCATACTTCCTTTATACTTCATACTTCCTTTATAATCCTCTCATATCTAAAGACTAGAGTCACGAAAACAATATATACAATGATACAATAATGATAACATATCACTTAACCAACCTCCTATCTCATCTCATCTCGTATCTTTGGTTGAGAGGTTGGGATTTCTTACTTTCTGCTTCTCCTTGCTGTATGATGCCTGTTATCAAATTAGATTAATAGAAATAACCCCTAATATCAAGCGAGGGTCTCTCGGTTACCCCACTTACCTACTCAAGTCATAGCTATATCTATTAACGGATCACCATCACCACCATCATTACCATCACTACGACTTGAAATAATTATTATCACTCGAGAAATATCACTAGCGCTTACGGGAATTGGTGATGTTATAATTCTCATCTCCATCTCCAATATGATTAGTTTTTAATAATCTAAGGCTAAGATAGTAAGGGTGATGTGAGGGAAAGACTATATATACTCGAGTATATATCCATTTAAATTATTATCTATTTATCCGAAGAAAAAAAGCGGAGTACAGTATATATATAGTAAGCACCATGATAGTAATACTTATACACACAGATGAAACTTTGAACATTATATTTTTATTCTATCCTATTAGAGTATATATACCCCATCCAGTACTCTCCACCCACGGACCATCTTCCATCTCATCTCATTCTCGCGAGGGGTCAAGGGTGGGGGTGAAAGCAGGTCCTATGATATCTATCTTCTATTTTTATTTTTATTTGTATTTCTAAAAGGATATTTCTATTCTATTCAAGGTCCATCTGTCTGTCCATCTATCTATCTATATATGTGTACCAAAAAAAAGTTAGATACTCGAGTAGATGTTATTGGATAAATATACAAAGAGCGTGCTATCTACCACTGTGGGCCGAGTCTAGTAAGGTAAATTCGAAAATGTAATGTACTGTAAATATGTGATATGTAATACGGTACATAGTCTATTCTTACTCCCATCCACATTCATATTCACACTCACATTCACGTTCCGTCACAAGGTTCAAAATCGTAGATTCAGCCTCATATATATACCTCGACTTCATACCTCGACTAACTACCGGTACCATACCATGCATGACCGAGAGATACTCCAAGCAAGCAAATCCAAGTCCAAGTTCAGACCAAAGAAGATCTCTACAGTAAGAATTGTGCCCTCCCCAAAGAAATGTGTAATCAATGTTACCTGTAGGTGTAGGATAGGCATGCTATGCTATGCAATATGATAGATACCGTTCCTTCTTATCCCAATATGTACGTGATGTGTTGCACTTTCGCTTTGCGCCTTTAATCATTATCCTTAGTTACTGTATTATCCCTCCTTCCCACTTCCATCTCACTTCCCTCACATCCCCATCCAAAAAACACCCTCCCTTATACTCGTATTATATACCTCACAATTTACAACGGCGGCAATCCCTCCCTACAAATCGGACACTGCAACCGATACTTCATCCAACCCACCAAACACTGCGTATGAAAAACATGTCTACAAGGCGTCACCATATAGCTCCTGCGATCCCAAGCCCCCATCACCCCCTTTGACACACCCTCATCCTCGCCCATGCCCACGACCGGAACCTCTAAAATCTGCATACAAATCGCGCAATCCACGGTTCGAATGCCAGCTTTGTTATCATCCCTCTCACTCTCCGTAGCCATATCCGCTTCTGCAAAATCTGGCGTCGTGGGAGAATTCAGAGGGATTCTCACAAGACCGATAGGTAACCCGCCTGCCTCGACATTGTCTTCCCGCAATACTGGATGGTAGTCCCATCCCTCCTTATACCAACCAAATCGTTTCGGAACTGCCCACCTGGGTCCCAGGACCTCTTGACTGTATAATATCACAACCTGGCACCAAACCCATCCTGTCAAAACCATCATTGCCGTCGAATCACTTTCGCTGAAGAGAAAATTGTCTTCATACAGATAGAAATAAGCGAAAGGTGCTAACCTCAGCAAACTTTGTGTGATGATGAAACGCCAAAGAAGGGCTTTCCGACAATTGCGCGTGATGTTGCGCTTTATTTGTGGAATCCAGAGGGACATGTAGATGAATGAGAGAAGGTGGACATAGGCTGTGCGGAGAGGGACAGGCCAGGAGGTGGAGGCGACGGAAAGGAGGAGGATCACGGTTAGAAGGAGGATGAATTTACCGTAGTAGGGAGTTATGTCGGAGTTTACTCTCGATTCAGGCTGGGTAGTGGTGGTGGTGGTCGGAGCTCCTGCTGGACGAGGTAGTATCGATGCTGCGTTGACATTTTCGGCTATTTCTGCGTCGATATCTTGATCTGAAGGGACGATGATAGGGACATCTTGGGTTGTAGTTTGAGCTGAAGAAGTAACAGGTAAAGGCAGTGTATCTGAGCCCGCGGCCGTGATAATTGGTACTGATTGTACAATCGCAGTTGGGTTTCTAGCTTGTAATTCCGCCAAAGCAGCTGCTTGTTCCCTCTCCCGCTCCAATCGTTCCGGTTCCTGAACACCATAAATATTTGAGATAAAGCGAGCTCCAAGTGCTACGGACATTAAGCCAGCAAATGATGCCAATAATGCAGATGGGAAGATACTGGATAGTGTAGCACTCGCAAGCGACATGGTAAAGAATAACAATCCATCTGCCAGAAGCATCATGCCAACAGTATAAATGCTAATACGGCCAACAGTTGATGGCGTAGAAGCCTCCTTACATTGCACCTTCAGAATTAGAGCCTGTCCAAGAGCTACCACTGCAAGTATTGTTAACCAAGAACGAATGCTTTGTAACCAAATCTCCTGTTTCAAGCCAATAAGATGCTCTCCATCAACAGGTGCAAAATTCGGGGGTCCTTTTGACTCAAGCATAAATCCACAATCAGGCGAGAAAATTATCGTAGATATTTGTAACTTCGGCGGTTGAGGAATAGGAGCGCCATTAGGAAATCGTAGTTCATTCTCGAGTTCCTGGGCAAAAGTGTGTGCTTCAGGTGATGTATCTTGATACTCGAGACCGTTGAATTTTAGAGGTTGTACTTGAGCGAATAAGACGTATTCGCAATGAGGTGTTGGCAAACCATCGATTTGACCCGAATTTGGCTCCAGAAGACTCCTTGGATTTTCCTTTGCAGATTCCTCGAGATTGTGCAGCCTAATGCCTAGAATTTTCTTCATAACCTCTGCACTGCTTGTGAAATGGTCCTCATCAGTCGTAAAGTGAGGGAGGGCAAAAGCTCCAGCGAATTTGTCGCTGCTAGTTGTCAAAAGGATCCCTCCTTCATGTGGCCAATGTACACCATGCATTCTCATTTCATATCCATCTCCATTGCTGCTCTCGTCTTGAATTGTCAGTGAGGCCGTAATCTCCCTAACGAGTATATCCGTAGTCGGATTTGCGCCAATTCCAAGATCAACCCTCTCGATCCCATCAGATATATCCCTTCTTTGAACTTTAACCTCCTCTTCCGTAATTCCTTCCCCAACCTTCGCCGAGGTTTTACCTTCAGCAGCATCACCCTTATTCCTCTTCGCAATCATTTCCTCAACCCCAACCTCATCGAACCTCAACATAACTTTTCCTTCCCTCCCCGTAATATTCTTCGCCCACAGCTCCTCATCCCTCACGGCCCACCCTACCCCCGGCGCAATGACACTTAAATTCAACCCGCCCCTCCTCTCTTTGCCCTCCACCAAGCCTCCCATATACCTGGCCCACCTCCCCTTCACCACTCCTGTCACATTCGCATAAATCCTCCCCTCCAACTCCATTACCCCAACCCTGTTAATTTCCGACTTCCCCGCCGCTTCTCTTGCCCATCTCCTCAATTCATCACTCCTCTCCTTAAACGTATCCAATCTCTCCCATTTATATCCATCCTCCACCTTAAACCCCGTCAGATTCAAATATCTTGCATCTTCCTTCTTCTCCGGCGCAAAATCCCCATAACTTGTCGTATTCAACACCTCATACACATGCCTGTTGTGCGCCAATTGTTCCTCCACATATTGCTGCGGATTTCCAAAATCGGAGGGAATACTGTTGTCATTGGATCCAATCCACCAAAGGACTATGATAATGAACAAGAGGAGCGATACGTTGCCACGAGGAGGTGGCATATTTGCGGATCGTTTATCATTCGATTCGTGCTATTATTTGAGAATCTGCCATATTTCAATCAACCAGGAGAAAGGTAAGAAAACATAACGGATCTGCGAAGTTCAGAAAATGGTTCATTGTATTGAATTTGATATATGGTTGATGGTGGTACAATCACTAAAGAGGCATCATCGGGCACATTCCCTCCCGACCACTCTTGAACCCTGAAACCTTTTGTATTCATGCAATCTAAACTCTCTGATGATTTTGTAACTTCTCAAAACAAAAAACACTCCACTGTCTTTACCTCAAATCCTGCACAATTACAATCCCTCGATATCCATCTACAAATACATACCAAGCAATTCTCAATCATGGCAACAAACGACATTGTATCCCCAAACCCAAATCGCATGTCCACTATCTCCACCACATCCGTCAGTATACATGTGGCCACCACCCTAACCTAATGTTAAGCTCCCGTTCCCGTAACTAACTATTAAACTTTACAAATAGGTAGCAACCGATGCCTCAGCCACTGCAGAACTGTCTCTCGTCGTAGATGAACTTCTAAATTCTCTATCGAATAAATTTGCTGGTGTTTCGAGCGAGATTTTCGCAAAGAGTATGCTCTCCCTCCTTACTTTCCTGCAGGATTTCTCTCATCTTTCCCGCAATATACGGTTTGCGAGAAATTACAAGGACTAATTATATGTCAAATAGTGGACGAGATGTCGCGACGTCTAGATAATCTAGAAGCTACACTGCAAACTAACATGGCACCGAAGGATGGAAGAGGCAGTCCTACGAAGATGTAATCTGCGAATGATGTACGAGTACATTGATTCCAATATACTTGTACAAATCATGAGCCGATAGTGTTGGGGTATGTAAAGTGCACTGTGGTCGAATGTGGGTTGATATGCATATGGAAGTGGGATTATGATTGTACCATTGGGCGTTAAAGAAGGGTAAGGGACGAGATACCAAGTTTGTTATTCAAAAGTACATGATTCATAAATTGTTCATCTCACATACAATATCCACAACTCCTGGGTGCAGCCCAAAACAAACTTTTCCCATGAGATGCATACGTCGTCCTCCTCTACATTGAACAGATTATACTTGTTACAATTCAGACTTTCCGGTTGCCTTCTCGATGAATCTTCTCAAGATGTTGGTCTTGGTAGTAAACTCATCCAACTTCTCTGGTGCCAAACCTCCCTTCTTGATGATACCATCCAATCTGGCAAGCTCCTTGGCAGCATAGATGTCACTCTTGCTTAACTTGTCAAAGACCTTGACATAGTACTCAGCGTACTTGTATTGAGCACCCTCCTTGTATTCTTGAGCAGCCTTGATAGCCTCAGCGGCAACTTCAGCGATGCTTGAACCACCGGTGAATTTGTTGACAAGGGTATCCAAAGCCTCAATGGTACCGGCAGTAGCATCCAGTCCACCACCAACAGCACGGTGTGTGCCGGCCTTGCTGTTCATGAATTCGACGAGATCCTTCTCGGAACGTCCACCGGAGTATGTTTCGGCTTCGGTGCTTCCCTTAGGAAAGAATTTGATGGTTGGGTAAGAGCTAACACCTTGGTCCTTGGCTGTGGCCTTGGAATTTTCTGCTTCGGCATCGACCTTAGCAATGACGACATTGGGTTCATTGGCGAAATCTTGAGCAACCTTCTCCCAGATTGGTGCCAAAGTCTTGCAGTCTGTAACAATAACGATTAGCAAGTCATTGTAAAGATTAAAGTAAATTTTAGGTGAACTTACGGCCACACCATGGTGCAGTGAAAGCAACAATAACATCCTTATCACTACCAACCTGTTCCTTGAATGACTTATCGGTCAACATCTCAACAGCACTTGGGGCAGCCTTCGCCTTCTTAGCCTTGGTGCCAGTCTTCTTGGTGATAAATTCCGTCAAGCTTTCGATATCTCTACCTCCATTGTAATCCTCTGGGGTCTTGCTTTTTCCATCGAAATATTTGATAGTTGGGAAACCTTGGACACCGAATTTCTTTCCCAAGCTCTTCTCGGCATCAGCATCGACTTTCGCAATTGTGATCTTATCCTTTGCAAATGCAAAGTCTTGGGCAAGCTGCTCGTAAACTGGTGCAAGGGTTTTGCAATGTCCGCACCATGGTGCAAAGAATTCAACCAATGCTGGTTTGCCCTCGAAGGCAAATTGATCGAAATTTGATGGTATTAAATCGATGACGGCAGAGGAGGCTGTTGCTACTGTGGCAAGGCCAGCGAATATGAGACTTTTCAAAAGAACCATTTTGAAAGTTTGTTACTGTTAGAAGATGTAAGTGTTTGTATGATGGAAGAAAATTTCTGGCTGGGAAAGAAGTTCTTGGGTCTAAATACCTGATTTTCAGATGTGTGGTTGATTTCTAATAGAGAGGAAGGACAGCTTGCTTTTGCGGTCTCTAGAGCTGCTAACGATAAGCGATCGATAAGCGATAAGAAACTAATACTCGAGTACAGGGTGAGTTTTTGATGATGAGCTTGCTAACTATCTTGAGAACTAACAGTTGCATTTAATCCCAGGACCTTATTGCGAATAAGGAATAAGAATATCTTTATTAATGGTCTAGCTCATTTAAATGGTGCTGAAATCTTGTACTGGAATTAGTTGTCTTTAGAATTACGAGTAGCATGTTAGTACTAAAAGTAAACAAATACTTTTAGACTTGTACTCGAGTAGAAACTTTAGAGTATGCACTCCTAAAATGTATACTAATAGAAGATGCATTCCTTATAATATGTAGGCTTCCAGATTGAAAAAGAATACCAAAACCGATGATATAATTAGGTATATAACCAGTTGAAAGACTCACATCCCAGCCCTATGAGTGCCTACAGCCAAAACATAAGAGTCAGGTTGGCTTGCTAATCGTGGGCGTTGTGATTACTTTTGTATGGATTACTACTGGTCTTACTACTATTCACATGAGATTATCCTCAGTCTCCCGTTGCGTCCAAGGATTAGTATTCCCTATTCATTTCATTGAAGCTTCATAGTTACATATCTTTAACATTCCGAGAGAAAAATCTTCATATCTTGTTATTGTAGTCGGTAGATTCCTCGCGTGTCCAATTGTGTGTATTTAATATCATACTAATATTTTCGTCCATGCCCTCCGTATGATGTATGATGTCCCGAAGTTTGATTGTAAAACTCCGCCGTCCATGCCACTATCTGTGCCACCTCGTTGTCAATCACTTGCTGGACGCCTGCATTAACTTGTCCGTTCTTCAACCTGAGATCTGAACAATGAATTCCACCAGGAATGATTTGTACTGGATGTTGCGCAGTAGACTGCAATTCGCCACCAGGTCTGAATTGAGAGCTGACTCCGGATGTTCTCCATGGATCATATTGACTATAGCAACGTCAGCAGGTTACTAGAAAGTTGGAATGAATATTGTACCCATTTGTCCAAATAAGACGAGTGGTGTTCTCTAGATCCCATCCTTTTGTGTATTTGTTGACACGATTCACCGTAGCACCCTTGGCGCTGGCATACGTGTAGTTGCCCTCAGTTGGGAAGAACAAGGCACATTGTCGTTGCCAGTATTGTGAATCGATGAGACGAGAAACGATTGAAGGTCTGTTCTTTGGTGCTCCACTGCCAAGACAATTAGTACTGACAATATGATATCTATAAATGGGATATATACTTTTGCCAATAGCCAAATGGCTCATTGCAAAGCATCCAGTTCCACTGTCTATCAATAGCATTTCCGACACTATAATCCCTGAACTGCAGGTTATTGAAATCATGTGTGTTGAAGCAGGACGTGTCATTGGCATCATAGCCAAAGCTTTCACAATCTGTTCATCTTTTATCAGTCACTCGATACTTTCAGTGGTAATCAGGTACTTACAGCCTGGTATGTAACTCTTGGTCCATTTTGCATATCCCTCCAATGCGGTAGTAAGACCAACCCCATTCGCGTCCGGTGTGACGGCAGCTCCGGCGGTGACGTTCTTTTTTATATTGAAATTAGAATACAATTAGCCATGCCAGAGATAAAGTTTGACTCACCTCAATTGCATCACAGAATTGGTAGAAACCTGAATAGTTTGTAGAGAAACTGTTCGATTGCCACAACCACGGACCGTTCTCGAGGACAGCCATAAAATCATCATTATGTTCGACAGATTCCAAGCCAAACTTGGTCTTGAGTGCAGTCACTGCACTTTTGTTTCCATGAGTCAACACATTGTCCATATAGTCAATGACTAAAGAAACGTCTTTACTACAGTTCTTTGGCATACCATCTTGAATGGGATAGAAGTATTGCCAGTAGTCATCGATAGCTTGAACTGGGGCACTGGAAGCATGGTATGCCCAGAATGTACCAGGGCTTGTAGATTCAGTCCAAGCAGAGAGTGCACCACTGTAGCTTCCACCCGAGTTTATCCAAGGTGCACTGGCTGCGTTACTGCTGTGGTTTGTGTCGAACGGAAGAGTAACCGTCTTTGCAAAGTAGACGAAATCGGCAATAGCTTGTTCGAGTGTGAGGAGTTGTAAGTTCGTCGTCGTCAGATTGTCGTATGGAGACGATTCACCCCAGAACCGATCTTTAGACCATTTAGCATATCTTCAACCCGCGAAACAATGGAGTCACATACGCTCAACCATGACAACGGCACCCTTGATCTCTTGCGCAAAGAGTCCGGTAAGGGTGACATTAGTCAAGTAGGCGCCATAGTTTGCAGCAGCGGTTTCACCAGGAGTGAAGAAAACGATCTAAAGTCATCAGCTGGAGCTTAATTGCCTTAATTTTATGCTTGTCCTTACTGGAGATCCTGGTCCACTCCAATTCTCGGAATTCCACCAAAACTTCTGCTGAAAAGTTCCTTTGTAAGGATTGTTATGATCCAGGAGTTGAGTGAAAAATGCAGAACCTGTAGTATTCACAGCTGTATTAATGGAAACGGGAAACTCATCATCTGCTTCAACTGGTGGAACCAACCTTCCCTTGTGCAAGAAAGGATGATCAGCAGCTGCAGATGCAAACAGCAAAGAGACCGCGGATACAATTGACCACTTCATGACGAATACCGAGGACCTGACTTGAAGAAACTCGAAGAAACTCGAACCTAAAGATGTGGAAGAAGCACAAGAAAAAGAAGAGGAGAAAAGATCAGAGTGAATGCGTGGCATTCACCTCAAGTATTCATACATTTTCTCTCTCGGACGACTAAACCTACCGGTATGGTATCACCTACCTTATCTGGAAGACATGCATATGCATACGAAGAGACCCATAAGACTAATAATTCTATATAGTCTCGTAGATCCTCTATTTCTTGGGGAGGATAACCATTGATAAGAATCATATATGCTAAATTAAAGGTAAATGAAAACTATGTAAGATCTTACGAGTAATTCGTGAAGCCGAAGATAACCATAAAGGATGATTGGCAGTGTACCTAACTGGCGGCGAACCAATGGGATCTCGAAGGTCTCAGAGGTCTAACCGTTATCCGGGATTTGCCCCGCTTTACGCTACTCAATGCTTGGTATAATCTGTTGTGATCGAGTAATGGGATGAGAGAGGACGAATCGTCGAAGCGCGTGAATTTGAGTTGTAAAAACTGTGCGGGGTGTTTTTGGGAGAGCAGGGGTTTGTTTCCGAGTTGCCTAATGTGGTATAACTCGGTACCACTTTACCGGATAAGGGAGGTGTTCCGGTGTTCCAATATCGACCACCAATCACACAATCTTCGGTTTTATCAAGAGATTTTACTGTGATTCGTACTTGGTGACATCCTCCTGTCGTATCATGTACCTACCTTACGTACCTGACTGACTGCATGCAGAGTGAAGTTCTCTATGCAGATTATACTCCTCAAGCGGTGATTTGTAGGGCTTGGCTAAGGTGTTGTTTGGCATCATCGAAACGAGTACACAACGCAACTTGCACTTCCCCTAGACGTCCGCGATATCATCGTCGACGTTGTAAAACCACACGAAACTTACATAAAAAGCACCGGTTGAAGAATAAGAAACCACGCTGTGTGATCCATTCTATGACTAGACACTCATTGCATAGTGTTTTCCTTCTTAATATCTGCTCATGCTTCCAGAATCATCATATGTAACGCTGGCTTCACCTCACTTTCTTAACGTCTCAAAAGCCACATGGACTCGGTTTGTCTCTGGAAACCACTTTCTGGAATTATGTCGCTGTGAGCATCGGACCAGTCCTTCATTCGCCATTCACTCGACTCACCAGCCGGTACAAGTTGAGCTTTGAAGCAATTTTTAAATCTTCATGTCGGCTGAATGATTTTGTGGAAGTTTCAAGGGAATGGCTACGATGAAGTGGAAACTTGATGAAAGCGGTAGCAATTGTTGGAATGCCACACACTATTATACCGGCCGTCATCTCTAAGATAGTACTTGGTGCGGACAAAGATACCTATATAGTGGTAAATACCAGGATTGTAGCCCATGTATTATCTGTATCACGAACCCCAATAACCCGACACATCAAGTCAAGGATATTAGCAATACTGGCACTGTGAGAAGTCAACTTTTTGAAGACTTAGGAATAGGATTCTTAAGATGCATTCGCTAAGCCGGCCATGAACATCACTGAAATCGTCAAATTTTGTGAAGAGGAAAATGTAGGTTCCAGACCACCGGTAAAGGTAGCAAGCAGGACGAGAGAAGGGTCACCTGTCATATTGGCAATTTCCCTCGCAGTTAACAGGTCTGGAAGACGTACTCGAGTACACCCGCGAGAGAACTTGATGATCCAGATTAAATGCCCATATACAATTCACGACTAGTATTCCCTAGCAAACGGTCAGCTCAGCCGTCGATGAGGCTGGGAATTACTAGGCATTATTCTAGCAGCAGTCTTCCTTTCGTGAAGTCACGAATCGTCATATCTAGTTGATGTTTCCCATATGCACTGCCAGACACCACTATTTGATTGATCAGGATGGCTTACTGAAGTATGGGGTCAGTTTATTCGGTCTATTCAAACAGTAGAAGTGTCTATAGCAGGACAAGTTGTCAGATTGTAACCACATTTTTCATCCATATACCAACAATCAGTCATGTTGCGACGTGGTTGCCTCAATATTTCTAGTTGCGATCAATTTCTTTGGCTGAGCAAACAAAAATAAAAGTATAGTCATATCTTCATTAAAAATTATGGAGGATACACTCCGTTTAGTTACAGGAGCCACAGCACATGAATACGTATGTTCAACCAAGATGATATTCCGGGTCAACCGAACGCTCGGAATTTTCCAACTCATGCATGCATGCAACAGTTTGAAGAGATGAGTATTCATTTCAGGCTCTATTTTCGGCCTTGTCTTCCATATACACATATACAGTGAGCGAAACACGGTGTTGAAAGTAAGATGTGATATAATATTCTGTTGCTAAACGTGTAGGTGTGAGAATAGATAGTAAGTAGAGGTCTTCTGCTGGGTACCAGAAGTGACTCTAGTTGCACCTGTAGCACAAATTCAAACCCTCCAAAGACAATTCATCTCTTGGTACTGACTTATCAAATAATATCATCGGGTAGGAGCTTTCACCATTCTTCTTTTTGGTTTGAAAGCAGCTGCGACTTCGCTTTTATTCTGAAAACAGGATGGTATCCCAACTAACTCTTCAATAGCCATTCTTAATGTGAGTATAGCCATCTAGGACATAAACCTCCATGACAAAGATCATTGGCGATGAATGGAATCATATCCAGCTATAAAATCTGCCCTTTCGCCCAATACCAACTTGGAAGAAATGAATCGATTAATCATTTCAAAACAGCAATGCATATTAATGAAAATGGCAAAATCATTCAAAGTCTCGATATGATAAATGTGGAAATGAGCTGTCCTCTTTTATTATCAAGCTTCGAGAATCTCTCGGTTCTATATTCTTGGGCACCTCGATTCCGCGAGGCAATGGAAGATACTATCTTCCATAATAAATAGCTATTGAAAAAGTCGGCAATGATTTAAATTAAATACCCAGTGGTACTATTCACAAGGCCTCTCTTCTCGTGTCCGGGATCCTGATATCTAATCCTCTAAACCTCGATGATTCCTTAAAAACAAAAGACACAAAAACAAAAGAAAATGCAAAATGCACTAACCAGGCCGCTTCCTGTGATTTTAGGTTGAGGATTCGGAGACACATTTTACCATATTAATAGTTGATAATGCTTATAGAATGTATTGATCAAAACGGAAACAATTGTTGATTCGAGGTGGACATACAACCCCTACATCCATACTCGAGTATCAAATCATTTCATGATCGGGCCCTCTACGAGTAGAAAGTCGAATACAGTAGTTTGTATCTAAATCTTCAAACGTTGGAGTGAATTAGAACGGGATAAGTATCTTTATGATTTGGTTTGCTATTATACTTGTACTCGAGTACTTATACAGAGTAAGTAAAGTTAAGCGAGTTCTCCTTTGTATGGTAGGTAGGTATATACTCGAGTAGTTCCGGTTGACTAACTCTCGTTATTGATATTAATTATTACTGTGCTGTGCTGTGCTGTGCTGTGCTGTACTGTAGGGTACTGTACTGTAGTACTATAGTACTCTGATAAGTGAGTATCACTATACCACATTATTCTATACTATAATCGAGTACTAGAATTGAGGGATAAGAGTGAGAGTAAGAGCATATGATATAAAATATAAAATATAGAATATGGAATATGAAATATGAAATATAGAATATAACTCAATAGATGGGATGAGAAACCCCGTCCTATATATCTATATGTCTATATGTCTACTCGAGTATATGTCTATATATCTATTTCAGAATATGCTCATCCTCATCCCCATCCCCATCGACTTTTGAATTCCAAATTCCAAATTCCGCGTTTCAAAGCACAAATACGAATCAAGAAACATGGGATGGGATGGGATAACCAAACAAAACAAAATAAAACAAAGTAAAGTCAAGTAAAGTCAAGCAAAAAACAAAGTAAAAAGAATATGGATTTAAAATGGATATTTCGGTCATCTTTAGAATTATATTGTACACACGTCCTAGCACCCGTTCCGTTTAGAGCAGATCGCACACGATAACACCTCAAATGCGCGAACCGACTTCTACATACCCAAACATTATATTACAATTTCCTCTCATCAACCTAATGCGTACAAACCAACTCCCCAAACCCATGCGTCCATCTAAGACTCCCCATAACCACCACCATCAAAGCCAAGCCGCCAAATACACTCACCACCCCATACCTATAAGCATGCCTCCTCCTCAACGAGATCAACTCCGTTACCCACGTACTAATCGTGGTCAAGCACCCACAAAACCCATCTTGAATCCCCTGCAATACCTGGCAACCTATGACTCCTCCCACTGGAACATGTTGCAAATTATATGCCATACCCATGATAGCCGTTCCTAACATATTGACTGCAAATGTTCCGAGAGGAAAGGAGGTGAGTTTGTTGTTCAGATAGATGGAAGCGTAGAAACGGCCTAGACAGCCGATTGGTGCGAATACAAGGGCGAAGAGGGCGCGACCGCGCCATATCTCTGGCGGTGCATCGTTTCTATCGGGTGGAAAGATGGCCAGGAAAATAGCACCAAGCCAACAACCCCATGCTAAGAATACCGCAAAAGGATCAAAATACTTGCGCGACTTATGAACTGATAAGCTCGGTGTATATGGCTCCGAGTAAATAGCAAGATGAGCACCAAAAAATAGCGCCGCCAAGCACAACGAAACAGTCGTGATAATAACAGCTAACGTGGCCATAAATGAATATCCTCCATTACGACTCACAGTACTCGTTGTACTTGCCATCACCGGACTATAATCCTGCGGATGATTCAGGGGACTCGGCAAATCATTCGAGAGCGCCAAAAACGTATCGCGAATAAACGACGAGAAAGATGTGAAACTACCACAAAATCCCGTCGCGAGACCTATATATAAAGGAATGGTCTTCTTAGTCGCAGCATGTGCTTTTTTAGCGGCTTGTAAACCAGGGTTTTGTTCCGCGGCTGATGAACCAGAGCCGTTCTCTTCATCTTTGATCTTAGCTTTCCATTCTTGGATTTTTTGGTGATAGGTAGCGGTTCCCCATTCTTCTTTGAATAACATCCTATCCTCGCTCAGGAAACCCATTAATAAACTTCCTCCTACATTGGCCCATAGTTCGCTGAAGATAATGGGGGCTCCGGGGTAGAATGTAATGACTTGAAGACCTAGTCTAGCAAGTGTTCCGAATATGGAAAATAAAATTAGATATGATATAGTGTAGAATTGTGTTGCTAATTTCGAGACCTCTCTGGCGCTGACACCTTTCTTCTCTTCTTTAGGTGGCTTCTCCCCTCTCGCAATACTGTCCCGTCTTCGGCGCTCTTGCTCCCTTCGATCCTGTTCGTATCCTTGTTCTTCGCTCCTGGCCTCCTCTAAAGGTGCATGCAGATATATCGGAACTTCGCGGGGATTCTCTACCGGCGACGGTGTGGCAAGTTCATTTAGATTGGCATAATCGTCTGGGATATCGTATTCGTTATCTGGTCTAGAAGCTTGACTTGTGCGGCGACGTGTCTTTTGCCCTCTGCTACTTGTACGTCCTAAAGATTGACTTTGTCGCGGAAGGTTCTCATCTGGGGTTTGGATCGGGACTGGCGCAGCAGCTTCGTCGACATGAGGATAGTCCCTCGACACATCGTAGGACTCATTCCCGGTATCATTGGCAACTGTATCGGACGTCGCCATTATCCATTGTAGTCTGCGATACTCCCACTGATATTAATCAAATCACATTTGAGAAAGATGAAATTCGACATCACCTATTACCATGGCTCACCGGCTTCGCATTTCTGTAGCTTGTTAGTCTAAGAATAGTTGCCGTTTTTTAAAGCTAGGTTTTTAAAGGACCCACTCGGGAGCGCCCGTTTGCGACTGATAAGGGTTGAGTTCCACTGATAAGGGGTGGGCGGTTGAGCTCGGCTTGCAGCTGTATGTCATTAGAAACAACACCGCATCCGAACAGCAAACATACCTAGGTATATACAACACCCACTCTTCCATAAACAAAGGGATATAAGTTTCACTACTAAGTACTGTTTGTTTACTTCACCTATTTGCTCAATAACAACAACAGCTCCTTTCACATCTTCACATCTTCACATCTTGAACATTAACTCCGCAAAGCTTCAAAATGAATCAATCACTTCCACCCAACGTTCACATCTCCACTCATCCATGTCTCCAAGTCAAACTCTCACAGTTGCGATCCAGCGAGGCCAATACGCGCGAAACCAAAGCTCTCGTCAATGACATCTCATTGATAATAGCATGTGAAGCCACCGCCGCCGGGCTTAACGTTTCTAAAGGCCCAACCGTATGTCCCTCCACTCTCCATCATTACTCACTCCCATTCCCCCCACTACCTCACTCATTTTCACTCTGCAGAGTCTCCACAAACTAACCATCCCAAACAAACAACAGGCCAAAACACCCCTCGGATACGAATACACCACCACAACCATAACCCCCACCACCATCTCTCTAATCCCAATTCTCCGCTCCGGGCTCTCCATGGTCGAAGCCCTACAAACGGTCCTCCCAGCCCCCGCCCCCATCCACCACCTCGGTCTCTTCCGTGAACCCACCACGCTCGAACCCGTCGAATACTACAACAATCTCCCCTACCACGCGCCTCCCGCTACCTCCCCCTCCAACACCCCCAATGCCTCCGCCTCGGAACTGGCCATCTTGCTCGATCCCGTCATTGCGACCGGAGGTACTTGTGCCGCGGCCATTCGTACGTTGAGGGAATGGGGCGTCCAGAGAATTATTGTCTTGAGTGTGTTGGCTGCGCTGCCGGGCTTGCGTCATGCGGCTAGTGAGTGGCCCGAGGGAACGGAGATTTGGTGTGCGGGGGTGGATGAGGAGGTTAATGACAAGGGGATGATCAAGCCGGGATTGGGAGATGTGGGCGATAGGTTGTTCTTGACGATTGGGAAGTGAGGTGCTTAGAAATACATGGTGGGATTGCATAGCGTTAAGATTCTCTAGTTCAATAAGATACCACCTGCCTTACTCTCGATCATATGATACTCAATGAACATAAATAGGATCATGAAATAAACATTATTAATATTAATGATGGATACTAATCTACCTCCACCGAGCAGGTATAAAAAACTCTCGAAAACATGTGTACAGGCAGAGTGACATATCTAAAACGCCCCAAAAATCTCATCGTAGGTTATACTCAATATCGATGACCAGGAGCACCCAAATCGCACCCAAATCATCATCCCAAGGTAAAAGTTGAAAAAAAAAGGTATGCAGTATTCCAAATCGTCGGATAATACTGCGATAATATCATAAAGAGCCCCAAGTGCAAGGTGGCAGATATGACCAGATAAGGCGTAGGTTCGAGGGGGAAGTCCTTCCATGGCTCTATGAGCCAGACTTCCATCTTCGAGGCTGCGGATATTTAGGCTGGTCTATATACATGACGGGGCCTTGGGCGTGGGGGATGGCGATTCTGTGGTCGTGACTCGGTGTGGTGGAATTTTGCTGGATTGGGACGAAGCTGACAAGAGGTTGGAATCCGTGCCATTATTGTTGTAGTTGTTAAAGATATCTCGCGAGGTATGAATCGCTGTCTCTTTAGATGATCTCGTATGACATGACCCAGAACTGCGATCTTTCGCCGTATGTTCACATAACTCCATGGCCCCATTGCAATAACCTTAACCTGTGCTCCGCGTTGTCTTATATCATGAATTTAGTCGTGTCTTCGTGTTCGCTTTTCTCATCGGTCCGGTGCCAACAGACTCCTGACTCTCTCAATTCTTTGAACCGCGCCTTCAAGCCTTTCCAGCCGTTTCTTCTTTTCTCCGTCCCTTCTTTCCAAGACTTCAACTCGCTCTTCGAGTTTTGCCCTTGCTTTCCGCTCTGTGGCTACCATTTCATTGGCTTGTGTGAATAGTTGTGCCGTCAATTCTTCTAATTCGACACTGGATTCATTCAATTTGCCCTCCGCTGCCTGCCGTAATCCCTGCTCCCTTGTTAAAGCTGCTACTAATTCGGTTGTGGAAGGTGTTTTCGGCGGAGGTGGAGGCGGGGCTTGTAGATTCGGAGTTGATTTTCGAGATAACATGGAGGAAAGTCGATTTTGAACAGGCAGATATGAAAATCGACTTGGGCTTCCAGTTCGGTCTTCGGTGACCCCTTGTGTTGGTGTTGTGACGCGCGGAAGTTCTTTGGTTTGCTGAGATTGCGCCCTCTTAAGTGATTGAATTTCGTCTTCGTAGTCTGCCCATTTATCCACTGGTATTATCGTCAGTCTTGAGAGATCATAAGGTCCATAAGGATAAGCCTACCTGCGGCGGTTGCTTTGTCTGTCAGTAACTGTACTTGAGCTTGTAATTCCTCAATTTGTTTCTGCGCATATGTTGCAATCTCTGAACTGTTATGCGGTAAAGTCATTCCACAATTCGGACACGCAGCTTCAGATCCTGACGTCTGCGACATCGTAAGTGTTATTGTTGCCGACATGAGCTCGTCGTCGTGTGTTGTGCTATGGTCCTGAGCTGACGACGTAGTAGTGGCTGTGGTGATACAGACAGTAGGTGCAGCTTATATAATTCCAAGACAAAGGCTGGTGTTCTGTGACTTTCCTACTTTAGTGTGAGAGGTACTTTTAATAGACTTGGTGAATGTAAACTCTTTCTTTTTCCGGTATTGCGACGAAAGCACTTGACTTTGTAATTAGACTGAGGAGGGGTTAATATGTATTAACATGACTGACATGGTGAAATTTAAACTCAAGCATTATTGCATTATTGCAAGAGGAGGAGTTTAATTTCAGTAAGGCGCAGGTAGTACCGATATGTACCAGTATTTGGCCGTTACACATACTGTAGGCGTAATGGAGATCCTCATGGCAACCCATGTTAACGACATTCTTTACCCCTGCTTAATGCATATATCGGTAAACGGTCGAAACCCCCCCCCTGATGATTGCTAATAATAGGTATATCTATCTTCATGCTTCGGATTCAGCAATTATCATTCGTTACTTATAATAGGATGTATAAATGACAATATGAGTGAGATCTTGGTAAGAAAATGTCTAACACTTATATGCAACTTCAGTCTGATGCCAAACATCAGTGCCGCATTTTCGTTGGTTGATTGGATTCTTTTGTGGGTTCGCGTATAATTTTGAACATCAGAAGTTAATCGAGAACGTTCTGAATTTCTGAATTGATTGAAGTGATCGTTTCGGACTCATCCTACTCGAGAATTTCGACATTCTTCGAGTTTTGGTGTATATTTATAAGTTGATCCAGATGTTCTGAATTAAGTGATTCGATTTTTCTGGAGTTTTATCTGTAAAAGTTGTCTATTCCGTCTGGTGTTTTTTTTGAAAGAAAAGTTGTATAAGTCGTTCTCGGATTTTCGACGAAACTTGGCTGTTATCATGGCGGTTAAGAACAAAAAGCCAGCACCGTAGCCTTCGGAATATTCATTCCAAGCTCGAACATATGTTAAGCAAGGCCCCGCCGGTAAATTTGGTTCGTCTCTGGCAATATCAAAATGAAATAGGCTCTTGTAGATATCTCAGAGCCTTCAAGTAAGGTCCATTTCAATTCTCACACCAGATATCTTTTCCCTTCTCCGCCATTTCTCTTCTGGCCTCTTGCGCCTCTTCGACATCCAACACTCTGGATGCACCAGCGCTGCGGTTGTGACGCCAGAGCACCTTGTTGATACCCTTGTGGTTCTTGGGTGTCTTGGGTGTTCTTCAATGGCTTACCCTTCTTTGGCTTCTTCTTGCATCCAATTAAAACATAGATGGATGGATTGTCTAGGCGAAAAAAAGTGAGCATTTTTGCGTTTATTGTGGGGGGCTGATGAGGGTTCGCTTCTCTAGCTCGCCAGTGAACATCTCTTCGTCTAAGATCCTGCAGTATCGGACTTCGGGCGGATTGATAAGGCGTCTGTAGCCAGTAAGTGGATTGGGGACAAGGCTGCTTTTGCTAGACCTGATAATAGAGGAATAGAGATCGTCAGAGGAAGCAGTGTCTTGTTCGCTTTCTGGTTCAGATTCGAAAATATATTCACAGTCTCTTCGGTTACTAATTGGTTAGATAGCGATGAGATACTTGGCTTCTGTTTTGCTGGTGATATACATTCCAGGTACAGGGAATGTCTTGTATACTGATTCTTCGGAATTATTATCCTCTTCGCCAAGGGACTTCCAATTTATTGTTTTAAGGGTTTTCTATTTGCTAGATCAGACCAAGGTTCGGGTAGTTGCAAAAAGGAGTTTTGGATACATAATAACGAATATATATATATTAAAATAGATTATAGTGAAAATATATATAGAAACAAAGTTATTGAGATACAGCAGACTCATCTGTTGTTACGGTCATATATCTGTGTATATAGCTATAGCGAAAGGAAGAGGGGACAGAAGAGAGAAGCAGAAAAATGAATTTGAACATACGGTCAATTTACATCTTAGCTGGTCAACAGCGTATGCCCTTGATCGAACTGGGCTTGAGCAGAGTGCCGTTAGTCGGAACAACGATGTAATCGAATGATTACATTATAGGTAAACTTTGCAGACTGGAGACATTAACTCGAGATAGATAGTATTCTATTACATAGGGCTGAAATATCTAATGGATACTCCATAACGAGAATTACTCAGATTGTAAGGTATTTCAGTACCTGAATAAGGATATACACTCTTGAGAGTTCAAAGTGTCTCTCCTTCATTGCTACCCCCTTTTCCGAAGCGACTATATAGACTTCAAGCACAGAAAACGAAATTTCATAGGAGAAATTTGATTTTTGCATCCGCACTGTTATATTACAAGAACCCCGCACCTCTTCTTTTTTCCAAGATATTTAGGTTTATTTGAGTTGCATTACAATTGTCATTGTCATATTATAGTCTACAGTACTTCCATCAAAAGATAAACACAAATACCGAGTTTAGAATCTAAACCCTCTGGCCATTGAAAAGCTTACAAAAACTGTCAATTCTATACCATAAGAATTCCTTTTCCTTCTTTAAATCCAATGACCACAAGAAATAGTTCAATATACTGTATTCCTTTCATTACCAAGTTTCTCCCAAATATTTCATTTAGTCCTACGAAAACATTGTATATCATAGACAGGTTAGATCTCTCAAGCACCCAGCTAGTATAACTTAGATCTACACTACTAGACACAGAAAGTTTATAAGCAGAACGGAAATATGAATAACAGAATACTTAAGCATAAAATCCAAAGACTCAGCACAATCGGATCCTGATAGATCTTTCTTTTCGAATGATTTGGTATCTTTTAAAATTCGAGACTGAGCCGAAGAATAGGTAGTATAGCATTCAAGTCCAGTTACAATGGCCTCATAGTTTCTCGATCTCCGAAATACACCCAAACAATGATAGCTACTAAAACGAGTAGTGCCCAGTATTCGATACACGGCAAGCTATCTGATCTGATGCAAAATCAGAGATCAGAGACCTCTCAACTCGAAATTGAAAGGGTAAAACAGTGGACACAGTAGAATATACTCAATAAGAAATTAAGAAATACAATACCATACCTATGTACTATACTCGAGTATATAACAATCCCCAGAGAGATAATGATGATATTTATAATGAAAAATACATTTACTTGATTTAGCTACTCCTTCGTTCTCCCAACCTTCAAGGGTAAGAAGATCACAGTAATAAACTATACTATACATATTTCTAGTTATTTTACAAAGCGAATACCCATTTCATCCGATCTTAGTGTTTCACTAAAAATAAGCGAATGATGTTAATTGCCAATGATAATTATAAAAGAGAACCAAACTTTACTTCTGCGCTCGAAATGTTATTAATTTGTATAGGAAAATGATGTCAATTTCAAGATCGGACAGATATACAAAATTGTAGATCGTGGTAGGTCTAAATTTGGATATGTCAATTGATTGTTTAGTTTAGTTTATTTTAGTGGTAATCTGGTTTAAGGTTTAATCTGACGGATCTAACCATTGCTTGTTTAGGTCTGGCATGTATATAGGGAATATGGGAAATGACATCAACCCAGTGCTGCCTGTATTTTCCTGCTGGGTACTGTAGTACTGTAATTACCAAAGTACTGTAGAATTGGGAGCCTATGCTATTAGAGGTCTTTAGCCAAAAGATTGATAACTTCTTATGGTACTATATAATAGATCCTGAAGCACTCACTGAGTGGTCAAGTGAAGAGAGTTTCCTCCATTTTGAAAAGGGTCAGTTCCATTTGCTTTTTTCAATCTTCCCCCTTTTGAACATCTCCGATGCTAATATTTCAATAACTATAGCGTGTTTGAAAGAGCTAATTGTAAACAGCTTAGATCTCTGTAGATCTATAGTTTAAATCTATAAGAGCTTGTTAGACAGATAGAAGGAATGGATCGATATCTCATATTAGCAACTCCTACTACTCGTGTACGAAATGGTAGAAGCGTACTGTATTCATGAGATCATATATAACTGAATATTTCAACGAGAAGTTATTTGACATTTTTGCTAAAGACCTCTATTAGTGATGGATACTGTATGTATCTTCATAGTGAAGGATTCACTAAATACCTAGGTAGATACACTACACCCGGTACGTATATGTTTCTCCATTTCTCCATTTCTTTCTAGACCACATTAGATTACCAACCAAACTCCGCAAGAATCGCAACAAGAATTGTATCGAATTCCGCATCAACAAACTACCCCTCCAAAAAAACCTCCCCGTCTCACCCCGCTCTCACCCCCCTCCTTTAAGAAAATTCCAAAAAGATAAACACACAAGTGAACTGAATCACTCATAATCAATGGAGTAGCGGCGAATCGAACGCCGGACCTCTCCTATGCTAAAGGAACATTATACCACTAAACCACAACCCCGATTCACGTGTTATTGTATGATATTCCCTTTTTAGAATAATATATATCCATAAGAAGAGTGGAGCTGATGTGGGGTGTGAAGGTGGGGATCGAAGAGATTTTTTTGATGGATGGATTGGGAGATGGGAAGGAGGGGGACGAGTTGAGAAGTAAAAGAAGAGAAGAGAAGAGGATGATATGATATGGGAATAAATGTTAAGAAAGAACTAATAGATAGATGATATTCATCCTATTACGTCACGTTACTTGAAGTGTGAAGAATTCAAGTGATCAATCCTTCCCTCTCTATATCTCTTTCTACATCTACTCCCCGGAAGTGATATTTATTTGGAAAAGTCAAAGGAGGAAAGCTTCAAAATAATGAAATAAGAGAGAAAAAATCAAGGCTGGTTGACTAGATATTCGATGAATATGATATAAATTTCATCTGGTTGGACTGATTTAAGGGCCGAATTTTAGAATGTAATACTCAAGCCATAGTATCGAGATCTGAGTGATTGAAGTATCGTTGAATATAAACAAGAATCAAAATAAAATAATGATTTGATAATTACAAAAGGGAAAAGATATGAACAAGTAACAATAACGCCATTTTTGCTATTTCAGATTATACTTATCAATGTAGAGTAATAGACATTATACTTATACTCACACCATACATTATAGGAATACCTAGTACCTTGTAATGAATATATGATGTATATACTCGTAGTACGTATTTTCTGCTCCAGTAGGGAATTCAGACCCTATCTCCTACGGAGCGGAGGCGACACGCCAGAAAGAAAACATCATATCAAGAACCTATAGTACCTGCGCCTGGTTTGTACAATCCAGCAAAAGGTACTGTAGAATGGCAAGATGGAGAGTTTACTTTTAAAAGATTACTATAATAGTATCTCCACATACCGACTGTATGTTTCTAACTTCGCCATAGAATAATATTTGAAACGAAACCCCGTGCGTTGTATTCATACCGAACTGGTCTTGTGTAATATTATTTGAATGATAGGATGATTTATTCATGATTGATGGTAGATTTGAGTGATCGACAAGAAAATGCAGACACATATACAAAGCAAGAGTACTAGAAGTATGCAAGAGTTTTCGTAGGCAGACGACTTCTTGGGACATTCGACTTGAGGAGATAATGACAGAGACTTGCAGGGAAATTCGAGAGCATGCATCATTGTAAGGACATTCATGTAAACTAAAATTTGTGTGAGATTTTGAACATGGAGAGAGCTTGAGTCTCCGTATAGATTTGTAAAGACAGCTTCTATAAAATGCTTGAAAGCGATGCGAAGATCGAACTTGGCCTAGGGTATCTGAATGAAATCGGAACAGCAACTCTTTATCACAACTTTTGGCACAGGCCGCCCGTGGATGCTAAAAGAAAATTCCTCAGACCTGCACGTGTTCGGATCCTTCCAAGGGCGAGACCAGAATATCGTGGATATCAGAGGTAGCGTATAGTACATCCGAGCGAGAGAAAGAATTATCACAAGTAGCGCTCCGTGTGAAGGTGAAGGATTTGCTTAAGGATCTTCATTTGTCAAAGAGCTTTTGCTATAATTCTGCAAAGCCTTTGCTTGTGCTACAAGCATTCCCATCCCGTGCAAAATGCCCAAACAAAACCAAACCGCTTAAACCTCAGTCGTAACTCTTGCCTTGGCGTTGGTAACCTTAACACCAAGTTCCTTGGCGCGTGAAACAATCTCAACTCTCTTTCTCGATGAAACGGAGTGGGAGATCCTAAAGTTTTGTTAGTGTGCGTCCATCTGTTTTCTAGATCGTCTAAACGTACTCTGCGGCGAAGGTCCTGTTGTGCATAAGGAGAAGTTCAACATCGGAGGTGTTGTTGACGAGGAAAGCCTTGTGGCCGGATGGCATCATGTGGCGAGTCTTCTTGTTGGATCCGAAACCAATCTATATCCTCGTCAGCCGCTGCTTAATTGTATCCTGCTGTGCATTGAATGCCCTCGAATCCCAATCTATGTTGTTTTCGAGCATCATTTCAACTTCAGCCGCCTCCATTTCCACGTACCGATGGCATAACCATTTGTCCCTTGAAACGTCTTCGGACTCTGTTATCGATACCCTTTGGCTTTCTCCAGCTGGCGTCGACACACATGTAGGTGTCACTCTGATGTCTGTGGAAGCGCTTCGTGCCTGTAACAAAATGTCAATGAACCATTCTTCGAATTCCTTCCAGCCAAGTCCATTCGTAGAGTCCAATGGCGACCACAGCCCTTGATCGGTCGCAGGCTATGCAAATCGAGAATCGAACATCGAGGATGGGAGTAAACGTACGCTTCTTGACGATAGGAACATGCTTCTTAGCGGAAACCATCTAGAGAAACGTCAGCACAACGGCGATTAATGTGATTGCATCTCTGGAGGAGACATGGTACTAGTAATACACACCTTGTCGTCGGTTTGTCGAGTGTTGTCGTTGATTGATACGATTTTCCTGCGAAATCTTTTTTGGTAGTCTCATAGTTTAAAGCCCACATTATCTTAAGCGAAATCTCTTGCCTGAGGCATAGATCTGTTAGGGCTTGTATGCCGGTCACGTGTAAGCGAGGATTGTTGCGCGGCGAGCTTACAACATTACTTATACGGTACATTGATTGTTCATGGGGTTTGTATTAATCCAAAATATAATTATCAAGTCCTATGTTATTCAGAATGCTTACAGATACCAGATGTGATGTTTGATTAGATCTGGATATTGAAGTAGTACCTACCTGGCGTGAGCAAACACTCAAAATAGAAGCATCATGTATCATGCAAACGTCTAGCTAGCAGTCTTATGAATTACCACTTTGGATCTATGCAATCGAAAAGTTCAGTGGAATCGCGAACTAGTGGCGCGTGATTATTGGGAGTTTATTACAATGTCTGCTGAAACAAGTACCCGGAACGCCATTCCTTCCATGAATTCGCTTTCGCTATGGTTCTATCGCAGTCCCATTTACCACTCTATGTCTCGAGTCCAAAATATGTCACCCACTGACAAATCGAACCCTATGACGCATATAATGCCAGCCTATGTTCAAATTTTTATTGTGTAGCACATTGAGCACCTCCTTCATCATCTCCTTCGTCGTCTTCCCACTCACCACCTGCGCGAGGATCGCCAGAATTTGCACCGAACTATTTTGTAAGTTAGCATATAAATAAGACTAAAGGTAGATCGATGATACTTACTTCTTCAATTTCGGCATCAGAATCGTATTCCACCTCGTCAACTTCCTCGGTAGTGATTGGTGGCTCAGGTTTAGGTAAGACCTCCTGCAGAGTAGAGAACGCAGCCGCGTCTTCTGTCCAACCGTTTTTAGGAAACTCGATTTTGACAATCAAGTACAAATCACCCTTGGCATCGCTCCTCTTCAAGGGCATACCTTCACCCTCGACCTTCAAAAGTTGTCCGGGCTCCAGTACTTTTCCTTGGGGGAGATTTAATAAGATACCACGCCCATCTAAATGTTTCACAACCACTCTTGAGAACCCTGTGAGGGCTTCGGCTAATGTAATGTTGAGTTCCGCGGAAAGATCGTCGCCAGCCCGCTGGAATATCTCGTGATCTTTTTCGTCAAGAGTGAAGACGATGTCGCCGGGTGTCTGATCGGGTACCTGATCAGCCTCACCCTCTAGGACAATTCGCTCGCCGTCTCTTGCGCCTCTGGGTATATATAACTCCAAGGACTTTTGTTCTTTGGTTGTACGTTTTCCTTTGCACTTCTTGCACTTGTCCTTCTCCTTGAAAATTGTACCGACTCCCGAGCAGGTATCGCACACAACTCTTTCTTGAGTGACAAGTCCTGGGCCAACGCTCCTGAGACCAACGGTGACACCGTTACCCTTACATCTGCTGCAAGTTTCTGGCTTGGCCTTTTCCTTTCCTCCAGTACCTTTGCAATGGCTGCAAATTACGTTCTTCTTGCTCGTGAACTTGACCGTCTTTCCCTTATAGAGCTCCTCGAGAGTGACTTCGTATGGTTGCTCCTCGTCGGCTCCCCTTCGTGGTTTTCTTGGCCCTCCGGGTCCTCCTGGTCCCCCGAATCCAGGCGGCATACCTCCCATACCTCCACCCATACCAAACATCTGCGACAGGATATCATCCAAGTCAACTCCGCCTGCTCCCATACCAGGTCGACTTCCATCAAATGCAGCCATGCCGTGAACATCGTACATCTCCCTCTTCTCCTCATCGAAAAGAATTTCGTATGCTTGGCTCACTGTCTTGAATTTCTCATCTGCGTCCTCTCTTTGATCTTCTGCTACCTTGTCGGGATGATGTTGTAATGCGGCCTTTTAATAGTCAATATGAAACTTTTGTGATGCTAAATGCGGGGCATACCTTGTGGTAGGCTTTTTTGATCTCGGATTTTGTGGCATCTTTGCTTATTCCTAATATGACTATTTCATGCATGCTGGTAAGTTGACAGTTGTAGCTTCACTGGAATAACTCACCATAGAGATCCATCTCCTCCGATGCGCCATTGGTGGCCATGGTGAAGTTCCTCGAAAATTGATGGAGGGGAACTTTGATTGTTCAACGAGCTGTGGGACTTTCCAATATGCGATTTAACGATTTGAGGTCTTTGAGTTATTCTAAACAATCAATAATGATGGGCTATTTACAAATGTTATGTGCAAAGGGGCAAATAAAGTCTGTACGAAAAATGAATGAATGCGACAAAATAGGTTGAGCTGGGTTGATATGCATTGATTCTTATTATTTTTATCTTATTAGCGCTTTTCAACCTGGAAGAAGCTCGAGCCACACATGGTGTGCCTTAAAATGGAAGGAGGCGCCACAGCATGGTTTTGACTGTGGCTGATCTTTCTCGAACCACCATTAACAATTCTCAAATCTTTTCGGTGTATTGTCAGGACAAAGTTTTTTACCATTTATTTCTAGAAGTACTTCTTTCTTTTTCTAATAAAGTTAATTCGGAAATGAGACTTTCCTCTTTACCACTGAGAAGAAACACCGGTCAGAGGATATGGAAAAGCAATGTTTGTTCAGTGCGTGGGAGACATGCTTCTACTGAAGCAAATGGATCCCAAAAGCCTGTTCTACATCATACAAGTCTGTCCACGGCCTCGACCAAACTTCGTGATGCCGGCCCTGTCAGAACTCGTTTTGCTCCGTCCCCAACAGGTAATCTACATTTAGGGTCCCTAAGAACGGCACTCTGCAATTTCTTGCTTGCAAAGGCTACTGGTGGCCAGTTTCTTTTACGAATTGAAGATACGGATACGGTATATAGTCAATATCCTTGGTAATTGAAGTATACTAAATGAAGAAGGATAGAACTGTCCCCGGAGCTGAAGAACGCCTGCTTAGAGATCTGGAATGGGCTGGCATTCAGTGGGATGAAGGTATCTCAGTTCGGTGTTGGATTATTAAATTGAGTATGCTAACAATTTTCAGGGCCAAAAGTAGGTGGACCATTTGCGCCATACAAGCAGGTACGTGGATATCTGCTCTTCCTACAATTTCATACTGTTATATTGATACCCAATAGTCGGAACGAAAAGCAATGTATTGGGAACATGCCCAAACACTGATCGAGGCAGGTTTAGGTTACAGATGCTTTTGTTCCTCCCGAAGACTCCATGACCTACGGGTTTACCAGAGCAGCAAGGGTCTTCCACAAGCCTACGATGGAACCTGCAGGCATATCATAAAAGAACAATCTGACGAGATGGCATCGAGAGGCCAAGCTCACGTGATCAGATTGAAAGTCCCCGAGAAATGGCCAGGCTTTCAGGATGAAGTGTATGGTCGCATTAGTCCAAAAGTGTGTCACGACCCTCGATCAGAATACAAAGAAAACCAAGATCCAATCATGGTAAAATCGGATGGATTCCCAACCTACCATCTGGCAAACGTCGTGGATGACCATTTCATGAAGATTACACATGTTGTTCGTGGATCCGTATGTACTTCTCATCCATATGCTGAACGCTGGCTAATTCTGGGTCCAAGGAATGGATCCCATCAACTCATATGCATGTTGCTATGTATAAAGCCTTTGGATGGGAGCCGCCTACTTTCGCACATGTTGGTCTACTCTTGGACAAAGATCGAAAGAAGCTCAGCAAACGGGACGGAGCCATAGATATAGCAACCTATCGAGATGCAGGGTATTTCCCTGAAGCAATAACCAATTTTGTCGCCCTTCTCGGATGGTCCCACGATCGGACATACGACATAATGAGTATGCAAGAGCTTATAGACAATGTATGCCTTTTCCCTCTTGAACATGTACTGAATCATCCGCTAATTTGGGTTTAGGCAAGCATGAAATACACCCGAGGTGACTCTGTCGTAACATTTGCGAAACTCAACTTCATGCAAAGAAAACACGCCGCAAGATATAAGGAATTACGAAAATCAGATGAGCCCATTCTACCTTTTCAAGATCTCTTGGAATTAACTGCAAAGCCAGTCCTCAAGTGTATGAAAAGTCTTCCAAATTTTGAAGACTTGACATTTTACAATTGTGAGGACAACGATGCCGCAAAGGCGAATTACATACTTTCCATAACCTGCGCAGGTATTCAAAATTACACCCTCCCCGAGACCTTCTACCCAAGCCACAAATACTTCTTCGCAGCCCCCACACCCCAAGAACTCGATTCCAAAACCCCACCCCACAAACTCCACGACGCCCCTCAAGGAGTAATTCACCCCGTCCCCGACGACTTCTCCACATCCTTCGAAGGCTTTTCCTCGATCGCCGCCGAAAATTGGAACGCAGGAGAGCTCAGAGGTTTTACAAATCTCATCATTAATCAAGGAACTATGATGAGCACCGCAGAACTTACGGCCATTAAAGTGTATAGTGAGCCTGCACAGAAGGTCATCGAGAAGAGTTGGACAAAACTCGTGCATGGGTATATTAGGTGGGCGATTGCGGGGGGCCTGAGTGGACCGGATAGTACGGAAATGATGGCGATTTTAGGCAGAGAGGAGACGCTTGAAAGGTTGAGGGTTGCGAAGAAGATTATGGAGGATCATTTGAGGATAAAGGCACTTGCGGAGAACTCGAAAATCTCGGAATAGAAAGTGTAATTTGTTGGTTTATGGCAATTCTTATCAGAAAGCCCCCTGATATACCGGCAGGTCGAGGATGACAAAAGTCACGACTACTGTAGTGAATACCAGATAGACTTTGGGATGGAAAACATTAGGTGTATAATATCGGTGCCGTGTATCATAACTTCATTTCTATCCACTCTATACTACCGTGGCCTCTGTAAATATTAGACCCCAAACGCCATCACAAAACCAAACGCCTAGCAATGTTCGCCAGAGCTTATCGAATATTGCGTGTCTTCTCGGGGCATTAATCCGCAGTCTCTGGAGCCACTACAACTGGAGCATTTGCTGTCTTTGGTACCTCGCCTAACCCATTAAAGAGTTGTGCCTTAACTTCGCCAGCCTTTAACCCCGTCATCTCTTCACCAGCAATCTTGCTACTATCCTTGACTACCTTCACTAGTTGTTGATCCATTCCTTTGCTTGTCGATGATCCCGCAGATGCTCTTCCGGCACGACTAATACTAGTACTAGCTTGTCGAATCTTGGAGCTCAAGTCAAGCATCTGTTTGCTGCTGTATTCGCGGTTGGTGAATAGAGGACTTTGACTCAAAGTTTGAACCCAATATTTGTTCCACAACAACTCCAAAAGATGTGTATCTAACGAACTCTTGAAATGGGAGACTTCCAAAGAGTAATATCTGCTGCTATGTGCACCGAAATCTTCAATCTTCGCAAGCGGAATCGTTTGATATCCATCTCCAGCTCCTGCATCAGGAGGCTTGTAGTTCTCAGGATAAGTTCTGAATGCTCCAATCTCGACCTTTCCAGCAGTGATAGTGCGATCTGGATCAATGACCACGGCAAGGAAGGGGTCGGAAAACATCTGTTGCGTAGCTTGCGTCCCGACATCGATACCACTCAGCCAACATCCATAGCCTGGGTGACTATGATACCATCCCACTGCATTCTCTAACTTGCCCTGCTCTCTACAATGCCCTAGATACTCGACCATGTATTCATTTGCTTCCTCCTGCGCATTGACTCGAGTTTCCGTTCCCTCAACAGGTAGGCGAAATGCATCCGTCACAATAATAGTATCGCCTGCGATCTTTCCTTGCATCAAACCCATGACTTCAATGGAACCCCCTGAGCGGGCATGCATAACCATCTTTAGGAGGGCGACGGCCGATATTCGGACGTTTTTGAAGTGATGAGGGTCGGTTTTCCATGGTTTGGCATCCTGGATGGCCTTTTGTTCTTCGGGATCGTAGGTGTAGAGGGCGTCCCGGTTCGCATCCACGAGTTGAACGTTATTGTCAAGCTCTGTTATCAATAAAGTAAGTTTGTGAGCTTATGTGGAGGGGAAGAAGAGGGGGGGAAAGAGGGGTGACAAGGGGAAAGGGGAAAGGGTGACTGGAAGTTTGCGTACCCCAGGTCTTGAAAGCAGTATCCATGGTTGATAGGATATTCCTCAGTCAGAAGCAGCTGTTCTGCTGGATTTATGGTAAGTCAAAAGCCTTTGGCAACTTGTGTGAGACTGTAATATTGTCTATTTTGGTGGCTGAGAAAGCTTTGATTGTTTAAAAGTGTCACTTCAAGTAGTGGATTGCAGATTGCAGCCTTATGAAGCTTCTAAGCTTGGTCTCTTCCTTGGTTGGCTCGTTGGTTGAACCATATAAATTGAACAACTTCTGCCACACGGCCTCTTTGGCGGGGGTCTATTAGCTCCACGCTAGGAACAAATTTATGCTTATCTAATATTATCCCATAAATCGTATCCAATTAAAAGCTTAAATCAGCAATTCAATGTTTTTTTTAATATATTGGGGTCCATCCCTCTAGCAACGATATCAAGCATCAATTTTTATGTGTAAATACAACTTCGGGTTCCTCAAAAACTCATTAAAATCTTCCATGCGAATCAATTCTCCATCTTCATTCTAAGTGGACCTTCATAACTTTCTCTACTACCTACAACAACACCAATTTACATTACATCTAAGAACCACTCAACTTTTGGTTCAATGCACATCAAAGTTGCACGCACAATCAATCACAATCGCATCCAACCTACCAATACTACATCCACATCCACACATTTTAATTCATTGATGAGAAATTTGGTAAATTATCAAAGTGGTTTCGCTGTCGCGATAAGAATAGAGAAGCTTTGAGCATTGAGCATTGAGCATTGTTCAATTGTTCAATTGTTTTGAAAATCAATATCTCCACCTTCAATTCCTCCACTTCTACGAAACTTCTCCACGATCCACAATTCGCAATCCTCCATTTGAAATTACATCGATTTCTCCTTTCTTCATCAGGGGCTTCCCGCCATCTCTTTTAATTCACATTGCTCCCCGCCGTTTACCCTACACAGAAGAAGTGGCCTTGCATTCACCATGGATACTAGCTACCTATCGTCACAGGTCTCGACGATCATAGATCAACTTCATGGTTTGTTCGACGAGATTGGTGTTCCATCTCGAGAGCGAGAGAGTCGAGAGTCGGAGGTATGTAGTGTTTACTTGGCCTCGAAAGAAGCAGTGAAACCTAACACTTCTAGTTATTCGCTGCGCTCTCCGATACCTTACACAACCAAGTACGATTAGTCGCGACCGAGAAGAATGATCTGACCGAGGAAGCACACCGAATCATTACAACAATCAAGCAGATGGAAGCTTCCCTTGACGATAATAAGGACCATCTTGAATACGAACCCGAAGATGATGATCTCAAAATCACATATCCCTTGTTGCAATGTCTTCATGGATTAAAAGAAAAACATTTACATATTTCAATGATACATAGAGAGAGATTTGAACAAGTCAAGAGTAAGTCTTGTAGCCTTGGGACTAACAATAGATTGTGCTAACATGATGGTAGAACTTGTCCAAGCTCTCGAATCATACTCATCCCATTTAGAGCCATCTTTCATTAAAATTCAACTTCCACCCACATCTCTCAACGCGAGTATTCCTCCCACTTTCGACCTTTCCAACAACTATGTGACCGACCTCGATGAAGAATTTACCCGCGTTTACGAAGAATACACCCGCCGTGTGGCAATGGTAAAGGCGACTGCGGAAAACATCATTCAACTATGGGCTGAACTTGGCACCCCTCAAGCTCAGACCGACAGCGCAATTGTCAAATACTATCGAGATGCACCAGAGCAGCTTGGTCTGCACGAAGACGATGTTTCCAGATTGCGCATGAAGCAAAGCAAATTGGTGGATGAGAAGAAAGGACGAGAAAAGCGACTGAGAGATCTTCGTGCTACAGTGGAAGCTTTGTGGGTAAAGCTGGGTGTCGAAGAACCCGAGAAAAAACGATTCTTGAATGGCAACCGGGGATGTGGCATACGACAAATCAATGAGTTCGAAGATGAATTGTTGAGATTGAATGAGCTCAAGAGACAAAATCTACACCTATTTGTCGAAGATGCCCGGTACAAATTACAAGAGCTATGGGATGGTCTGTACTTTTCGGAGGAAGAGATGCTTGAATTCACACCCGCGTTCTCAGATGTACACAGTGATGCTCTTTTGGAAGCTCACGAGCAGGAAATTGGACGTCTTGAGGCTCTCAAGGAACAGCGCGCACCTACTTTGGCTCTCATCGACGAACATCGATCACTTGTCAAAGACAGAGATGATCTTCTAGCATCATCACAAGATGCCAGTCGCTTAATGATGCGTGGCCAAAAGGGCGAAAAGCGTGATCCAACACGTTTATTGCGAGAGGAAAAGATGAGAAAGAGAATCGCCAAAGACTTACCAAAGATTGCAGCAAAATTGAAAAAGTTTCTAGAAGATTGGGAGGACGAATACGGACGCCCTTTCATGGTTCATGGGGAACGATACCTTGATGAACTGGAAGCTTCCGAAGTCAAACCTGCTCCAGGACCACGTTCAAAGACACCAGCAGGAGCGCCTCCAAATACCATGAAACCCCCTCCAAAAACCACTGTTAAGAGTGGAACTCTAGGCCGTTCTAACAGCGTGCCAAGACCTGCTCCACCAAGCAGATCTGGCGCCAAAACACCAACCGCAGGAGGTACGCTAAAGAGGCATCAGTCTTCCGCTTCCGTATCTGCAGCAAGTGGTATGAGATCACCTTCCAGGCTCCCAAACCGCATACCTTTGTCAAATCTCAATCTCCCCAACTCTCCAGAGCGCAGTCGACGACGAGCCGAATCTGTCCAACCTGAATCAAGACATGCAACTAGCACAATTCGAGGTAAAATGGGTCCACCGCCATCGAGAGCTCCACCTCCAAAGATGCGTGAACTATTTGAACCGCCACCACCCGCCCCTCCCACTCAAACATATTATCATCGCAATGAGAGCTTTGCTTCTTCAGGTGGTAGCGTACGACCAATCTCACCAGAAGACGTGTTTGAAGTTCCACCGCCAAAAGCTAAAGAAAGACCTCAATCATATCAGGATTTGAGATCATCAGTGCGATCAAACTTCGGCCAATCATTAACGTATGGTGCTGCACCGCCTGCCAACAGTCGTCAAATTTCTACCACATCTAGCTCCACAAACACTGCCTCTGGCTCTGAGAACTGGGAAACTTATGGAGATGTCTCTGAGACTGAGCCAGAAGATGACTCCAATGAGGATTATTTTGCAAGACTTCGAGCCGCCCGAGCAAACCGACACACTCCAGACGGTGAACCTCCTCAATTCCGCGGTAGTGCTACTATAAATCCCGGTATGATGAAAAAGCAAAAGGGATATCCACTTTACAAAGGACCTGCTGGACAAGTCCTTAGTAACGATCGGTTGTGCACTCGCATTGTATCTGGAAGCGAAGCCAACTGGACTGATGAAGATGCTTTCTAAAGCGGATGAATTTTTCAACATAAAATCAAGGCGGTTGGCGTTCTTGGATTTTTCAACTGAAGATAAGGTCTTTACTTGTTGATAACGGGTTCCAACACAGATTTCATTCCTTGTAATTTTCCTTCTTCGGGCATAGGATATTTCTCCTGGTACGACTGTCATGCTTTGGGTATGATTGGAACGGCCCATTTTTTTCTACTATTCTATTGTTTGCCCTTCAAGCATTTGTTGTCTTCTCTTTTTTGCATTCGCATTTAGGTTCGGTCGGGGGAAATGTAGGAGTAAAAAGGATGGATGAGATGAGAGGCGGGGCGAAATGGCCATTGGGATGGGATGGGTTGGGATGTATCAAAGGCGTTTTCCGAGGCACACATCTCTGGGAGATTAGTTGAATTTGGGGTCTTGTCTGTGTAGGCAAATATCAAACATGAATTGAGATATTATTTGAATGTTCTAGTTTTTGATATTTTGAATTTGAACATGAATGTGGATGTGACGGTGAATAACAGATTACTTTCCTTTTCCTTCTCTAACCGCCGTAGGGGAGAGAATATATACATACCTAGTAGGCCAAAAGAGCAAGATCAAACTTTTCAACATGGAATCCAGTTGGTATTCGTAACCCGATCAATAACTAATCCATATAAGAAAGCTATTTATCAAAATTCTTACTTCCAAGCAATCCACTCGAGTACAGTAACTACAGTAAAATCCAACCGTGAAATCTAAATCTCAAAATGTCAAAAGGGAAAGTACTAGTCGGATTCTCGGATGCTTACGAGTAAGTTGGTTCTTCTTTGAATGATAAATAGGTATGTAGATAGATAGCGAGATTTAGTAGGGTTTAAGGAGAGTGAGTGAGTGGGTGAGTGAGTGAGTGAGTAGTAAGATGAAGGTAAGATAAGATAAGCTTATATGGTACTCTCTTTTTTTCTTTTTTCTTTTCTCTTTCTACTCAGATACCGGTAGGTAACATATGTAGTTATTAATATAAAATGAGAATACAGGGGAGGGGATATGAGGGGTGTAAGGTATAGTATTTATATCACTAAATATATAAATATGGATTTATATACTATATATCCCCGGATCTACGAGTTTAGATTGATCAACGGATCGATCTAGGTTCATGACTTTGATTAATTTGGGTTGAGAAGTACTGTACTAGCTTAATTATACCCCACCTCACTCCCCTTTCTCTTAGAAAATTCAAGGTTGGTTAGTAAGTTACTCGAGTACTCGAGTAAATATATATTCAACTTGAATTCACCAGATGTAAATCTATTCTTGATTAATAGCTTCTATACTATATTTTCTATACTCTATTCTATTCCTCATTTCCCTTTTCCTACTTCCTTTTTTTTGAAGAGTGATAATCAACTCGCCTGATAAATAAATCCCTACATACTCGAGTAGATATATATATACAGTATCCTATTCGCTTACTACTCATTAATGTATTCAGTAACTACAAATTTGCAAATTGCAAGTTATAAACTCCAACCATCATGATAATATGATTCCTAGCCTGATATACCCCTCTATCTTCTCTACCTCCTCCATCCCGCCACCACTTCATCACCTCATCATCTCACCTCATATATAAACCCTCTGTTGTAAGAATAAACACAATATCCCTTCCCAAACAAATAACACGAAACACGATACACAATTCAAAAGACTCGATTCGAAAGGTTACTTTCCCGAATATACTCGAGTATACAATGAGCACTTTACTTATAGATCCGTCAAAATAATATGCATTAACCTAACCTAACCTAACCTAACCCTTACCCACATTTGCCCATATTTTCCCATCCATAGCTATCCTATCCTATCTCATCCCATCCCATCCCAACCAACCACAAACAATCAAATATGAGATGAGAGACTCCTATCCTAAACAACTAAACCCCAAATCCCAATATCCAACTTCCCCTCCCCCCCCTCAAACACCAAACTCATCTCACCCACCCACCAAAAACCCCAATTCATCCAACCTAATTTCTGCATCCCAAGAATCTCGGATCCATCTCCAACCCACCAAATGCGGCGAATCTGCCCCAACTTTCTTTTTGATCTCCTTCATCTTTTTTTCCATATTATCTGCGAAGATTATATGCGTGACACCCTCCTTCTTCCCGCTGTTCTTCCCGCTGTTCTTCCCGATATTATCCTCTGGCAAAACCACTCCACACGCGAATTCGTACCGATTCATCGCCATTTGAATCTCAACATCAACATCAAACCCCGTCCCATCACCCACTACAAATACCGCCCTACACCCCTAAACATACTCCCCTTCATATTCCCCAATCCCTTCCCATTATCCTCCAATTCCTTCAAGAAATCCTCTGCCGAGAATGTACTATCCTCAATCCTATCCATCGCCTCTAACACCCCCCTCAACTCCTCCGGGTTGGTATCCCTCGCATAGCTATCTCCCCACTCATCCGTGTGTTCCTCAATGCCCTCCTTATCCTCTTCCTTCGTATAAAACATATGTCCCGTCTCAAACGGAACAATATATCTCGACATCTCCAATAAACCATCTGATTCCATTTGCGCCACCGCATCCAATACCCATTTCGGTTTCACGATATTGGTTTTCCCGCCTTTGATCAACGAGGCCACTTTGACTACTCGTTTTTCGGCAATGACGATCATATCTTCTTTCGCGGTGGGAGATTGATAGATCTGACCCCCATTATTCTTAATAATCGTTTCGACTTCCACCTTGGTCTTCTTAACCGGATGCAGCATCTCGCTCATGACACAAAATTTCAATCCCTCAAAAACCCCCGTGTTGGGTCCCGCATACACAGCCTTCGAATCGGCTTCCGTGCCCGCGATAATCTTATCTCTCTTGACTCTCTTCGCATTCCTCTTCTTCTTATCAACTGTAAATTCATCGTCCTTCCCCTCCTCAACTTTCGCCTTGAATTTCATGAATTCTTCAATAGAAAGCGCAGACTTCCAATCTTTATCCGGACGCAAACGTTTGAAGCGCGGGAACCGAAGTGTGAAATTGGTGCGGAATGAATCGGATACGCCTACGGATGCAGCTTTGACTTCTACAACGATGGAATCGTCGGGCTTGATCCAGACATCTGGTCGTTCTTTTTCTTGATGCGAGCCTGCTAGTTCGATAAATTCAGTTGGAGGGGATTTGGCGTCCCATTTTATCCATTTACCCTCGGTTTGGTGTCGGATGGCAGCATAGTCATCTGCATTGAAACCACCGCCTACTTTGAAGAATGAAAAACATTTCATGGGGTTTGCTCCTATCTTGCGGTAAGTTTTGTGTTTGTTGTTTGATAGGGGGGTTGTCATACCAGCTTTGATTTGTTTGTCATTCACGCGTAAACCGCATAGGAATGATGATAAGTTTCCTCCTCGATGACCTGATCCATAATATCCACCAATGATTAGACAATCTAGAGACTCTCCAAATCCGGACATGTATTCTGGTTTGACCTTCATCCAGTCATCGTTTCGACTATTCAGTCTATACATTGACCCTGGATTCTTCAACACCAACCCCTCAGACCCTTCGGCAACAATTTTCCGCAGGGCAGGATTGATTTCAGAAGCTGATTTGGCGGGTTTATAGTCATGCTTTTCGATGCGTCCCTCGACGTTATGGAGTGATTGCTCCAATACGTTGCGCCTGTCCCTCAAAGTGTATTTTGTGATATTACTACCATTCAAATACAAGCAGTCGAAGACTTTGAATACCGGCCGAGCGGCAGTACCAGAAAATGGATCTTTCTTTTCCGATAGAGCGGCTGTTTTTAGCGTACCAAAAGCCACGACCTTATTCGTGATAGGATCCCATGTGATCATCTCGCCATCCAATATAATACTACTCACTCTTGAATCAAAGGCCTTCTTCATATGTCTTGTCAGCGCTGAATTGTCGTCCTCAAAACTATTCCCATAGAGGTATGTATAGTCCTTGCCCCTTCGAGACCACCATGCGAAGCGGCGACCCCCTGGAATATCATCATTCTCCTCCATATGCATTTGGATTCTTTCGCCATCTAATTTCTCCTCGATCCAAAATTCCGGAACCTTATCTTTATCCTGGGAATCTCGAGGACCCTGGGGACACATTTTGTCAACCATTTTCTGGAATGAATTTGGCATAAACTGTGCGAGTTGGGGTTGGAAACACGACATTAACTCCACGCCTGTCTCATCAGCTTCTAGGGTGACATTGGGATCAGTAAGTTCCCAGCAGACTCGACGGAGACTGGAGGAGACATTGAAGAGTGCCTCTCCATCTGGATGCCAGAGCTATAGATATGCATTAGTAACAGATCAGAGACTCCCAATATCAACTCACATTTAGAAACATCTTTTCCGAAGCACCAATTTTCATTTGCCGAAGAATCATTCGAATCAACCATGCCAACTCTTCCGCATTCATCCTCTGATAAAATTCTCGAAAGATAGGCAATTGATTTTCTTCTTTCTGAGCCAAAGCAAGTTTATCAAGCATTTCATTAACCTCCCCAATACTCATATCACCAACCTTCTGTCTCATGGGTCGTTTCGACAAAACCTCATAACACCTACCGGGAAAATCCCCCGAATTAGCACTCGGAGGACCCCGAGCCGGAAGTTTCCAATTGAGAAGATTATATCCGTCATCCGAATCCTTAGACAGGTTCAAGAGCTTGATAATCAGTCTGCCGACAGAAGCCTCTTTCAATCCATACATAGCTCGATCGCGATCTTTTTCAGGGATGATAAGTCGCAGCGCCGGAAAGAAATCATCGCCAACTTCACTGCGCCATCGCGACATAAATCGTAAAATGGCATTTCTTCGCTCTTCGTGAGGAGAGAGCTTGTTGGGTCCATGGGGTCCTAGCTTCTTGCGGGCAGTGGCTGGACCGGGCTTTTCTTTCTTGTGGGCTTCGAGGGGGTTGAAGAGATATTTGAATAATTCATGGAATGGTAATGTTTTTCCATGGTTATGAGGGCGATTGGGATATCTTATGCTTTAGTTAGATGTTGATGATCAAGAGGATGAAATCAGATTGATCGACTTACTTGTCGCTGAGTTCTTCTTTGCTGATGGAGCTATGCGCATATTGACGTTCATCATCAGCTATAGCTTCGGCATTTGGCCTTTTGTTTTTATTCTGTTGACTTGAGGCCATGATTCATGATGTTGAGCTTTTATTAAAATTTAAAATCATTGAAAGTTGATTCTCAAGGGAGATTAAATAAATTCAATGAAGATGTCAGTACGGTCGCGGTTGCCTAGCTAGCGCGAAGTTATCACGATATCACGTGGATATAATGCACGGACTTGTTCTATGTTCGAGCTCCCGGTGAGCTCCCGGTGAGCTCCAAATTTTACTGCTGAGTTGATGTGTATCTTCGGTATCCATTCCCTTCCCTTCCCTTCCCTTCCCTTAGGTAGGTGCATTATTTTCATCTCGCAAATCAAGCGTCAAACCCTGAAGAGTTTCAACATTCATTCTGTATGCATCGACCCCTCATGTCACAATAAAATCACAATAAATAAAGTTTTCAACTCATAAGTTTCCGTTACTTACCCATTCTGAGGTTTCCTCGTCTCGTAGAGACTCTGACCGCAAACTACTAGTATGGTCTGTGCATAGGTTGTACTATACCTAATGCGTAATCTTGAGGATAGTTTTTCCGATCCGGATCTGAAGACTACACATCTAATTAGATCAAAAATTGTGTGGGCAAGCTTTGATATGCTACTAGAGAGTTTTTATAACCATACTCCAAGAATACCTCGCTTAAGCCTAAATTCCACAATATCATACTAAAACATATACTATATCCACCTCTCACCACCTTCGCACAGACTATATTAGTAGTTTGCTGTAAGAGTCGCTACGCTCTGTCGAAAAAGCGACGATTAGACTAAGAATGTTACTTACCTAGCTACATGTATACATATGCATATACATATTCAAAATTCAAAATTCAAAACTCAATATCCATAAAACAAAACAAAACAAAACAAAACAAAACAAAACAAAACAAAACCTAGATTTCAATCCAATCCAATCCAAATCCAATCCAATCCAATCCAAATCCAAATTCACAATTCGCAATTCGCAATTCGCAATGCTAATTAGGTATCTAGGTACTCGAGCATGTGTGTATTTATAGGTATCAAGCGCATCTCCATCACCATCCCCATCCCCATCCTCGCAACGCAATGCAATCCAACCAATCCAATCCACTCCAATCCGATCTTTCCAACCGTATTAAGACAACCTGTACTATCATCCCATCCCCATCTATAATTCCCTCCCATCCCATCTCATCTCATCTCTTGTCCAACTAAACATATAGACTCTCATCCCGTCTCGTCTTGTCTTATTCTCTAGGTATTGCTACTATGCACCCCAATCTATTAGAGTCTATAATTGACCTCTTCTATTAAACACCGGATTCCTCGCCTTCCAACTTCTCCGATTTCCTAAACATCCGGTTAATTACCTACCCTCTTCTATTTTATTTTATTTCATTTCATTTCACCCGATCCTTAACCTTGATCCCCCCCAAACCCCCTACACTCCTCCAAACACTTTCGCTCACTCTACCAGGTAACTTCCTCCCCTTCAACCTCTGATCTATAAGCCACAACCCCACCACAAATTCCTCTTTCCCCAATCTCCCACCCCTGCCCCCCTTCTCAACCCCCATCCTCATCCCCATTCCCCTCCTCTCAACCAACCCCCAAACCTCCTCCAACACATCACCACCCAACCGACTCCTCTCCCAAATATCCCTAACCACCACCCCCGGCACACTATCCGCCGCCCCGCCCACCTCAATACTCTCTCCCCTCTCATTGACCGTATAAGGAAACAATCCCTTATTACTCGCCCAAACAGCTTCATATCTCTTCCTCTCCCTCTCTGTAACCACATCTCTCCACCTCTTCCGATCTCCCTCATGATGTTTATTCGGATGTTTCTTGACCAAATGTTTCTTCCCCCTTCTCTTCTCTCCCTCATTTTCTTCTTCCCTGAGTTCTTTTCCCGTTTTAGGTTTCCGCATCGTAGTTTTCAACATTGGAATTGCAATGGTATTTCCAGCTCCAGTTTGAGGAGGTGTAGGCGTGCGAGAATTATCCGAATGGAAGATATTTTTATGTCTACGAGTAGGGGGAGGGGCTGGAGGGCGAAGACCCCCAGAATGTATAGAAGGGGAGGACGCACGGGATGAGGCGAGAGAACCAGCCACGATGGCATCGGCGAGAGAATTGGCGTTCATGTTCATAGGGGAGACGGAGGAGGATTGGCGCCGGTTTTGCTGTGCTACTTTTGCGCGCCAAGAGGGAGATCGAGGTTTGGGTTGGGAGGAGGCGGATACGAAGGAATCGTCTGAGGATGCATCGTTGTCGTCATCGTTGTAGAATGGCTTAGAGGCTGGTATGGATTTGGAAGGTTTAGTAATTTGAATGGTAGAAGCGCGTCTCGGATGTTGGGTGGGAGGTTTTAGGGGTGAGTCGATTGAGGCGGTAAAGTTCAAAATAGGAGTTTGCATTGAACGGGCCTGAGGAGCTTGCATTGGAGGAGTTGTAGATTGTTTGTCCGGCGCAGGAACATTAGCAGTACGTCGTGGAGGGGGTATCGAAGGTTTTTGCACTGATGGCTTCAAGAGTGATTCGGTAGATTCCAGAGCATGAGAAGATGCAGGTCGAATAGATTGTATGGGAGGCTTAGCTGACGGCTTGGTAGGCGGAGGGCCATGCGCAGAGACAGGCCGAGAGAGCGTTTGTATTGAAGGCTTTGTAGAAAGGTTTGGCAAAGGGCCATGAGAAGAAGCAGGTCGAGTATTGTGTATGACAGGCTTTTGTACCGGAGGTTTCGGAGACGGCTTAACAGCCTCAGACCCAGGAGTATGTGAAGAAACGGTTCGAGGTTGTATCAGGGGCGTTGACGTAGACTTCATTTTCTCAGATATAGGGGGTTGTGATAAAGCAGATCGAGGTTGTACCAAAGGCTTCGTAATAGACTTCAGTAGCTCGGGTTTGGGCGCATGGCTCGAAACGGGTCTCGTCAGCATCGCCGGCCTCGAAATAGGTATAGGCGCATGGCTCGAAGCCGGTCTTTTCCTCGGACTCTCCTGTCTGGTCACTACCTCATTCCCTCCTGCCTTCCTAACCCCCCTATCCGTCTGCTCCCACATTCCCACCAACGAACTCGTAGGGGGAATATTCGACACATCCAACCGCCTCTCTCCACTATCAACCGAACTCGTATTCCCAATCGAACTCGCATAACTCTGTCTCCTACTTGGTAATGGACTCGCCTGTTTCCCCACTCCTCCCCCCATCCCCTGACTCTGTCCCGTCTGATTCGGACTATTATCCCTACTCCTCTTCGCCGCCACATTCGCCGCCATAAATGCCGCCGAACTCTTCACACTCGATTCCGGCGTACTACTCGCACTCGAAATTTGAGCCTGTAGATATCCATTCGATCTCTGCTGTACTCGTTTCTGGGCATCTCTCTGTCCTCCTTGATATTCCGACCCCCCAATACTCCCCCCATCCGTCGTTTCACTCCCCCCCGTCTTTTCCCTCCCCAGTATCTGCTGCCCATACCCCATCCTCTCATCCATCCTCTCAACCTTCGACGGACTTCTCGTTCTCCCCCCTACTACTCCTCCTGGCCCAACCTTCATAGCCGCCGCCAAAGCCCCATCCTTCCCACTGTACGTATTCACATATAAATCCTTCCCTAAACTCGACTTCGACTGCAACCCATTCTTATCCCCATGTTTATCCAACAGCACCGGCGCCCCCTTCGATTCTGATTTCGATCTCGCATTCGAAAAGGCCAACGCTGCCCCCGTCAACGCCGCATTTTGCGTTGGCGTTTGCGCTCGCGCATGCACTATTCCAGTCCCCCCTCCCCTACCCCTACCCGCTCCCCCTACATGTATATTCCTCAGCGAATTGGCACTCGGCGTATGAGTTATCGTTCGCTCAGATATTGTCCAAGTCGAAGTCGCCGTCATATTCGAAGAAGCAGCAGAAGCTTGTGGCATGCGACTCCCCGTACCACCAACCACAGGCCGAGTAGTAACCTTACCATCGATCCCAACCCCACTACCACTACCACTTACATCCTCATCCCTATTCGCATCCGCATCCGTCATATTATGAGAGCTTAGCTTATTTCAATTTGCTATGCTATGCAATACAATGAAATGCTAAACCGCAGCCCTTCTCCTTCGCATTCGCATTCGCATTACTTAAACCAAGCAGCCGGCGCAAAGAATGAATTTCGAGAGCATCGGAACGGATCCCGGAATGGATATCCGTAGGGAGCCGTAGGGAGTAGGTAGGTACCTAGGTTTGATGAATAAATAAACGAGTGAGCAGACAAACGAGTGAACAAGTGAGCAATGAAGCAAATGAGTAAGAAAACAAGCAGGAACAAATGTGTATCGATCGCTTGATATTGGTATGTATATCGATACTGTAGCATGGAAAGTAATATACCGGTGCTGTGCTCGAGGAATAATATGTGGAGTCAGTCTTATTGAATGATTCTGTCATAAGATCATTCATTATCAAACTTCTATGCTCGTACGTACTTCTATGTCTTATACTTTGATTCATTCATACTTTCATACTCGAGTACTTTCACATCAAATTCCATCAAATCCCATCCCATCCAATCCCATCATATCATATCACATCATATCATATCACATTACACATACATATCGAACTCGAACTTGAACTCGAATTCCTCCCTCTCTAAAACACAATCGATAAACTAAAAATTCCCTTTCCAATATAACAAAACCTCTCCGAGTCTATTCAAATACAAATATAAGAATACTTTTCTATTATAATATCTAAAATAAGAATATATTATATATCGAAATATTCTTATAATAAATCTCTAAACTAATTTCAATAGAGTAGTAAAAGCAAGCTAGTCTAAATATAGAATATTATCTTATTTGAATAAAATCCGATGTTGTAGATAGTAACTACTCGAGTAAACCTAAACCCAAACTCTAATAATAATCACGAATATAAAGAAACATCATATCACATATTCGATATCATATATTCGATATCGATGTCTTTATTTATCTATATAATCTAATTCCTTTCATTCCTCTCATTCCACCAGGGTAGGTAAGGAAAAGGAAAAGTTCCAGTCAATATCTATCATATCATCAACCACATCCTAAATGCCCTCCATACCATCATCCATCCCTCAAGCCATCCATCCATTCCTCATTTCAAATCCCATCCCATCCCATCCCTATATCACGCCCCAATAAACAAAGTAATAAAACAACCCAAGCTCAAGCCTTAGCCCAAGCCCAAATCGTATTGGACGAGCCATGTCTAAGCAAACTCCATGAAGCAAATCACTCGCTCGCTCGCTCGCTCGGTATCGCTATCGCTATGAAAAGCACAAAATATTCCCAACTCCCCTCCCTCCATACATTCATAAAAAAAAAAATGTTCAAATCGTGAAACGAGAGTTATTCATCCATCCTCCACCGCTAGTCGAACTTTGCATTCGTATTTCGTAATTTGTATGCAAAACCACACCTTCGGACCCTTGGTGCATAACAAGTTTCATCCTCGCATGTGAAAATGTGATAATAGCGGTGGATCCCTATTTTTTTGGACCTGCATTTCCGCCCGAACAACAACTGGATTTCAAGAATTCCATCTCCATATCACGAGGTGATTAGGGGGTTTGGCCTGCTCGGATCCTCGAGAGAACCATCCAACCACTCCGACTTTACCCGCCAATCCAATTACTGCTCGTTGTAGAAGATCTGCTTGAAGCCTCGGCTGTCTTAAGTGTCAGGCCATACTAGCGAATCTTTACACCAGTCGACACACACAACAAGGAGACGGCCATATGCAACCATCAGTCCGGCGGCGGTTCTTTCATAAATCCCAAACCAAAAGCTTGCTGCTCGATTGTTTGGCAGTGCAACAGATAATAAATCCATTACAATGGTAAGAAAATTTTGCTGTCGGAATTCCTCTACCGACAGATAAATTTTCAGTCGAAAGCAAGACACCCAAGATTTCATGTGTCATGGTGTAAAAAGCTTTTTCTCGTGCACCAGGGTAAAAGTGGATAAAATGGATAAGTCGATGGATATGCACCCACCCGTTCGGGGGAACCCGTATGTAAGTCTAGTGTGGTTCTAGAAGGTCGGTATTTGGAAACCGTGTGTCCGGTATTGACAACTACCGCTTGAGATCCGCCCACTCGAAAACACGATTCATGAATTTGATCCGGTGCCACGTAAATAAGGAAACTTGAGTGGGCAAAGTCTTGTCGGTGAGGATGTCGCGTGGAATTGAGCCGCGCAAGTCTGTGACGAATAACCGATTCTGATTAGTAAGTAAGTGCAGTCCATCGAAGAGGAACTCCATCGTCCCCAATTTCGTAGGGTTTGCTAGGTGCCCGTCTGGGTGGCAGAGCCCATCTCGCTCTTCCTGGCTTGCGGTCGTCCAACTTGCCATTTTTTCGCATTGCCATTTCCATGACCGCAATTCGGATAAAGTCGCTATTTTCCCTCATATCGCGTTGACGTGCGACTGGACCAGTTGCGACCTCGGCAAAACCTTGCTCGGAATCTTCTTGTCTGCGCCTGTTGAATCCAGTTGGCGAAGAACCTTTTGAAGACTTGGATACCTTGTAAGTTTGCATCTGTATGGATGCTGTACATTTTGTAGCACTCATTGTTTGGGTGAGAGATGTTAGCACATGTGCATCCGTGGGTGCATTTGTCGTGGGGTTGAGATAACGACGTAGTGCTGGAGTAGGTGTGTCAACCAGTAAAGGTGGCATCCTTTCATCCGTAAATGGAACTTTCGGGTCAATTGACATGATAGATCTTGTAAGGAAATCATCGGGTGTAATCATAGGTGTTGTGAGACTCGAAAATGATTTTGCCGCAGACCTCAAAGCTCGCAACGATGCAGTTAAGTTTGATTTGAAAGCGGATTTGCGACGCGGGGGTTCGACACCAGCGATAGGTTGTTGATCCTTGGATAAATCTGAAGCTCGCTGGAAGACTCTAAAGTCGAGTTCTTCAACATCAACATCTGATAAAGGATGGTCGTGCAAAGTAGCTTCGCCCGAAAATGTTGGTTGATACCTCCGGGTTGGCAGAGACCTTCTCCCTCGTGAACTCGGTGTTAAAATTGAGCCTGGTGTAGTTGATGCATCACTGAGGGAAGCATCATCCAACGATGGTACAGACTCGCTCGATGTAGTCCTACTCGAGAACACTGATCCCGGACCATTCTCCGAACTGCAACAATCGATCGAATCGGTTTTTTCTGGAGGACTTAACAATAACTCCATGGGACTCATACCAAATGTTATACTCAGTTCTTTCTCCGAAACAGCAGTATGTTGTAATATGGCATCCACTGTCAACCTTTGCCTAGACGTAGCCTGTCTGCGAACACCGTTGTATGATTTGGGACGCGGAATGGCGGTGATTGCCAGCAAGGCGGCGACAGAGGGAGAAATTGCATCTGGCGAACAGACATCGTGAGGGCGACGACCTGACCGTGTCGGGTACTTTTTGGTAGTTTGACGACGATCCTTTCTTGGCTCAAATGCTAAACCATTCTTGAAACTATCGTGGTGACCTCGAGTAGGAATCACAACTGGCGATGAAATCGAACTGCCGCTCGTAACCTCAGTACTGGAAGTTGACTTTGTCATGATATCTGAGGTTTGTTCATATTTGAATTCGAAATTCGATTTAGAGGAAGAGGTCGAAGGTTTCGATTTCGATTTTGGAGTGTTGAATAATGAGAAAGATGTAGGCATGACGTTGCTGCTCGCGTGCCCTGAGGGGCTACCGCATGAACCAGTTGTATCTATTACTCGATAGAAATTAAATCTGTCGAGGATCTGAATATCAATAATACACTTAACAAGATTCGTACTTGAAATTGAAGAATAAATCCTGTATAAACAATGATTTATAAGTCTTATCGAAAGGAATGTCGAGTTTGTTTGTATATTTCCAAGTTGTTGATGGTGAAAGTCATTACAGTAACTTAGGTTGTACTGTATTTCATGAGCTTATCATGATTTTAATCGTCGGATATTGTAGGATATTGGTGTAATTCAACTTTCAACCTTTACATTAAAAGGTGATTAATAGTAAAAGGAAGAATGGGAGGGAGAATGGGAGAGTAGTCAACTAGAAGGAATGTTTTGATTTGTGTCAAGGAAGTCCAGCTGATTTGAAGTGAATCATCACTTTTAAGATGGGTAGGAGGATATGATAGCCACTGGTGATAGATACCTAGCCTTAAAGATAAGCTGGAAGGAGATAAGCGATAGTATATATATATATTCGTGGTAACTACAAGTATAACTGCTTTAAAAAGACTTGGAGAAGGTTTATGATATAAAAGGCTTTGGAAAGAAGAAATAGATTGTATTAATAAGATATCTTCCCCAATATCCTATCTCCCAATAACAATAAAGATATAATAATGCCAGCAATGCCAACAATGAATCGAATCATCAATAACCTGGCTCTTTCTCACATTTTTTCTTTTCTTCTGTCTGTAATACATAACTACTACTCTGTATCATGATTTCGGATACCATAGATTCATAGATTATGTGCGACACCCCTCCCATATATCCTTGAAAACGCCTTGAACTTTCTTTTCCTTCGAGAAGGCGGGACTAGGGCAGGGGGTACACAATGATGTTTACTTGCATATATGTTTTGCTTGTATAGTAACTGATTTAAATCATATTATTAATTATGATTATCATCTTGTCTTATAGCGATGAGACAGAACAGATAGACCTTTACATTTGAAAAAGAATATTAGTTACCTATTTACCTATATACAAGTACTGTATACTGTAAATATCGGGTACACGACTTGAAGGCGGAAATCCTTTTTCCTATGAATATCAATCAATCTCAATCTCGAGTAACCATTCGAGTTATAGTATTATTGTTATTCTTCATGTTGTGTTTATACTTTTCTCAAGCCGCCTATAATTACTATAATACTATAATATAATGATCCACATAGAATATAATCTTATCAATTGATAAAAGAAGTTCGTCTTCAGCATTTCCGCTCTTATCTACCTTCCTCTATTGTAAACTTTGCTTTATATGAGATGAACTACTGAAAATTGTATGTTATACACCTTCCAACTGTCCGACAACGACTTATTAACGGATGGAGACATCTTGGTTGAGACTTTGTTTTATTTATTTTTTCGTTCATTTAAATAGATTGTGGAATTTCATCAACATACATTCATCTACTCTACCAGTACAGTACCGTACTTGTCTCCTTCCCTATCCTCTTCCTCTCACAAGCAAATTCTTCCGCCACGTCAGTTAGTGACTCCGCTAATGTTTTGATTTTGATATTCCTTTTGACTTTTTTTGTTTCATCAATTTCATCATCAGGTTCCGGCGCCTGTTGGGCGTGAATTAAATTCTGTTAAGATATACCCGAATCCGAATTCAGTAAAAGTATACAGTACCGAGGTCTTCTTATCATTTCTGCTTGTGCTTGCTTTTAATAAAGCAGCTTCCGAAGTTTTGCAGTAAACCAACCCTGGATATACAGTAAATGTATGTACTAGGTACCGGTAGTTTACTGATTATCCGGCAATCTGCACGGGGAAACTTTGAATCCCCACATCTCATACTTTTATATTCATCTGCCTCACAAATACAAAATAGTTCGCGTGCTTATTTCGAACGAGAGCCACGATACCACACCATAAAACATGATCAAAACACGCACAAACCCAAGGGTCTTTTTTTTGCAAAAGGCTTTTAGGGTTCCCTGACTCACTTATATCCGTGGATTACCCTTGAAAACTTACCCCCCCCCCCCCCCCCCAAGCAACCTAAGCTGCAATCTCCTGAGTCCTTACAACAAATTGCATGTCAGACTTTCCACCTTCCTTCCCCACGATATCATATTCAACCTTCCTTCCCGTCCAAAGAACGAACCAAAGGCGGCTGCAAGTGTATGCTTAGGGAATTCCGTTATCCACAAGATCTGATAGGTTAAGAAATAGATGAAAAGGTCCACTTGCCAGGTACCAATGAACTTCCTCATTTGTTCTCGAAGAAGCATTGTCCTTCACATCCTTCACATCTTCGCATCTCGCCTCGTCGGAAATATAAAGCCTAATAAATCCATCGTTTCATTTTCTGCTCAGGTGTGATGGCCAACGTGCCCCGCCGAACGTGATAGCTCACATTTTATATTTCGAGTAGGTAGGACAGAACAAGAACCTTTGGTGACACCAGTAGTCTGGATCTTGAATATTTCTCTCTCTCTCTCTCTAATACTCTCTCATAAAGGAAAATGTTATCCAGTGGTAGTTAGTCTGTAGATAAGACATTTTTGCAACCAACACTCGTAACCTTACCGGTACCGACATGCCAAAAGCTTGTCATTGCTTATCTCGAGGATCGGCTAAGACCGACTTAAAGTCTAAAATCTGGGGTTTGACTTCCACGTGAACGGCGGCGGCTTACTATTTCCGAGGACATTGGGCTGATCTAGTGATAAAGCTGTGGATGGCTTTACATACATCACCAATCAAAGCTGTGTGCAATTTCGAAGTTTGGATGTCCCACCCACTAATCAAAGCTGTGTGGAATCTCGAAGTTTGCAACTGAGCCGAGGAATGCCGTCGTGATAACCTTACAGTTCACGTGATGATGATATGTGTCTGAACATGAAGATTGAACAATTGATATTCTTGATCTTGATTCTGAATATGCTGACTGACTGACATAAAGCTTGTTGTCGGCCTCAATGGTTGAACAGAAGAACTAGGGAAGTATAGACTCATAATATTCCACTTCCGAGGACTAAGTCAGAGTCTCACGTCAAGAACATTGTAAATAACTTTCAGAGACCCATATACCTCGAACTTTTTGGATAATAGAATCAGCACCTTTGTGTGATTAGGTATCTTTGCGAGATCATTCTTGGAATTCTACTTTCACCATTGATTATAATTAGTCTATAGATTAGAGGTTTCTCAATTCTATTCCTAGTATTCCTAGTATCACTTTATATACAGTAAGCCCATTCGTTCTATATAAAGAATTATTGATCTAAAACATATACTCGAGTATTGAGATGATGTATTGATATTTTAACTCATGATTCGATCCTAATATAACCTCCCCGGTGAACATTCTAAGCACTTATACACGAGTAGTCCCTGGTGAGTTCTATCAAGTTTTTCTCTATCATAATACAGTATTCACCCGGTAAGCTTCTTATAAGAACTGTATAAACAAAAAATTGCATCAAAACCATCTCACCATTCTTTTCATTTCACTTCATACAACAAGCATATTCAATGTCCAAAGACAAGTTCGTCACATCACATCACATCACATCACAAAACACATATATACACACCAAATCCCCAAAATCATTAATCAAACAATACTCATATCATATCATATTCTCTCTTCTCTTCAAAAGACAAAAATCTATAATTACTAACTAGTACGAGTACGTACAGTACTCACCACACTTTTTCGCTACCCTCGGCCACAAATTCCCCATCCATTACTCATCATCATACTGTATATATAAATAACCTAGATTGATGTATAAAATCAACATTCCTCCCTTCCCCCTCCTCTCCAATTCCTCATGTGTACCATGCCAGACAGGCGTAACGTCCATGAAAATGGAACAAAGCTGATTTATATCATGTTTTCTCCCTCTTACAATACAGATAATCAGGTGTAGTAATTATGTGAAGACGGAACTTTGAAATGAAATGAAATGAGATGAAATGAGATGAAATGAGATTGGTATCGAATTGAATTCGAAACGCTGCCTAGACTTGTGTACTTTGCTGTGCTTTGCTTTTCATATGTAAGATATGTTTTTCTTGCTTGAGATAGGATAGACAATTAATGAGAAAGATTGATTGATAGATAAATAAACCGATCAAAGAGTGAAGATAGCAACAAAAGCAGCGACGAGAAGTCCGCTAAATCCGCTCGTACTCTTGATAGTAATAGCGCCTCCAGTAAAAGGAACAGAAGTAGAGGTAGTAGCGGCAGGAGGAACATTAGTAGCGCCAGCAACACCCGAAACAACAGTAGTGCTAGATGGAATCGAGGTACTGTACCCAGCAGCTTGCGAAGCAGCAGTAGTACCGGGGATCAGCGCAACGCTCGCACTAGCGGAACCCACAGCGGGAGCGGTGGAGAAGACTACTTGGGGGACGGTGATGGTGGTTGCGATGATGGTTGTGGTGGATGAAGAGGGGATGATGGAGCCGGAGAGGGAGCCGGTGGATTCTATGCAGGGGACCACGAGGGTGGTGCTGAGTGTTACGGTTGTTACGGGGGTGGAGGCGAGGCCTTGCACGGATGTGGTGGCTGTGGAAAGGGTGCCGGATGCTGATGGGACTGGGATGTAGATGGAAGAGGCGGCGGTTACAATGGCGGGGTTGGTTGATACGTGCGCGGCGCAGATTCCTTGGAAGTATTTCTGCGCGGCGTCGATGTCGGATGTGGAGGCTCCGTATGCGTGTAAACATCCAAAGACATTTTTGACAAATGAGTCGTCGGGACAGTAACAGTCGGAATCGGTGTTGGATTCGCATCCGACTAGGTACATCCAGGTGTTTAAGCATTGGGGCAGGACATCTGGGCATGCGGCGGTTTCGGTGGGGATACTTGCTGTGGCAGTGGCAGTGGTGGTTACGCCTTGGGCGGAGCTAATAGGGGCTGTGACGGTAATGACGCTTGAGGATACTAGGGTTGAGGAAGAGAGCACGGTGGAGGTGGTTGAAGTAGTTTCGAGACTTGTTACGCCCCCGGTTGTGTGGGTCAATGTAACGGGGCAGATGGTAGTAGATGTATGGATAAGGACTGTGGTAATAGCAGTAGTTTGAACGCTGGTGGCACTTGCGCTTGGAACCGGAACCGGAACAGATGTAACACCCTGAACAGAAGAAGAAGGAGCGGTAGTAGGCACAATGATGCTGGTGATAACGCTCGAGGTTACGAGAGTAGATGATGATCGCACGGTGGAGGTGGTGGAGGTGGTCTCGATGCTGGTTACTCCCCCGGTGGTGTGGGTTAGGGTTACGGGGCAGATGGTGGTGGATTCGTGGATGATGACTGTGGTTATGGCGGTGGTGAGGAGGCTGGTGGCGTGGGAGGTTATTGGAGCGGTTCCAATGGGTGTACTGATGGTGGAGGATTTGGATGGATATGGAGCTGATGTACCGATGATGGAGGATTTGGAGGAAGAGTGGGCTGATCCCGAAGAAGATGGAGTTGATTCAGAGGAAGAGTGAACTGATCCCGAGGAAGATGGAGCTGACGAGGAAATTGGGCAAGCGGTTTGACCAGAGATAAGAACACCAGATGAAACGCATGGCACAACAGAGGTTGCTGCGGAACTTGATGAACCTGGGGGTGGAGCAACAGAAGTACCAATGATAGAGGTAGCAGCTGATGAGCCTGGAATCTCAGTGGCGGTGACTGGGCAGATCGTGGTTGAAATTGCGACACTATTAAAGTTTATTAGATAAATTTTCATCAATGAACAAACAGAAATAGAAACTTACACGACGGTAGTCAAAGCAGTTGATCTAGCTGGGCAATCGGTAACAGTTGCCGCGCAAGAAATAATGGTGGAAACCGAAGTGGCGAAAATGGTCGATGTGGTCAATTGAACAACTGATGATGATCCGGTGACTGATGTACCAATAATGGAGGTAGCCGCACTTGAGCTTGGTTTTACTGAAGTTCCAATGCTGGAGCTTGGCTTTACTGATGTACCGATAATGGAGGTGGCAGCACTTGAGCTTGGCTTCACGGATGTTCCAATGATCGATGATGTTTTGGATGATCCGGTTCCGATGAGGGTGTATGAGGTACCTGTCGCAGAAGGGGTGCTCTTGATTGAGGTGACCTTGCTGGAAGATTCAACGGAAGTGTGTTTGGATGAGACGCTGGAGGTGGAGGTGGTTTTTACCGAAGTAGTTTTGACACTTGCGGTGGTAGATGGGTGTTGAGTGGTCGATGCCGAGCTGCAGTCGAATCCAACAGAGCTAATACCAACACTGCAAGAAGCTTTTCCGGTAGCGGCAGTGTGGGTTTGGCTTGCGGAAGAGTAGATCACGGTAACGTTCTTAGCACCACCACATTGAGAGTTGGAGATAAGGGAACCGCCGCTTGAGCAGGCAGAGGTCTGCTTGCAGGTAGATCCATCGTGCATACCATAGTGGAACTCCAAGTTGCAGTCGAACTCGGTAGTAACGTGGACGGTAGAGATAGAGAAAGCCGAGATATCGCTCGAGGATCCAGAGCTTGATGGTTTGGAGGAGGATCCACCGCATGAGAATTGAGGACTGGAGCCGTGATCCGAGGAGGCTGAACCGGAGATACATTTTCCTGATGTTCTTCTTGGGAACTTGGGGTTATCGCGCTTGCCGAAAGAGTTGGAGCATGTGAATCCGGTGAAGGTGAAATCGTCGTAGTTGCTGAAAGATCCAGATGAAAGGTCGCTGAAATCCCATCCGCTATGTTGAGTCGATGAACAGTCGTTGTTGGTGTTTGAAGGGCAAGAAAAGCTAGACTTGTCTGACCATCCAGTGGCAGCAGCAAACTGGAAGCCGGCGGCCAAAGCCGCAAGGGCAGAGAGAGTTTGAGACTTCATTATTATATAATAGGTTGATCAACGAGTGTTGGTTATTGGTATGAAAATAAATAAAAATAAAGGAAGAACGAATGATCCTTTGATGCTGAAGAAAGATATGGAGAGTAAAGAAGTGAATGACTTTAACTCTCACCGGACGATATAATTATAAGAGAATGATGAAATGAAGAGATCGTAATGAATGGAGTAGAAACCTAACGTGAGGATTCTCAGGATCTGTTATATCTTAGGAAACGGTTGGGCCATGACCTATCCCGCACAGCCTCGATCCCTTTCTTAGGGTCTTCCGTGTTGAACCATTTGGAAACCAGATAAAGAACCATGTCCCACAGCAGTCGTCAAGGATTCTATAGACGAGGAGAATCTTTTGAAGAAGAAGCTAATACTAAGCAAGGCCATATTCTTTCAGACCGACCCATGCATGCGCGCGCTTTTTGGTCTTTTTGGTCTTATTTTTCTTTTGGGGTGGAGGAGTCTGAACTCTCAGAGCTTCAAAGAATGATACTCTATGAAAAGACCATGCTTGCTAAAATCGAGGGGTGCAGATGCGGAAAGAAACAGGTGAAACCTGAATGTGCGAACTACTGCAGGTACACCGTCCTAGTCAGGGGTAAACTTCTTAAGACGGATTTATTGTTCCTCGTATTTGGTCATATAGGCATGAATCTAGATTGTCTAGGTGATAATACCCAGAATCCGCAAGGTCAATGCTTATTGCTTACTTTCTGACGAGATGTATACCCGTTGAACCAAATACATATTCTTGATATCTCGGTATCCACTCCGATAATTCACCTCTCTTTTGGGTCGTTTTGGAGTTTAGACATTCGATTCATTGAAATCGTCAATACAGTGTGTCTCAAGCGCATAGTTCCATTAGCCATGATGCGCTACAACACACATTGCAGAATGTTGTACTCGTGTACTGAGTAGTATTGTGATGCTCAAAAAACAATAATGCCTAAATATATGTTAACGCACAGCCGAGCGGCAAAGGAATGATTGGCTATTATACATCATTGCTTCTTCAGGATTTTTACATTTATGCAGGGTATCCGAAAGCAATTCTTCATTGATTTGATTGGAAAAGTAGATGGAAGAAGACTATGAGGTAATATTCAATTTGGCTTAGATCAATCAGATGAAGCCACAAATAGATACTTACAGCGGTTGCCAATTTCAGATGATATAATCATTGGATGAATATGTATGATCAGATCAAATCAAGGTTGAATGCGCCATTTAGAACATTTTACTACTCGAGTAGAGGTCAGATAAAGGAAAGTTAATTAAACGGGGTTCATAGGGTTAATTGGAGGGGATCAAGTGTTTCATGAATATTTACACAGCCCACATAAACATAGAAATATAGTTGTGGATATTGTTTGATAGATATCTTAACCAATCCAAAACCTTTAAAGCTTAAAACACACATTCTGAAACGACTACCCCTATGAAGATGATGATGTTTAGCTAATCAATCAGGATCCGAGAAATCATATTGAAATCCTATCCATAAACGATGGAACGCCGCCATCATCTGTTCTTAGATACTTACTGAGACAATACAACGTTGATATCTTCTCATCCATTATTTAACGCATAATTTGTTCCTAATAGCTATTAATACGCTGTATTATAAGGTTACAATACATGAACCTTCGGGGCAAGGCGAGACCGCATACACAACTCCGTGCTACGGACTCATTCTTTTCAACGAAAGAAGGGAAAAGGAAGATATCACAGATAGACGTTGAAAGAATGTTAGTGGATGGATCTTGTAGAGATCGGATGTTTTCGCAACCCCTGTGTTTTACTGTTTAGTACTTTAATGATTGCTGGAATCACTAAGGACCACCAGGACCACTCAACTATCTTTTTGAGCTTGTTCTTAAGCTTTATATAAATTACTATATCTGTAAAACTTTGTTATTGGTAGCAGATTATAGGAAGTCATGCAGGAACGATTCAGGAATATACCCGGATCTTTCGACTTCTACAGAGACTTCCTTCTACAGAGTCAGGTTCTTTTTCGTCAAGTAAAGGATAAGATCCCCTGAAACATCTTATGGTAACTCCTGGCGAGACTACTTCCACCCTTATTCATCCTGAACGCCGAAAGGGTATGCATCCCCTATAATACCTACATCATATACCCGTATCTGAACAAACCGAACCAAATCAAGAAATTACTCAGAACGAGCCCTCGTCAATATGTAGACATCCGACTCTTCAGTACCTGAAAGGCTGAAAGCAACTCAAGACAAATACCACCACATGAAACGATGGTCAGCGGGGATGGCTTGGCTAAAAAAAATACCGATAGGCTGTGGGGAAACATATTCAGATGAAACAAACTCAGAAAACGCCGGCACAATGGGAAATTTCTTCAATAACATACTCAGTACAATGGCTGCTTATGCATCATCATCATTGTGAATCGTGTCACAGTATGGTTATATGGTGTGAAATGAGTGGCTGTTTCTGGGCGGCAATATCACCAAGGGCTGAGCAACACCTTCTAATTCTCGAGCATTATATTTCACTGGCCCATTCTACCGAGATTTCAATGATACAGCATTGAATACTCGGCTCTCCGCGGCCTGTCTAGAGAGAGAGACCTATAGATTTCACGCGATTTGGTGTGAAGATAATTCGGATATCTAAAAGAGAGAAATGCTAAATCATACGTGGGTGGATCTCAATAGTCCCGGAAGGGTCAAATCGAATAATAAGGTTTAGGTGCCCAGACTCCGGCTCTTTCAGGGCCTATAAGCCCTAAATAGGCCTCTATCTTCACTCATACTGCGTAGCTATAGGATTATATAGTTTATTAAACTCTATTATTATCTAGTATATGCTTATATATATATATTCAATATAAATATGAATTTTGAAGCTATTCCTATCATTTTCTTTGAGTTTTAAAAGGGATAGCCTGTGTATCAAGCTTTAGACTAAAATATAAGATAGATTCAAGCTCTGAATTTCGAATTCTGAATTCTGAACTCTAAACTCTGAATCTGAATCTGAATCTGAATCTGAATATAATCAATATAAGTATATATATATAAGATAAAGTTATTTACGATTTATTCTAAAGACTCGGAATTCGTTATTGAAAAACAAGATACGTCTTTCTTTTAGATATCTTAATTGAAGTTAATAACAAATATAAGCCGCGTTTCCTTGCCTTGGGCAGTATTGCTGGTTTTGAGTGCTAACAACCGAGAATGGAGTAGGCTATTCCTGGAAGGATCTATTCGTTAACACCAACCCTCAGTTTGGTAATCCCTCGTCGACAATCTGCTAAAAGAGAGCACTCAAAATATCAATGCGACGATACGATGTCTCAATCTAATCTGGAAATCATACAAGCCTGTCCGATTGACAACGCTTTAGATGAGTTCTGCCAATCGTTTGATACCTCTCAATCCCTTGACACACTTAACTTTGATGGTATTATAATCTGGGCTTTGGGTATTACCTGATCTGACTATCATCTAGATCTTCAAGAACTAGCCTCCAAGCTGCTATCTGTATTATCAGATCTTGAGATATCTCGTCGACTTCCTTCAAAAACAAACAGAAAGACTCTACGTCAAGATCTGCTGACGCTCATTGTTGCTGTTGAATCCGACGGCTTCGATATTGATCGTATTAAACCCCTCTTGAACGCTGTCTTTGCCAACAAACCCGATCAAGAGATCTGGGATCGGGTTTACAATGCTGTTATCGAATCCACTCCACCTCCGCGACCGATTACGACTTCCCTTCATACTACAAGCATTTTTTTGGCGAATTTCTCTGAATGCTAGAGAGATATAGACTCAGCACTGAAACGTGAACTGGGTGTGATACATTTTGATGTTCCTCAAATTCATAATAAGTTTTTTGGGGGTGTGGCAAAGCTTGAAACTACTTCTCAGGCCTTTTTTGAGGAATGTAGTACAGGAACTGATCCATCTTTCATTGAAGGATGGGTTGGGTGGCCTATCGGTGCACTGGAGAGAGATGTTCTTAACTGGTTGGAAACATTCATTGAGAAGCTGGCAACATTCGCACAGGACTACAGGGTAACCCCAACACGAAGGATTATAGCAAATCCCAATAAGCCTGTTACAGGCTCGGTCTCAACGCGGAAGTTAGATATCGGCTTCGTGAACAATACCAAGAAAGATACAACATGCCATTGGTCACAGATCCTCATACCGGGAGAGCTTAAGAGCAACCCAGCTGCCGATACACATTCACACTCATGGCTTGATCTTGGGAGGTATGCAAGAGAAGTATTCTCTGCTCAAGATACTCGTCGTTTTGTTTTGGGCTTTACATGTTGCGGATCTTTTATGAGGATATGGAAATTTGATCGACTAGGCGCGGTTTCATCAGAGAAGTTTGATATCAACAAAGAAGGGCTTCTTTTTGTATCTACGATACTTGGATTTCTCTGGGCGGATGAGGAAGAGCTTGAGTTTGACTCTACAATTAAGACAGCAGGTAGCCAACGCTTCATAGAGATTGAACGGAAAGACGGGAAGGAACGTCTTGTTATTGATAAACTGATGATTCGGACGTCATGTGTCATAGGTCGGGCAACAACATGTTGGAAAGCCCATCATGATAAACATCCTTCGATACCTCTTGTTATTAAGGATTCGTGGCAGTACTCGGAGCGCGACGAGGAGGGTGAGCTGCTATGTGAAGCATCTCAGAAAAATGTGGTTAATGTTGCTCGTTACTATCATCACGAAACTGTCCGAATACTTGGTATGGAAGATGACATAGTTGGAAATATTCGAAAAGGAACGAAGATCCCAAAAGCATCAAATTTACCGCAGAATCCCTCGGCCATTCCTCGGAACATGGATACAGCCGGTACTTTAAGCAACGCCGGCCAGAAACGATCATCCAGCCAGGCTAGCATTCTTATGCCGCCCACACCCAGCAAGCGACCCCGTTTAGCATATTCTTCAACAACTACAACCAAGGCGAAGAGTGAGCCGCCCCCACCCAGCAAGCGATCCCATTCAGCACCTTCTTCAACAACTACAACGAAGGCGAAGAGTGAGCCGCCCCCAAATCGAATACATCGGCGAGTTATTGTTTCTGACTATGGAGAACCTATCTATACAGCAAACTCTCTAATAGCTTTGCTCACTGCATTGGAAGGTTGTATAGAAGGACATGAAAGTCTATACAACGCTGGCTTCCTTCACAGAGATATCTCAATCAACAATCTGATGATCAATGAAGATAAAAATAATTCTTCTTGGCCTTCATTCTTGATCGACCTTGATTCAGCTATCAAAGTGGATCGAGAGGTTTCCTCGGGTGCAAAGGGGAGGACTGGTACAAGAGCGTTTATGGCTATTGGAATTCTTAAGAATGAACTGCACTCCTTTATGCATGATCTTGAATCGTTTTTCTGGGTAATCTTTTGGATATGCATTCACTACAAAGGGCCGGGCAAGAGTATTGGTGCAACTGAATATAATGATTGTAACTTTCAGTCCGACAATAACTTATCATATACAAGACGGCTACGATTTGCCATGGAGGAGATTTTCTTGAAATAATAGAAAGGGATTTTACACCATACTACAAGCCATTAATTCCATGGGTTATTGAATTGAAAAAGGTAGTATTCCCGAACCATGGGAGATGGGCAAAAGAGAATGTAAAGTTGTATTCTTCGATGAAGAAAATCCTTCGCGAAGCTCGGGAGGACCCAGAGGTGATAGAATCTATGGTAGAAGGGTAGAATCTATGGTGGTAGAGTAGATATGGTGTATGGTGGGAGGGTAGATATGATGGGGGGAGGGATAGGAGGTGGTGTATGGTGGGAGGGTAGATATAGTAGAGGGGGGAGAGGAGGTGGTGTATGTTGAGAGAGGTAGAGATTATAAAAGGTGAATATAGTAAAAAAATGAATATGATAAAGTGAATATAATGAGAGGGGGTAGAATCTATAATAAAAAGTATAGAATATACAGTATAGATTCTAGCTATTCTAGGCTAGATTCTAAGTGGCATGAGAGTAAATTGCCGTTTATTATAAGAGCATTATACAAATTTATGTCTGAACAATTGTATTAGGCAGAAATAAAAATTTCAAGGTTATTGCCAAATGACAGTTGCAGGCCTCGGTATAGGGCAATACTCTGTTTCAACAGTATGCCATATGCCATCTTTATGGCTTTGGCAATATCACGTTCGAGTTTTATGCTCAAAATTTATGCCCTTGGTAGCGACGTACCGTGTTGCATACAGTAACGGCAAAAGTCTGTGCAGCTTGCTAAGACCACGTCAGAATATGTTTTCTCCTGGGTTGGACATGTGCATTGAATCAATAGTGTGGCATTATTGTGGCAAGGAAACTTCATGCTATAAAAATGATAAGACGATATACTCGTAGTTCAACCTCACCTCGCCAACCCACTATCTCATCTCAATATTTTAAAGCTTTATTATTCCAAAAAGCTTCTTTGGAATGGAATAATGTTAATGTCAATGTTTTGAGCGGGTACAATGCTCCAGATGAATACAGTATATGCCATGTCGATTGAATGTTCTGAATACAATATACCAAGTCGATTGAATGTTCTGAATATTCCAAACGAATACCATATACCAAATCAATTGAATGTTCCAAATGGATTCAATATCCCAAACGGACTCTTCAATAGACTGCACTCCAGAATATTAAAAACTTGAACGTGCGAGAACAAGCAGAAGAACCTCAAGTCGAGAGCTCGCTGGAGTTTGCTTGGAAAAATAGGAATAGGAATACCTGAAGATATAGAGAAGGAGGTTTCAAGAGATTTAATGTCTGCAAGTGCGCAAGTTGGAAAATTTCCCATCGATGAACTTGAACACGATGAGATAGAAAACTGGGCAGGTACTTTCTGCTTTTCGATAACTAGCGCGAGTCTTTGAATATTCTGTCTACAACATCTACTTAGGTAGGTGGCTAGGATATAATGGCCATGAGTGTTGGTGAGATAAAACTTTCCTCCAGAAATGGGTTTTTTGCTAGGCTATCTTGTGTGGAAAGCTACAATCTCATCTTCGACTCTATTAAAGTAGGAAATCTGATACTAATGACCACCGATTGATTCATCAAGACCTCTCACTCTCACGTTGTCGAAGAGATTCCTCTTGTTGTGAAGATTGCAAGATTGCATTGCACTAATCTTGTCTCCGGGATCATATCATGTCTCCTCACTTGAAATTGACAATGCCGTCTCATTGTATCATTCTCTCATTCTGTTCATGGTGTTCTTTGAAGTCTGTCTCGCAATGTTTAACTGGAACCAAAAGGCTGTTGTGGGTGGGGACTAGGGATTAATCTCGATGGCTGTCACAGGAAATTCAATTCTTACAAGGACCTCATCGACTGAATGTCAAACTTCTTTTGCACTCCTCGCCTCTTTATTTTGTCTCATTATGCTTGTGGTGGATTGAATTACATCTCACTATTGTCGCAGAGTGAGAGAATTTGATATCCTTTTGTATTAAAAATATTGAGTAAATATTGAATTGATATTGAGTCGATATACAATCCAACGTTGGGACGATAAGGCATATGTAGTCAAGAAATTGATATTCTTTCCCATATACAGCAATTATGAATCTCAAAGGGAAAGTTTTGTTCCATTTCCTCCCTCCCATTTTCGAAGAATCATCGACCTGGCTGTGAACATTTGTTCGGAGAGGTTCCTCCCAAAATTCGACTTTCGTCTGCCTACTTACTTCCTTGTCACTCGTTCAAGGTGGGAAAAGGCTCTTCATTTCCCAAAACTCACGTTTTTAAAACAAAACAAGGTACAAACTCTCATACTTGTGAAATCCCAAATGAAATATCTGTCTAGTATCCGAAAAATAAAAGTTACCCAGGACGTATGAATCGGGCTATAACAAGTTTTCCAAAGCTTGGATCCAGTGTTTTTGAGGAACAAAAATGCTAGTGAAGCTCGGCGGAAACTTGCCCTCAAAATGATCGTACACATTACTTATATATATATTGATTTATTTTCCGTGGTTTGTCTCAAGTGTAAGTTGGATTATTTGTTAACAAAGAAGAAAACTCGAAGGACTCGGAGTGACGATTGCCGATTGACTGAAAGAGTAGGCAGACTCATTTCTTGGGGAATGCTATGCGTGCGTTTCAATAATCTTCTAACCTTATCGAATATATGCCACTTCATACACAAATCGAGGTCTCGTTCGTGATGCTAATCGCATAACTTAAAAGATAATCACAGATTCATGTTTGTCTCTTCCATGAAGAAAGCTGTACTCGTAGATGAAAAATCCATGTTCTTGAACTATAATCTGATCTGAATGAGGGTATACTCGAGTAATTGCTATATTTCGAGAAATTATCTAATGTAGATCACCAAAATGCTTTTATTTGTTTGGAGATTTGTTTTATCAAATTCATTAGTTATTCGTTCCCTTTCTCATGTAAAAATAGCCTGTCACATCCAAACTTCTAGACACAAGGAAGTTTATCTCTGATTCAGGGCAGCTGGTAACCTGGACCTAAAGGTAGACTCGAGTATTTAGACGAGTCATGATTCACGAATATGAATGTTACGGGATAGAGAAGAGGTTGAGATATTTGGACCAGACGGTGTTGAGTCTCATGGTCGTTGAAAGGAAATACTCGAGTGTCTTTGAAAATAATGATCTTTATCTCTTCCTCAAACAAGATAGGCTTTCCAGTAGATATTTGAAATTATGGCGTCGTATTCTTATTAGACTTCGATACCATAGTTGGCTGAAAGGGTGAAGTGCATGCATGGATATCTATTCAATACGATAGTGCAATTTGAATGTGGTGAGATGTTCCATGTTATGAGATGATATTTTACTTGACGTATAGATAGATGGTTTTCCTGAGTTATTACCCATAAATGATTTCAAGTAGTGGGCTTGTCCTACGTGAAGTTCAATTCTGGCATGTGCATTGTTTCTCCGATACTGAGCAATAGTACAGGTGAATTGGTGATTAAAGATGGCTGCACATCACAGAAATAAGTCGATTGTCATGGAGAACAACAATGATAAGCAGACAAAAGCTTGAGACAGCAGCCTTGAGACCATATTTATGATATATGTGGGAATTACGTTCGAGATCAAGTGTGAAATTTAAATACATGATTCTCCGACGCAGACTTTGCTATCTTCTGCAACTACTTTCATCACGACATAAGGCTTGTGCAACCCCTTATTTACCCGACAATCCCGGTGAGCATCCTTCAATTATCTCCGAGGGGAGTATCTTCATGAGGTGGCTAATAACTTGGTCTTTTAGACTCTATGCAATGTTGAATAGTAGGAAGGGTAGGAATTTGCGATTTTGAGGTAGCTGGGTAATTTCAACTGCCAACTCTAATACCTTCCAATTATCGAGCACATAAATCAAACAAGCGGTGTGAACGAACTCTAGCACAACATCACATCCAAACCTGTTCCAAACCTGCCTACAACTCTTTCATCATTCGTAACACAGACGACCCGTACGACCTTATGACGAACCCTCAAGACTGTAGTTCATGACAAAATGACCCGGAGCCATGGACCTTACCCAACATATTCTGGCAGCGCTTATGCTACACAAAAACAGCCACGAAAGATTCCTTCAACGAAGGATCTTACACAGCCACGCATTTATCATGTTTGTTCGAGTTTTCAGCTTCAGCCTGTTGGTAAAGAGCAACTGACGTACACATGCCACTTCCCACACCCCACATACTCGATAGTTGATTCACCGCCTTCATCATCCCTTTATTGAGCAGAATCAAAAGCTTTCTTCGTCATGCTACGCTTCTTACGGCTGTTTGGTTGTCGTTTCATCAAGCTCTGGCATTCCCCGTTGAGCTCAGGGGAACTCTAACACGCGAGATCATAGGAACTTACCATTCTCACTCAAGCACGGCAATCATCTACAGTCAGACAGTGAAGAGTTGTTGTCATAGAATCCATTCATTCTGCTCAGCAGCATCAGCTAGGACGAATGTTGCATATCGCAGAGGACCTAGCGACTGATCGTCTGAACTTGAGCGACACAAATAAATTTCCAGCTTCCAGAGCGGCACGACGCCAACTAGCAATCATCAATCATCACTACCACCATCAAGAATTCCTCTTCACAATTCCCTATACAACCCTCCTCTCGGGAACAAAGTCAAGATTCCTATCGGTATTTGACTTCAAACAATCAGAACATGGAAAGCGACGAGCCACGCGACATCTATCTAGCACATATACGTGTCTAGAAAGAATTTTTTGATCATTTCTGGGCATACGTGCAGAGAAAGTTTTATCTTTCTACGGATAAAGAAACGGAATGGTTGGACACTACAAGTTACCATCCAAAAGATACTTGAAGATTATCTAGTGGTCGGGACGAGCTAAAGTGTCTTGTGGATTTCGTGGCCTACCGCTGAGGTGCAGAGATCGATCAAAAGAGGAAAACATAAGAAGTCAGAATTATTTGGGACTGCGATCCTAAAGTGCAGCCGAGCGGCGAGTCTCCGAACACACCCGGCAGGTCAGACGAGCTGTTAGA